TTGGAGTGATCCTCACGAAGGCCGATTGTTGAGATCTTCGGGGCCGCATAGGTATGGGTACTCTTCTCCGGGTTCTAAGCTCTTGGTTATGAAAAGAAGAGCATGAACTTTGGAGTCACTCGTTGCTTGATGGAATAGCCGGAACTGAGGGTTGAAGTGGCTCCATCGCCGGCAGTCCTGCCACCAACATCCTTGCTGCTTGGATTGCTTGATTCCATCTCTTAGGTGCAGATATCTTTTCTGAAAAGAAGAGGTAACACTGATCTTGTGTGAAGTTGCAGAGGTCCTTTGCAGTCAAGTTCTCTATCTGGTGGGACAGCACAGAACCACATGTTGTTGATGGCGAGCCGCCAATTGACAAAGTTCAATTCCTCGCAGAGATAGTCGATCAGCCCCCCAACGGAACTGAATTGATCGATTGTTGTCTCAAGGACGACGTGGTTCTCATGATACGTCGGACAATCGGGCCGTTGACCAAGGTCTAAGGTTCCTGCGCGAGAGACAGTATCTAAACACTGCGAAATGTCAGCTGCCGTCAATAGATTGTACCCACGCATAAGCCTGCAGACCGTGTCTTGACTGTCCAAGAGTTGAGTTCTTTGGCCAGCTGCGGTGGGCTTTTGTTGTTGATAGGCCTTTTGTCAAGTCTGGAATCGAGGAAGCCGGCGGTCGGGGGTTGGAGTTGGGGATCGGAGGTCGGCAGTACAATAGATGTAGTGAACGGGACCAAGGAAGGGAACCAGAGCTATCAGAAGGAGCTCTTGATCCCATGAGGGATTGAGAGGCCAAGAGATGAATGCAGTCACCATCACAACCTCTACTTTCTGACCTCTTCACTCTGTGCCGCAAACCTTCTGGCACCTTTCCATTTGCCATCTCGTTGTTCTCTTTGAAAGCCACCAAGATGGAAGGCAATTTTCCGCTGTCATCTTGTCTTCCGTTCCCAGTCTGTACAAACAAAAACTTTGTATGCATCGTGAGCGGCTTTGACAATATTGTCCTTTTTCACCTGGCTCATTCCGCGGCACATCATCCAGTCTTTCTGGCCGGCTTCTTTTGGCATCCATGCCCCAAATGTGTGGTTCCAGTTCGCCATACGTTTCTTAAAATAGAGTAAGAGATGGGAAACGTGTCGGAACTTCTCATTGAACGCTTCTCCTTGACAGGACTCAAGTTTGGGCCACTCGATTTCTTTCATGCAGACCGAAGGCAACAAAAATCCCAAGAGCCTGAAGGGACTTTCGGTCCCAAGTGCTATGGGCTACGCCACAGTTGATGTGGCATAAGAATGTGCCCACGCATTATCCCTAATTAAGTGCAGCCAAACAAAAAATGAGCGGGTAGTTTTGCTGCACCCTTTTGCGTGTTTAGCTCAATGGGATAACACCTTTGTTTGGTCACAAGCTGAAGGCTGGCATGCGGTTTGTTACTGCAACTCTAGGCGGGGTCTGACCCTTCCCAGCGAGATGTTGTATGTTAACTTGAAGCTGGTGGTTCTTTTTATTACGGAACCATCCGGAGTCGTCTTCAAAAAGTTGTTAGTTTCCTTGGCGATGGTAGCAAAAAGCGGTTCTCGTTCTGTACCGAGTGGGTAATTGCCTTCACCACGCGCGAAAGGCTCGAGATTGGTTTAACATTAATTCTGTTGTTCAGTGATTGGTTGCTAGTCGAATAGACTTGAAGTGTAATGCGTTGCTATTGCAAGTTTTCTTTTTTTTCGAAGGTATCGAGGGGTTGCGGTTGATGTCAGTTGTGGTGATTGTATATAGTGCCGTAGGCAAGGAAGCCTGCGTAGCAGAAGCCGCTGGAGGCTGGGTGTTTTAAACCCTCTGATAATAGTTTCAATCCATCACCAATGCCGTAAACCACTGAGATAGGTTCTACATGGCGGTGGCTATCGATGGGCAACGCTGACCATCGATTGAAGAGTCAGGTCTCGTAGCCCGGGAAGAGGATCAGGCGCTGCGATAATATTGCTTCAGCGCTTGAAGTCTCTTGTAACTTCTGCTGAATTTTCCGCTGGAAATAGCACCGTCACCGTAGGTAAACAACGGCAGAGTCATTGTGGGCTTGCGTAGACTACTCAAGCTTGAAAGACCCAAGTAGCCAGCTAGTGCCAGTTCGTTGTTGTGGAAGTGTGATTTCGATTCTTCTTTTGCCTTGATAAGTCCCCAAATATTCCAATCTTCTGACCGCTCAGTCTGAAAGAGTTGAGTTAAGTTAGGCCGCTTATTTCTGTCCTGGCACACTTTTTTGTCGTCCAAGGGTCTCGTATGTTGTCCGCCATGATGACGACAATTGCCATGGCTAAAAGAAAATTCAATTGACATTGTCCTTGCTCGAGTTGATAATGCAAACTGAGAACGGTAGATTCACACTGACCTTGTAACTGAGACAGAAGCCCAAATGAAGAGCCGTGTTGTTGTATGAGACCAAAGATGTAAGTTTCGCAGGGTGAAAATGGGTCCTATACGGATTATCACAAGCAAGCAGTTGATTGCCCATAATTGCGACGTGTTGAAAAAAAGTAATAGTAGCGGGTTCGAAGTGAAAGTGGGAGATACGGGCTCCCAGTCCGTCACGTATGGAAGAGAGGAAATTGTGCCTCATAGCCCCATATGCCGAGCGTTTGTCCAAGCGTCTGTCCGGGCCTCTTTCCGGGCGGTCGGCCGGCCCGGCCACAGATGCCACCGTATTCTAATTATGTCGACAAAAGAAGGTCAAAAGTGATGAGACGCATAAAAATTGTAGCGATTTGAGTAAAATTGTAGCGATTTGAGTAAGGAAAGTCAAGCTATTATTAATTGAAGAAGGAAAATTGATGTTCTTTGTGAGAACCAGATAAAGAAGAGGAGAAGTGAAGGTAGTGATTTGCAAATGGGAAAGGAAAGAAAGTAGGGAAGGTGAGCTTGATCTGAACAGGAAGGATCTTTTTCAAGGGAACAGAGGAGGTATTAGGAAGGAGGCCCAAGGTTGCGCTTCGGAGGGACCTCCTGCCTTGGGTGGGAGTGTATACCAGGCCCTGAAGCTCATGAAGTCTGTGATTGGTCTTGCCTACTTTTTCGATCGGTAATTCTGTCTGCACGATAGTGTTTGTTTGGTAGAAGAAAGCAGTCGATGCGATTGATGGGTGGTCCTGCGTATTTGTTGGATGCAAATATGATGGGTGGCTACACATGCTGTTTCTGGTTCAAGCTGGGATGGATCAGGAGGAACGAAAATCTACTCGTTCAATGAGGAACTCGCGGAAGACAAAGAGGAGTAATTAATGTCGGATGCCGTGTTATAGATATTTGTGAGGCGAAAAAACAAAGGGAAATCGAATGGCGAAAGTGTTTGCACATGACCTCTCTTTTCGAATGTTGGCGGGCAAGCACAGGTTTGTACCGAAACGCCAAGGGTAACAACGCTCTTTTAGCAGACTGCGAATAACTAGAATGCAAGGTAATACAAGGTCTGGTGGGCCGATAACATGCGATTTTCAGTTTTTTGCCATGCAGAGAAAGTCTTTGTGAGTGCCCACCGCCTACCCCCAGATGCGGTTGACAACAGAGTCCCACTTTGATTGCCGCCTAAGCCTTTGTATGTAACTACACAAGCCTCAAACATACAGCTGTCGTGACATACTAACTGTTCTTTTTGGACACTCTCATTCTAGAAGATTTCGTTTGCTACTGTGGAAAGTATGTTTCGCTCTTCGCAGCAGAGCTAGGAGCCCCTCGTCCGGCGTTTTCTCCGAGAGAAGAATCTCTATGGAAAACACACAAGAAAAAAGCATGAGACTCTGTTCTTTTGTCGCTTTATTCACCACAAGACGTGGAAATTAGTCGAAAGTATAGTCGAGTTTTAAATTAAAAATCAGTTGGACTGTGCTGCTGCCTATTGACGTTGTAGTCATAACGGAGTATGGGTCCGGGCTATGACCATCAATCCATACATTCAGTTAATACTTCCCTTACCAGAGGAACTGCTTCGGTACCTTACAAATCAAGGATCCGAGCGGGCGGTTATGTGAATGCCTAGCAGCTATCTTGATATTCGTCCGAATTCAAGCGTATGTTGGACCCCTTATAGCGGCAGGCGAATTGGCTGCGTGGCGGTTGCTGTGATTTACCATCCAGCTTACGTAATTACTTCCAAAAAAGAGACTTATGCGGAATTAGGATGAGGAGCCCGTAGCTACGTAACTGAAATCCCATGAAGGCGACGTTGTCATTACTACTATCGGCCATCTTGGTCTACTTGATACTCTTGCATGAAGCCTTAAATATATTATTATTATTTATTCAATGACCTATTAAGCCTTTTGGCTAGATATTTCCCCCTCACCCTCATTTACAGTGATTTTCATGGCTCTCTGCTTCCCCAAGCTCTTGTCAGCTGTCGTGTTGCCCGTCGACTATTTTGCCGCGCTTGCCTTTTTAAATTAATCATTCCCTTCATCTAGGATAAGCTTTTCGAGCCTCTCTGAGTTTAGAAAAACTTAGATTTACCCCCTTTTCAACCCATGAGGGCTCAGCTCACGAGGGAATATCTCTTAATAATCCCAGTCTGACAATGCCTACTGCTTTCTGTACAAAACTTGACTTCCGCATATTTATATCACTTATTAAGAAAATTGAAGAAAATGCCTATGTTAAAGACCTAGGGTGTGTCGATGGCGTCGAGATGCGAGCATCACTAAACTATGAACCGCCGGGCGATGCGAAACTTCACTACATATTAGCAAATGTATCTGTCAGGCTGGGTTTGACGCTCTAGCAATGACTGCGATTTTGTTGAAGGTCCCTATATTTTAGAGACTGGCCGAGCAGCTAGAGCGGACAGAGCGCCCCCCGTTTGCAGCCAGAGCAGCGGTGATGAGAGGGATACGGCTAAGAAGCTAGCCACACGGCCGAATATCAAATGTTTTGAGGAATACTGCTCACTGTATGATATGTCTGCTACCCCTAACGCTTATCGCCCTCTCATTGATTTACATTCCAACCAAGCTGAACGAATCAACTATCAGATTAGCCGCGGTGGAAACGCCATGGCCATTTTTCTTCTCCCTTTCAAAAGCCACTGCCTTGATTTCTCTATTGAACTTTTCAAGACACATGACAAATAATCCAACTTTGCAACATTCCTCGGACCAAAACACAGGAGGGAAACCTAGCCCTGGCAAGTTCACAAAACTTTTGTTGATACCCTCTGCTCAAATGATGTATCTGCCGTGTCAAGTTCTAACTCTTTTCACCTAGACCCAGAGACTCTAATTGCCAAAATGGGGCGAATTATGTCTATAATCGCTTTTTTTGGAGTCATTGCGCTCTGTGGTGTTAATGGTGCTGTCCAACGCGCAAATCCCGCAGAAATGGTTTATTGTGTCACGTACCTGTCGACCTTCTTGGAGAGGGTGCCTATTGAGATGGTAACATCAGGGCCGAAATCTCCGGCTTCATCTGCCTTTGCTACGGTGCCTGTCACAGTGCCCACCAGCTCTCTTAGTCCCCTGGTATCAACACAAGCTGGAATATCGGCGCCAGGGGGGACATCTTCACGGAGTACAGCTCCGGGAGGCATCTTTCCTGGAGAAACCCTTTCCGGAGGTACTCTTCCGGTTATTACAACTTCGGGTAGTACGACTTCATCAAGTGCAGTCGCCTCGAGCCCCACGCCCTCCCCTAGCGGCGCGATAACTGGCCAAGCGGTCATCTTTCTTGCAGCCCCTTCCCCAGGGGACTCCAAAAGACGAGTGAGAAAGAGAGCTTTGGGGGGGTTCATAAGCACAGAGGCCAGCGCAAACCCGCCAACTTGCGACCTCGGCAGCGTCTTTATCCTTTCCGAGGGACGAATATTTGTCAGAAACCAGCCAGTTTTCTACTCACCAGGGGAGCCTTTCAAGCAATTCCGTGGCAGTGAATCTCCGCCGGCCGGTGCCATCCTTACAACATTCGCCGCCGTCGAAGGGAACCTGCAGTTTAGGAACGATTCGCTCCCCAGTGGACAGTCAAGATTCTGCCAGGATATCATCACCGGACAAGTTTATCTCACTTTTACATCAAGCCCATTAGGCTGTTTACCAATTTCCATCGTTACCTATGGAAGTAAGTCGAATCCTGACAGACGTAATGTCTGAGTACTTGGCAAATCGCCAGCTAACCTGTACTGATAGTTGAGCAATGTCAGAACGGAAGGATTGTATCGGCGGAGACGTCTGGATCAAGCAGCACCTCGTCGACTCAGTTCTCACTCAGCTCTAGCATCTTCACGAGAAGCGCGCGATCTATTAGCTCCAACAGCAACCCAACCAGGCAATCACCTGTTGAGACGCCAATCCCAACCACTGCGGCTGATGTAACTACTGCGTCGGCAGACGTAACGAGGACAGGGCTGTTGTCTGATAGTTCTCGTGTTTTTGTGTCCACCGATTCTTCGACCGGCACAACCACTGCCGCAGCCTTCACTACCACCACCACAACAGAATCTGTTACCTCAACACTTGCCAGCTCTTCAAGCGTAGCGTCTTCTAGCGTTGAGAGCGCATCGTCTGTTTCTTCCTCAACAGTTGCGAGCTCATCAGGCGTAGGATCATCTTCCAGCGTTGAGAGTCCTTCAAGTGTTGCATCAGCATCCAGTGTTGAGAGCTTATCGTCTAGCAGCGCGAGTTCATCATCCATTCCTTCTTCCACACTTGCGAGCTCGTCCTTGTCTATCAGTTCATCCTTTAGTTCCCAGGAATCATCTCCAATTGCTAGCATGAGCTCTACATCATCTGCACATTTTTCTAGTGTAGGGGAATCGTCTACTATATCTGCTTCTAGTAGTTCGTCTACTGTCTCCCCGTTCTCGTCCACACTAAGTATCGTATCGTCGACGTCAGCAAGCATATCTGCCACTTCATCTTCGGCACAATTTAGCTCTTCTAGCTCAGCTGCTCCCACTCCGACACCAAGTGCTGGTCCCTCGAACTTTTGTCTGCGAGTTCTTAATTCAGGTGTAGACACCTCGGGTTATGTACTGAAGTACGCCGGCTCAAATCAAGATTACACTCTACGAGCTCCAAGCTCCACCGGCACAACTGCGATTTTCTCTCTAGATGCGCAAGGCCGTCTTATCGTCACGAATTCCAATCCTGATTATACCAATGCTCTCGCAGTAACCGGTACAGGCTTGAATCGTAGCTTTCGGCCACAGTCAAACCCTGGGGCAAGCTCATATGTAATCCCAGTTTGCACGGTTCGAACAGATGTTGAAGGATATGCCGGCCGACAGGTTCTAAAGTGTACTGCGACAATTGGTGCGACTACCTACACTGGGTTTCGAAGCTATAGGACTAGTTCTGGAGGCACTCCCGAAATTATTGGAACCTCAGACTTAACTACAGCCACAAGCTTAAGCTACCTCGTGGAGTTGGGTCTCTTCACTGGTACAGGGTGTACTGCTTCTACTCTTCCTCCCCTTAGCTCGAATCCAAGCTCGTCTGTCGATTAGTCCGGGAGATTAGCAGATATAGGTCTGGCGGTCTTTCTGGGTTTTAGGATGCGTAGTTTTAATGAGTCACTGTCGATTTTGGCTATTTCTAGTATTCAACAAGCTCTTTTCTTTCTTGTTTTTTTTTCTTTAATAGTTTTTAGGGGCTCTGAGATACGCTATCTCTCCGTTTTTGCGTAACAGAAAATCCCGGCAACTCCATCGAAGACAAGTTCAGAGAGAAAAGCCCAGAACTATTCTTGATTGCTGGCTATTTGTACCACTTTCCTATTGGGAAAGAGTACTCCTGGCAACCACCAACTCTCCCACTGCCGAGATGGGTACACCTCCCATGATATCAAAGACAGCCAAGGGCACAGCAAAATCTCGTCTGATCCAGTTACGAAGCTCAACCGCCATCAGAGAATCGACACCATAGTTCGAAAGTGGTTTAGAGTGCTCCACGTCTGCAGGAGAGATGGACATGGCACGAGCCAGCTTGGCCACCAGCGAGTTGATGACGACCTGGACCTTCTCTTCAGCGTCGGCAGCGGCTCGGAACAGTGCGGCCGGATCCGCAGTTTGACCAGCACTGGAACCTGACTGGGCGCCCACCACGCGTGAAAAGGTGGCGAACAGAGGTCGGTCTAACAAAGCCGGAGGTGTCTGTCCCCTGGCAAGGAAGTCTGCCGGTGTCAGCAACCCCACAAGCATTTGGCTCTGTTCTGGGGTCATTAGAGGGGCTGCAGGATCGCAGCAAAGAGTCATCAGTGCCATGAGATCGCGACCGTCAATCTGTTGCATGTCCTCTGTAGCAAGACGCTGGCGCTGGAACGCGGCTGTTTCGGCGACGATGCCAATATCTCGCATCCAACCAATGTCGAGGGAAACCGCCTTTTGTCCATGCGCGACACGGTAGCGCGCCAGGGAATCTTGAAAGGTACAGCCTCCGGCATAGTTGGCCGTCGCCATCTGGCCGACAATGCCAGCGAGAGAAGAAAGCAAGATGAAGAAATCTAGGTCTTTGGGAAGAAGGCAGTGCAGATTCCATGCCGTGTCCACCTTTGCCTTGACAGCAAGGTCCCATTGATCCAAAGTTACGTTCTCGAACATGGCATCCTGCAGGACCAATGCCGCGTCGATACAGCCTTTGATAGGGGGCATTGTACGCGAACAATCCTCGAGCGCATCTGACAATGCGGTCTTTGAGGCCACATCACACTTGGGTGCGACAATGCAAACTCCTCGAGCTTGAAATTCAGCAAAGAGATTTGCCGCCGCCTTCGACGAAGCTCCAGACCTCGATGGCACAATCAAGAACTTGGCCCCGCGGTCTACCATCCATGATATGAGAGCACGGCCTATGCCTCCAGAGCCTCCCGCAATGAGGTATGATGCGTTGCTGTCAAATTTCCAAGGTCTTTGATCTAGGAGATATTGCTGCAAGCGAATCCGTTAGTCACGTCAGTGTCAAGCGGGAATTGGATGTGCACTTACAGGAACAACATCGTCTGGAGAAGGCTCAATCACTATACGGCCAATATTTGTGCCATTTTGAAGTGTCCGGAAGGCTTGTTCAATTTGAGAGGCAGGGAATGATTGAACCGGAGACGGAGAAGCACCCGTGGTAGAGACCAGATGTATAGTATTCTGCAGCAGCTCAGCAGTAAGCTGGGGGTCTTCCCCGATGATCTCGCGCAAGTCTACTGCCGAGAAGCTTACGTTCCTTGAGAACACCGACATAGGCAGCCCAGAGTTAGCCAGTATGTCGGCTTTTCCAATCTCAACAAAACGTCCGCAGCGTGCCATACATTCCCAAGAAGCTCGGAGACTGTCGCCGGACAGTGAGTTGAGCACGACGTCGACACCGCGCCCCTCTGTAACACGCATGACGCCCTTGGAGAATGATGTGTTGCGGCTGTGGAAGATATGGCCCTCTTGAATCCCCAAAACGTCTGCCAGGAACCTCTTCTTCTTTTCACTTCCAACAGTTGCATATACAACCGCCCCTCGCATCTTAGCAATGGCCACAGCCATCTGCCCAGTGCCGCCCGCTGCTGAATGGATGAGTATCGTCTCCCCCTTTGAGATCCGCGCAACGTTGACGAGCGCGTGGTATGCTGTCATGCCTGGAGTAAGACAAGCAGCCGCAGCTGCAAAAGTCATATCGTTTCTGGGGATCTTGATCACAGATGTCGCGGGTGCGCGCGGATATCGGCGCATGCAGCCCGGCAACATCATGCAAACCCGGTCACCGACCTGGATCGAACCGTCACAGGCACTTCCAACTCTCGTGACAACACCGGCGCAATCCGCGCCAAACGTCTTTTCATCCAGGCGGCCTAGCGCCTGTAAGATGTCGCGAAAGTTCACTCCCCAGGCCTTGGCTTCGATCTCGATCTGATCTGCTGCAAGCTCCGTGCCGTACGTAGTATCTTCAATGAAACATAGCGAGTCGAGCGTTCCGGCTGTCTTAATTGAGAGCGAAAGTGCTGGTCCCGAGGACCAGGTCTTGTGATGGAGTCGTGGACGGAGGAGGGCGTCAAGTGCGGCGTTGCCATTGATGTTCTCGGCTGCCCTACAGGTCCCGAGGAGATTGTTGCGCACCACGTACTCGAGCTCATCAGAAGAGGAGTCGAGGAAAGATACTTGGAGAACCTTTTTCACAAGTGGTGCAAAACTTTTCACGTTAGTCACCCCCTGAGACTCGATTGCCAGTGTAACGATTTGGCTGTCGGCTGCCTCAAGTCGCAAAGAGCGGAAGAAGCCTTGCGCCTGATCATAAAAGGGTAATCTGAAATCACCCACGTCCGATGCTGTTATCCAAAGCAACTTCTTTGTATTGCGCATGAGACTTTGTAGCCAGGAGAGTTTGTTCTGGGTCATATCGAGCAGGAAAGGGGTGTCGAGGCTTGCCAGACAAATGACGACATCTTCTGGGGTCTGACTGCCAGTCTCGAAGTCTCGCAGGGACCAAACGCTGCTTTGATGTCCAGTCCAGCTCTCACTTATATACTTTGAGATGAGGCTTGCAAGCTCAGCTTGCTTTTCGGAGATCTCATCGATAACCAAGAAAATCCTCGTATGGTTAGAATTCGTAGGCGGCTTTGCTTCTTCCGTGGCCGTCGAGACTATAATGCTGCAAATGTGACACCCGTCTTCATCGTGATCCCTGAGCACAAGATCATTACCAGAGTATCCGCTCTTTTGCAAGCAGGTATTCCACTGCTCTTCGTTCAGCAGCGGAGACATCTTGCGCCATTCCTCACGCGCAAGCCACCACCCCGGAACAAGGCCGAACGAGAAGTTTACTGCGACATCTTCTGGTGCAATCACCTCGAGGATCAATGCCCTACCACCTGGTTTGAGTGCGGTTCGCACATTCTTCATGGTGCATACCAGGTCTGCTGTGGCGTGCAACACACTCCCAGCTACGACGAGGTCGTAAGATCCAACTTCGAATCCCTGGCTTTCGAGTGTCCGCTCCAGATCCAGAGTTCTAAAGTTTATACGACCTTCGAGCGCCTTCCAGCGCTCGCGAGCACGATCGAAGAACATTGGCGAAATATCAGTGTATGTATACTCAGCCAGCTTCAGCCCACCCGACTCCTTTTCAAGTGATTGCAATGCTCCCAGGACATGACCGGTGAAGCCACCGGTGCCAGCACCGACTTCGAGGATTCGCAGGTTGGGATTCTCGTGAGAAGCCAACTCGAGGAAATTGCGTAGCCGCACATCGCAAATCTGGGAGAACATGTCGGCGTAGAAGACGTCGGCGAGATCCGAGTCAAAAATAACCTCGAGAGGATCCTTCTCGCCAATCAGAATGTTCTTCAGCTCACGCACTACGTTAGTGTGCAGCCTCCATGATGGATGAATGACCTCGATATGTTGGAGACGCTGTTCAAGGTCTTCGTCAGTCACAGGGGCGTCTGGGTCGTCCCTCTCAGCCGGCTGCAGCATGCTGACATGGTGCTTAATCCACTCAATGTGCCGTTGAAGGGACGCAGGGACTTTCTCATAGTCTGCTGCAGTCATCCCTCTTAGGACTCTGGATAGTGCCAGGTTCATGACTGAAGTGATCTCCACATGGTGAGCGAGGGCAGACGCATCATCCTTTACGACGCGACTTGTGACGCATGCCTGAGATAGCTGCTTCGGGTCTAAAAGACTCAACTGCGGTTTCCACTGAGCGCTGTGCAGGAGTTTTCTTGCTGGCGCATCGCTTTCATCTAGCCTGGAGACCGAAACTGTGACCATGTGTTCGATAGACATCAAAAGTTCTCCGTTGTCGCCTAGAGCATAAAGGCTGCCATCCTCGCCAGCGTCCTGTCCCACGTTTGCCGCTCCCCAACAGCGTAGGGATCTGGTTTGCGGGCTCTGCCAGCCCGATGCTGAGAACCAGGCATTGATCATCTTGACGGGGACGTTGGTGGCAGCAGCCGAGCCCAAGGCCTGAGAGCTGGCTCTAAGCATGTGGAACACCGTATCCAAGACTGCGGGATGTACGAGGCTCGTCGTGCTGAACTGCGGCTTGCACACGTCGATGCGGGCGACGGCATTCTCCTTTCCATCCCAGTGAAGGTCTTCTAGTAGCCGGAACCAGTCACCGTATTGCAAGCCGTGGTCGGCGGCGTTGCGGTAGAACACATGTGAGTCCACGGGCCTCGTACAAATGTCAACGACTTGTTCGTATCGGCGCAGAACCTCTTCTTCAAACAGGGTTTTTTCCTTCTGTACGTCAGGTTGAGACAAATCCTCCTTGTACTGAACCTGAATTTGTGTCCTAAAACACTCAGACCATTCTTTGTTGCGATAACAGAAGACTCGGACATCGGACCAGGTCGAGTCTTTCTCGTACGACTTTTGCAATGGCCGAAGCTCAACCACTGTCTCTGTCCTGTTTTCCCAGGCTTCGCCGACGACTATAGGGTTCATAAAGTGCGCTTCCTTGACGGAGTATCCAGCGATTGTTCGGTTAGGAGGAACCATTTGTAATGCTGCCTCCATGGCCATGACCAGCATCCCTGCCGCGGGGTAAATCACGGTGTTGCTTATCTATTCAATGCAAGTTAGAAAGAAAGTTTATCTTCATATGAACTACCTCAAGGAAAAAGATTGTACGGCGGGGAGAATCCAAGTGCTTACGTTGTGGTCCGCTATCCATGGCTCAGACTCGACACTGAGAAAGTTTCTCCATCTCGGCTCAAGAGGATTCCAGTCCGCTGCTCGCATCCCCAATGTCTCGCCAGATACGTTGCCACGCAATCTGTAGTCGCGACTTATTCGGGATTCCGCCCAGTACTTTTTGGAATGGTCAAACGGATACTCGGGGCAGTCAACGAGGAAGGGCATGTCGCTGCTCAGTTGGTTCACGGCGGTGATAGACACCTGGTGTCCGTATGCAAATAATTGGCCGGCAAGCTCTAGCGTAGTGTCGACGGCGGATCGCTTTCTGTATAAAACACTCGAGTACCGAATCTTCTTCGCACGAGGCCCTGCTTGAGCTACTATGTCATTGACAGGGCGGCGCAGTGCCGCGGTAGGTCCGATCTCGACAAAGTCCGTAATGCTGCCGAGGAAACCGGCCTTCCAGGTCGAGGATTGCCGGGTCAATGCATGAACTGCGTCAGCAAATCGAACCGGTGACACCATATTATCTATCCAATACTGTGCTGAGGCCAGAACATTACGACGGACGGTCTTTCCAGTCACAGTCGAAATCATGGGAATATTGAAAGGCTTCTTGGCAGCTTCAAGACCTTCTATCCGTTGTCTGTAGTTCTCTGCGATAGAAAGCATGGCTGGCGAGTGGTATGCAACGCCTGTCTTCAACTTCTGAGCAAATATGGAGTCTTCATCTGCCTGCTTCTTAATGGCATCTATGACACTCTCCGGACCGGACAAAGTGCAGTTCAGAGGGCTGTTGATGCAAGCAATACTGACGCCTTCAGCATTGATTCTCTCCAGGTAGGGTGGGACTGCGTCCTCGGCAAGGTCAATCGAAATCATGGCGCCGGCTGGAGAACTGGAAACTCGCAGTTTTCCAGCCAACTGGCCGCGGAAATACGAGACCTTGCAGGCTGACTCTAGTGACAAGGCACCAATGGCGTACGCAGCAGCAATTTCACCAGACGAGTGTCCGATGACTGCTTTTGGTGTAATCTCGAAGCTCCTTAGGAGCTCGATCAAAGCCAGCTGCACCGCAGTGGAAAGCGGCTGACTGTACTCGGGGCGATCGATGTTTTCCCCATTCTGAAGTTCATCAAGTACTTCCCATTCGCAGCCGAGCTTGCGGTAAATTTTGTTGATACGCTCTAGAATTTCCGCGAAGAGTGGATATTGCTGAATGAGATCCCATCCCATCTCCGCATACTGCGCACCTTGACCAGTAAATATGAAGCCAAGGCCGACTTCTCCAGAGCTGCGTACTGGCTTTGCTATAGGTAGGCTTCCTGCGTCGGCTGGCCCCTCTGTGATGATGGCTGACGTCCGCCATAGCATTCGGCTTCGCCGGTTGGCTAGGGTGTAGGCGAACTGGTCGAGCTTGGTGAGGCTGCCCGCCACATGATCTCTGTAGAAGGGCTGTTGCTGCTCGACTGTGCGCTTGACTGCCTTCTCGTCTGCAGCAGACCAGACAAGTAGACGAGACTTGCCTGGAACTGGCCCCTTGATGCCATTGAGGCTGTCGCTGTGTCCTTTAACATATCCATTGGCCCCGTTTGTTGTGCCGTTCGTAATGACTCCGTTTTTCACGTTACCAGTTGTAGCACCATTTAATATTCCGGTGCTGTTGACGCCGATTTTGATATGAAGACCGCCCAGTTCGGCACTAACAGGGGCTTCTGTGCAATGATTGCCCACAAGACCCCTTTCTTGTAAGTAGTGGTACGCATCATCGAGGACAACGTGAGTGTTTGTGCCTCCGAAACCGAACGAATTCACGGATATGCGTCGCAAATCCCGGCTCGGCCAGGCGACTTCCTCAGTCGGGATCTGGAGATTTGGTCTCGTTAGCTTGTCACTTCTCTAATGTGATGAGGAACTGACGTACCGCAATATTGTAAAACTCGGCGTCGATGTCCGGGTTGATCTTCTCGTAAAGCGCATGAGGTGGAATGATGCCTTTCTCCAGGGATACTATGAAACGCAGGCTTGCTCAGAAAAATGGAGTTTATCATACAGACCAAGTCATGCTTCCTACTCACTGATGGCTTTGACAACACCGGCCAGTCCACTGCTCCCTTCGAGGTGACCAATGTTGGTTTTTACGGAGCCACTACAAAGCTGCTTTCAGCAAACGGGTCCTACTTGAAGAGGCAAAAAGCAATGAGCATCACGTCGCTTACATGTACAGGGGCTCTGTAGTGGATCGAGAGCCCCTGAAGACACTTCCTATTGCTTTCACCTCGATTGGGTCACCAACAGGTGTTCCGGTGCCTGTTCGTGGCCCTTGTCAGCTGGGTACCGTGCCGGAAGCGTGTCACGGGCCACCAATCTTCTCCTTACCATGTGCCTCTACGTAACGGGTTTTGTCAAAGGATAGCTTTGCCTGTTGATATACATGGCGTATCAACTCCTCTTGAGCCCTTGGGCTAGGCTGTGTCATTGACGGTGTTTGTCCGTCCTGGTTTGAACCAGAAGCCCGAATAACGGAGCGAATCATGTCACCATCTCGCAGAGCCGCTGCAACTGGCTTCAGCAGCAGTGCGATGAAGCCTTCGCCCCGAGCATAGCCGTTGGCGCGGTGGTCAAATGCCCAACACTTGCTGTCCGGGGATAAGAAACCGAGATTTGACAGGAAGTGGGTGAAGGTAGGGGTAAGGATCAGACTGGAGCCGGTAACTAGGGCCTTTCGTGTTCCGGCCGGTCAGTTCTGCCAGAACCACAAGTCTTGGGGAGGGAATTGACGAATAATTACGCACAGTTGAGCATTCGCCGGCCCGCAGAGACTGGCATGCCATATCGACGGCGAAGAGACTGCTGGAACAGGCCGTGTCGATGTGGACACTAGGACCTCTCAAGTCAAAATACCAGCTCACACGGTTGGAAATGAGCGACGCCGCGGTGCCTGTAGCAGCGGTCCGTTCGACATTGTCGGGATCCTGCGAGAGCATCCTTGACCAGTCGTCCGTGAAGGACGCAGAAAAAACACCGGTTTTCGAGCCCTTGAGTTGTTCGGCAGGCATACCAGCTACAAGCAGTTTGGTGAGCGAACGCGTCCCTCCGTCTGGACGGGAAAGCTCGCCATCTCACCATTTTCGAAAGCACGGTACGATGTCTCTAGCGTCCATCTTTGCAAGGGATCGAGGGCTTCACACGGCCGTTTGGGTCAGTCTATCACTCCCCCATGGGGAACAGACGAACCATAAGCACATACCAGCAGCCTCTTTGGTGGAAATGGAGAAAAAAGGGGCATCAAAGGCCGCCGGGTCGTCGTTGATGAAGTATCCGCCATGACATTCGAACTGTCCAGGTGTCAAAACGTCCTTGGTACCGAAAACAGTACGTGCCACCAGTTTTGCTTTCACGGGACTTGTTTTTTGCTATCACGCACCTTTTTTCTTTTACCAGTCACAAATGCTTCGGCGTTCATGCGGGTTTCAGGCCAGCGCGTCACCAAGTTCCTGCGATTCTGCAGGACTTCCCAGAAACTGGTAACGTCGTTTACGTCCTGGGGCAGCTTGAAAGAGAAGCCAACGACGGCAATGTCGTTGTCTGTGGGGCATGTTGTGGGTAATGGCGTGAAACTGGGCTGTTCTGGAATTGAACCCATTGTGTCGGTAACCTATCAAGAGGATCAAGACGAGAATGATGTGTAATTCTTTCTTCTGCATGCAACTCTCTGTTGCTCACGGACGTCACAAATCCAGCAAAGATTGCTCAGGAAACTCATATTCCATTGCCAGATGAGATAGTTTTAATGTCCATCACTTTTTGGACCCCCGCTATTCCGTTGATGATACTGACTGACGGCGCCCCCGCTGTAACATGGTGATTCTGCTGCCATTATCGAGGGATTTCAGCCTCCACAGTCGAACCGAAGGACTCCCTTCCTAGTATCTGTACTGCTACGTACCACGTAGTCGACGGACGGGGGGGCCCGGCCCGTTGTCCATGGGCTTGGAGAGGAGACATGCGGGACCATGTTTAAGCGAGCCGCGGCGTGGCCTCGGTCTATTTGTTGAAATGTGGTATGTGAACCGACAATCACTTCATCCTTGTCCCTGCTAAGAAGATAGGAGACTTTGTTACGAATAACTACTCTTCTGTCGGAAGTCCGCATAACACCTACGTTCCACTCTTCGCCGGGGGGGTGTTCAGTCCATCATGACTCGGATATATGTTTATAACACGCCCAGAAAGCAGATTACCACTACCGAAGACACCTGCATAAGCACTCTATCTCTCCAACGTCGTTATGATTCGTCTAGAACCACAGACACACTGGCAGCAAACGACAGCCTACTTGCATACCAAGTCTTGTACAACAGTCTTTGTGGGCCGGGTAAATGTGATAGTGTGGGGTGCGTTTGCGAACCTGCCAATGAGCGTGAACAATCACTCGAAGGAACAGGCACAACAGCCCATGATGATCTGATACGTCGAGCCAAAACATACGTACATATCGCCAAAATCCCGCCGATGAGGAGAAGTCGCCAAACTCGGTATTGCTACGCTATATGGCCTAGTTTTGTAGAATCCGCTTCATCCAAACCGTAACCCAAAGAGGCCCAAAAGAACAGGGTCTATGCAGTATTTCAAGGAGTAGTATGCAAGCAGTTTGAATCCTCTCCAACACCGTCTTCCATTTATTCCCAAACTACCCCCCTGTAGCACTCTTAATGGTGCGATCAATTGCCCGAAGTGCCCCCCTCAGGCCCTGAGGGTCCGTTGACCCAGGCACCCGATGCCCATGATCATGTACGAAAACCTCGGATTTGCCACAAATCCGCGACAGGGAGCCATGTAGCTGTTCCGGCGTACCCCATCCGGCTTCGACCCAGAGCCCATGCAGGGGCGACTGCACATTGGCAATGCCACTGCCTGTTGTATCCTTTACGTGTGAGTAGATGTGAGCTGTGGGAACATGGCTCAGTGCTGCTGCATCCGCTGTCGGATCAAGACATCCGATGATGCCATCCCGGAGGGCGTCTGGGTCCAGAGGAGGCGCCGCGCTGAAGAATATGCCGCACTTGAAATTCGCAAAAGGTCGTCGGGCATCCTCAAGGAGCAGAGTAGCACCAACGATGCCCCCTTCGGAAAACCCCATGATGCCGTCAAATGGGCCGAGGCTCTCTACCGCGTCTATGAGCCCTTCGAGTAGGTCTTGGTATTGGCTCACCTCAGTGACGTCCCCAAAATACCCATACATGTCGTCGTCAGGGTCCTCTACAGTCTTCGTTGTCCCTGCTAAGAGTCAGTCTCAAGAATGCGTAAACTGTTTGTAATTGCCGGCTCTTACCATTTCCTGGCTGTAGCAAAATGTCGCCATCAAGAAAAACAAAGGTGTGGTCGAAAAGCTCTTCACGAATCCTGGCTGAATAATTAGGTAGTTTTTAGCCGTTGAAATCATGCCGTCCTATTCCGAGCAGGAACAGTAATTTTACTGACTGACGGAGAAGACAATGTATTTTCCTGTCTTTCCTATGTCAACCTCTTCTCTTACCTGTTTGCATCTCGAAGATCTTGTGTAAGCTTTACATCAGCTTGATTGCCCTTATCATTTTCATGATTTCCAAGCTTCTGTCGTACCTTTGCAGACGTCCCTCTCCCGTGAAGGCAGAGAAAACGCATTATGAGATTCCACGGAGGAAGATGCCTTGTTTCCGGGTTCCTGGGTGGCGAGGGCGGCCCCTGAATAATTCTTCGTAGGGTATACTTGGACGTTGACAGTTGAAAGAGAAAAAAGAAAATAAATTGGGGTTTATGCAGCAAAGAAGCGGCAATCGGCCAGTCGGCGAGAAGATGAGGTTGCAATTTCTCGCAAGCAAGTGGAGGATCTGGTACGACACCGATGTGGTTATGCACAGCTAGTGAAAGAGGTGGTGCGATTGGATGGATAGAAAAGCCAGGTTCAAATCCTTCAGGGGATAGGGAGGGAAAAACGACTGTCATGGCCAAATGAAGCGTAACCAGGGGCCAGAAATCCCCAAGACTCTTTTTTCCGCAGAACCTAGTCCGCCAAGTACAAAGCTCAGTGTTCTTTTTTGTACAGGAGCATTTTCAGGATACAGGTAATCAACTGACAAAAAGGTACCAGTTATACCATGTCGAAATCAATTGCAAAAATTTTAGTAACCGGCGAACTCCCTGCCGACCGTTACAAAGTGTCAACTCCCCCATTAGGCTCGACTCGTGTCTATCAATCTCGATATCTTGTGTACAAAGTGCCGTGTCCATCCGGCCACTCGTCATGGTCAAATAGTTCCCACCCTCTTGACTTGTAAAAGTCAGCAGCCATACAGATCATCAAACCTATTGATATCTAAAGCCAACTACCCAAAAAGAGTTCCAAGCACCGGACGCGACCAATCACCCCGCATGGCGGCCGTCGACTTCACCAAGCTTACTCCGGAGGAGCTGGATGCTGTGCTGGAGATGCCAGCCATGGCTCCTCCGGCCAACGAAGTCAGCAACTTCACCAACCCGCCCAATCTAAACCCTATGGCTGTCGCCATCATGTCCATATGTGTGGTCGTGGTGGTTGTCTGCCTGCTCGCCCGCGGATATGCCAGGCTTATTCTGCAAAAAAAGGTTCAAGTTCAAGAATACTTAATCTTGACTGCGTTTGTGAGTATCATCCATCTTTATACTCGAAAATGTCAACATATCAGCTGACCGCCGCCAATAGGCGTGTTTCCTCGGCTGGGTGTATTGTACGATGAAATTAGTCGAAAGTCCAGGATATTACGTCCACACGTGGAATGTCAAACTTCGGCAAACGGTCGATATGGGCTTAGTGAGTTGCTACATCGTCCGACATAATCATCGACTGCACAGGAAACTAATCATCACCAGCTCGTCCATGTCGCCGGCGTCTTCTACTCGGTCTGCCTTCCGCTTCTAAAGTCATCCATTCTGGTGGAATGGATAGGGGTATTCGTCCCTGGAACGAGGAACTGGTTCTTTTGGGTGTCCTGGACCCTGGTTGGTCTTCAGGTTGCGTTCGCCATTGCCGCCGTCGTCGCTCTTAACTTGGCGTGTATTCCGACTCAGAAGAAGTGGGAGTTCTGGCTTCCTGGGAAATGCATCAACGCCCACGACATCGAGACAGTTTCTGCCAGCTTCCAGCTGGCTTCGGATTGCGCTATTCTCATCCTTCCCCAAAAGGCCATCTGGAGCCTCAACATGGGCTGGAAGAAGAAGCTGGGTGTTTCTGTCATCTTCTCCCTTGGTTTGTTGTAAGTGTTGATTCACATAACCTGCCCCCAGCCATCTCTACATGGCTAACGTCGATGTCACAGCGCTTGCATTTCTGCCGCTTTCCGTCTAGTTGTCACCATCCAATACGCCGCAGCCCAAGATGCCATATACTACATCGGTCCCGTTTGCTTCTGGGCTTATGCAGAGATGACTTGCGGTTTCATCGTCGTCTGCGTCCCTTGCATCCCCAAGATTCTGCTGGAAAGCGGTGTCTGGCGCCAGATACAAAAGACCTTCGGCTTGAGTGTGACCGGCAAATCTGGGGCGACAGGCGGTACCGGTGGCACCAGTGGCAGCTCCAGGAACAGAGCGGGCTCAAGCGCCAAGAGGTCCAAGAACATTCGCTCCGTAAACAACTCGTACTTGGAAATCGACGACACGGAGTTGAAGACCTTCCAGTCCGAGTCAACGGAGCACCTTCGAGACCCCATCGACCCACATGCCAAGCTCGATAAGGGGATTGTTCGCACCATGCAGGTCACCCAGGACTCGACCAACTCCAACAGCCAGGAGACCGTGTACGACCACCGGACGCAGAAGTCGTGGAGGTAAAAATAATCCTTTGTGTTTGAGTCACAACTTGCATGAAGCAGATATGGATATCATCCCAATCATGCCACGCAGCTGTTGGGAAGGAGGGGGGACGGGAAAAGGAAAGGAAAAGGGAAAACTAATAAGGAGCTTATCCTCGTCCACAATAGTGAATGCGGGCAAATGCGAGTATAGTAAGAAGAAACGGTAAATCCATGTAAATTAATACCCAAGTATGGAATATGCAAATGTCTTCAGTAGCCGGCTATAGAATTCAGCTGTGTCCCGAGTTTTCTCTGCCGTCTCTTCCTCTTTTGAACCCTCTACAGTTATGGAATTTCTACGATATCCTGCCCTTTCAAGAGATTTACTTCATGTGAGAAATGTGTTTCTCAATCTCGACGAAATTAGCGTTCGTCCGAAATTGAGGAGATCATATGTGTTCATAAATATCACGAGAGAAACACCCAGAAATGCCCCCTAACCAAGGGGGCAGCGTTATGCGTAGCTGGCCGTACGTCACATGTCTTTATTCCCTTTTAGAGGCAAACTTATTCCCCTCAACCAGGAATCATCTGCATGGTCTTGTCGACGGAAATTGCGGCATGGCTACCACTAAGCTCCGCTATCCGTGCATGCTTCTGCCACTTACGTACGTTCCCGCCGGGATGACGATCCATCATACCCAAAGAAGTTGAAAACCAAAGTTCCCGTCTCTTGTACGTTGAAGAAAATAGCGTTACAATGTAGAGCATACTGGGTAAGGCCTCCCGCTCGGAAAAGTGGCGGGTGGGTAGGCTGGGAAGTTCTCTGGTTGGTCAACCGGCTTTGCTTGGAAGCTCCCGCGCCGTGGACATCCTTGAATGGGCGCAAGCCGTCGCGTGATGACAGGGGTTAAAGGACAAGGGTGTTTTGAGAAAAGGGAACGATCGGCACACCGGAACGAAATGACTCCTGAATACTGCAGCATATGATAGGAAACGGTTCCAACAGCATGCTAAAACGGCACACGGGGGGACCTGAACACATTCTTCAGCGTCGTGCCCCTACAATGGCTGTCTGTAGATGGCATCAAGTCTTCTTGGTCCAATTTTCTCTCCCCACAACATCTTCAAAATCTACTCGCATTAAACCACAAGCTACACTGCTGTTATCTCATTGGTTTTACTCCGCAGGTAGTACCATAGAATAGTTATGAACCCTGCTCGTACTCGGCCAAAGGCAACCCCTGCACCTTCAGACAAGGTATAACGACTCCTCAATCCCTCCAAGCCCCAAGTCAGTCGACATCGTCCACCAACAGTCTGAGGGCAGTCTGAGGGAATTGGCAACTCCATGCCCCTTGTTAAATCACTGTTTGGCTAAGGACAATCCTTATGCAGGATGCTTGAAAGGGACTCACCGCTTTATTTTGCCTTCCTAGACCTAATTCACTTGCACTCCCAAGCACTGCATAAATCTCCATGGCTGCTCAAGGCTGGCCGTTTTCACCCCACCACACTATTGACGTCGTTCATTACTGTATCCCCCGCGATTCTAGAACGTAGCTCGTGAAACAAGAAGTTCTAAACTTTTGCAACTGATTCATTAGTCCTGTACTGTCACCGTACACAAAGACATCGACTGGACTCCGTGTGCTTCCAAAGCTACCATGCCTAAAGTTGAGGAATACCAGCTACACCCCTGGGGCTGGGAGAATGACCCCGAAGAGGAGCGATTCAAACTCTCCACCCTCGACTACCTGTCGGCGATGACCTACAACAACTATGCCCTCTTTTTCAAGCTAGACGACGAAGAGAAGAGGTGAGTGCCGAGACCCCATCTCTGCCTCAAAAATAATGGTCGGGTTCTAATGCCCCAACAGCAAAGTTGCGGAAGTGCTCAAGGAAGGCCTAGAGCGAACTCTCAGCCAGACCAAGAACCTCGTCGGCACCATCGAGAAGGACGAGGACGGCTATCACTCCATCGTTAAGAAGAAGGACAGCACTGTGAAGTTTGTTGTTCAGCATCTTGACTCTCCAGAAGACAAATTCCCGTCTTTTGAGGAAATCGAGAAGGCGCACTTCATCACAACCACACTCGGCGACATCAAGGTCTTGAGTAACCTTCCCATGACATATGGCGAAAAGCCAGAGGCACACCCGAACGCCCACCCCGTCGTCGCCTCATACAAGGCCAACTTCATCCCCGGCGGTCTGATCTTCAACATGCACTCCCACCACTACAGCAACGATGTCGTCGGCTGGGGTTCTTTCACCAAGCAACTGGCCGATAACTGCTATGCCATCATTAACAAGACGGAATTCCCCTCTTTCGACCCCAAGTGCCTGGACCGTAGCCGCTTCACCGCGCCTCCGATCCCCAAGGAGTCCCGGGTAAACGCGCCTCCCCAGGCAGACCGTCACCCGCAACACAAGCTTTCGCAGTCCGTCATCTTTCATCTGCCCAAGAGCAAGGCAGCCGAGTTGAAGAAGGCCGCCACGCCCGACGACGGCTCCTGGATTTCCACATACGACGCCGTCTCCGCCATCATGTGGCGCGTCTTCTCCCAGATCCGCGAGCCCGTCTACAAGCCGGACCCGGCTTCCACGCCAATCTGGGCGGAAGGCGTCAATCTGACCAAGCGGCTGACAGACCCTAAAATGCCCGCTCGCATGCAAGGCAACCTCTTCTTCGCCACCATGTCCGCCCTGTCGACTGTGCCGCAGCTGACGACGGCCGAGATCGTTTCCGAGGCGCCCTTGTCCAAGTTGGCGAGCTACACGCGCCAAATGACCAACGGCGTCACCAGCGAGATGCTGGCTGGCGCGCTCCAGATGCTCGCACCGATCGACAACAAGCACGACCTGTCCGTCCGCGTCAACTCCTTCCCGCCGATGACGATGGTCATCACCGACTGGCGCGACGCCGACGTGTGCACGGCTGACTTTGGTTTTGCCAAGCCCACTGCCTTCCGACACCTGTTCGACACGGTTTCCGAGGGCCTCGTCATCGTGTACCCGCCGCACAAGGGACAGGCTGGCGACGACGAGGGAATCGAGTTGCAGATTGCGTTTGAGAAGGAGCTCGTGCCGCAGTTGGTTGACCATCCTGAATGGAAGAAGTACTTTGAGTTCAGGGGTGTTGATGCGGAGGAGGCCAACCCTGGGAGTGAGACTGTACAAATGGCTTGATCTGGTCGTCAGGGTTTTGGAATGATTCTCATTTAAATAATAGTAGTTGACATGTACACGTAATTGACAGAATTTATACTACATATACCTTCTTGCAATGACCTCAAGGCGATCTCCATGTTTCCCTTAAGGACCGTCGCAACGGGGCCCAATGTTTCGCTATTCGGTCAAAGTGGCTTACTATTGGCCTCCAGCTGCCAAGTCTGTATCTTGATGTTGTTTGCTTTATGGGAATAATCCGTTCTATCTAAACCTTGGCTGTGAGCCATAGACATAACAGCTCAGCACTCGCCGGATGCTGCAGTATACTTAAGCATGATGTTGTTGTGGGCCGTATTGTCTCCCAGAGGTGCCAGGTCGTGGTCCACCTTTTCAATGCTCGAGTGTCAAGATTTGATAGGATCTTGTCTCTTGTATCCTATCACGGTCCAGTTAGCTACAACTACTTATTCCCCAATTTACACCCACTCTTTTCCCCTCATATCAGGGATACATAGCCGTTGGCTATCAAGCCCTATGCTTGCCAGACTTCATTCTTGTAACTCTAATAATGCAAATACATGTTGCAAGCTATATTCTGCACATCGCATAAGTACCTTTCCATTGAATTATGTGGTCAGCTAGAGGCAGTCTTGGCTAGCCTGTGAGTGCTCAGGTCTTCTCATGAGGATGTACCCGTACCCAACTGGACCTCGATGGGATAGGTATTTAACATATTAGAAAGGACGTGGCACAGTGTACCTGAGGAATGAAGTTGGAGAAAATGTGCGTCTCAAGTTGTAGAGTATTCGGGCAAGGTACACTCTTAATTACTTTCTAGAGACTTTTATCTTATGCATCTTTACATTGGACTTCATGTATGCACGAAACATTAATCCCTGTACGCTTGTAGCCTTGACTCGTACAGCTCAAGGTACCATGTGGCTGGGCTTTTCAGGGTTGTATTTAAGGCTGACTAGAGTTTCCGTGCGGGCGGAATACAACACTGGCAAGACCTCATCTCCCACACAGTACCCAGGAAAGCCTTCTAACGGGATGGTGTAACTGTAGACACAGTTGTAGATTCCAACTCAGGTGATTGTTCTTAATCTGGCAGGTTAGCTAGGAAGACGAAAACAATCACGACATAGTGTGAACAACGAATTGTCTGTGTGTATATCTAAGAGAAATGCCCTTGTTCTAGTCTTTATGTTTGTCGCACGCACCCATGACACAGCATGCTCTAGACCTTTTTCAATTTGAAACCACCCGTCTGGAAATACCGTGCCGATGCAAATACGCCTGCTGACGCAAAGATGGCAAATCCGCAAAACAGTTGCAAACCCAGATAGTCACCTCCGCGCGCATCAACAATAGCACTGGCGATCGGGCTTCCCGTAAGCGCACCGAAGGACTGGAAGGCAAATGCTGTGCCTGTGCGAGCGCCAATCTCCCTGATGTCAGAGATTTGAGCAATCAGAGTAGGTCCGATCGAGGTGAGACCAGATGAGCAGAATCCAAACGCCGCCGTGAAGAGCAAGATACCGGCATTGTTCTTGATCGGTATCCAGAGTGCTAGACAAGCAATGCCCGTGAGAGTGGCGATGATTATCATGATGTTGTACCGTCCAATCTTGTCTGCGATGAGACCTGGAAGTATACGTCCGACAATCCTGTTGCACACATTAATAATCATTGTTCGTCAGGCATGGAAGGTGTGTAACTTACCCAACTGCATGCATGATCGGCAGCAAGTAGATAACCAGTTCCTGGTCCATACCCTGGGCTTTAGCCTGCAATATGACAAAGTTGTATGGAACGAACAGGCCTAAGAAGACCAAGAACAAACCAAAAACAGTCGACATCATGGTCGGCTCTCGAATGCCCCGGAAGTACTCCTTCATGTCTACTGACCTCTGCTCGGGCTTGAGTCGGGACCTGACAGTGCAGTTGGCGATGGTGAGGAGGAACAGAAACATGAAGCCGACGGCGCGTATCGCCCACGGAAAGCCAACCTTGGTGATCAGCTTGGGTATCATGATGGGTAGAATGATGCCACCGCAGGAGGAACCGGACATCATAATACCAAAGGCCAGTCCGCGTCGCCGATGGAACCAGGTAACGAGGCACGACATGCATGCGCTGGTGGCGGCGCTAGCTCCGATGGGACAGACAATGCCTTGAGCAAGGAAAAAGTGATAATACTCCGTCCCCAAAGACACCATCATCATACCGAAGACGTAGATGATGGTACCCCCGAAGAGGATCCATCTCGGGCCATACTTGTCAAAAGCAAAACCCCACTAGTTTTCAAAGTCAGATTCGCGAGAAGCTTTTACGGGCGGGAGAAATTAACGCACTACAATAGGCAGAAAGTTCATTGTCCATTGCATAAAACTGGTAATCCACGATATCGTAGACGAGGAGTATTGCCTGAGCGCATCGTTGACGTAGTATGTCTGGAAGACACCGATGCTGTTGCCGAGGCCGTAGGTGCAGAGGAGAACACACCATGACCCGAAAAGTACCGTCCAGGCCTGCCGGCCTCCCTCGGGAAAACCATCCGTGCTGGAAATAGTTTCCGGAATCGCAACTACTGCTTCTTCCATCATAGTTGGCTCAGCATGACTTCCGGCATCGGCGCAAGGGTTCGGATCGGACGAGGGCGGTTGGCGGGTCCTATCGGTGGCGTCGCCGGCCCCCATTCCGGGGCCTGATGTGGTCTTTTCCTCCATCTTTTACCGCATGGAACTCCGGACAAATCACCGGGGCATTTCTGTGGCCGGGGAGATGCAGTTTCCAGACTTTGGCCCCGGCGAAAGACTCTTAAATACAACGGATGGAATCTGGGGAACAATGGGGGTTGGGGGGGTGGGGGGGCCCCCGGGGAACATTTCCTCCTACGTACTTTTCATTACCTAAGTGTGGGCTACAGGATGAACGAATTTCCACCATTCATATATGATAAGCGGCTTACCATACCGACCCCAGATTGCGCTACCTCAGAGCTCGGGTATGTTGATCCGGCGGCTCTTGAATTGTTGGTGGCTCATTCTACTGCTAGGCTTCAGTTGCCATTGGTTGTCCTCGGAAGAAACAAACGGAACACTGAATCTGAAAGGAGTTGAGGTCGCCTTGTTGATAACAATGCGCCAATCATTAAGCCGAGGTTAGCACTACAAACATTTCGAATAAACGTTTATTCGGCGCTTCCCACAACTCGTTGGATGAGGTAGCCGTTTTTCTGGTCCGTTCTATCATCAACGCTTGCTTCTTTTCCTTCTTCCAATCATTCTTCGACTTATATTCAAAAGCGAGAACAGCTAAAATCAAACGACTCGGCTTCGCAATACCGTCGCGGTAGCCCTAGACTTATCGCATCGCTCTCTGGACGTGTCTAACGACAGCCGTGAGTCTCACGATTCCTTCGACAATCTCTTCCTCCTCATGCCATGCCCAGCAAAGCCTTGCGCCGTTGTAGTATGTGGCCCTTCCCCTGTTCTCACTCGAAGGGTCATCAGGCACTCCGAATATGTGACCAGGTCCAATCTTCAAATTGAAGTCCTCGAATGCGACCCGAGAAATCTCAGATGCGACTCCTGCTACTCCTTCTCCAAAGGTGATGTATAGAAAGAATCCACCAGCAACGCCGCTTTTCTGTATGCTGTCCTCTGCCACTACCCTGACCCCCAATGGGTACAGATGGTGTCGGATTGCGTTCATCATTCCGTGATACCGCTTCCGGTAGGTCGGGATGAGAACCTCGTTGATATGCCTAGTGAAAGCTCCGTTCTCGAGCACCTTTTCCACAAACAGTGATGAGAAATGAGCTTGACCGCCTCCTGACCCGGTCGCACCACTATCCGCTAATCAGTCTGTGTGCGCTTGGTGGATTGTAAAGAATGAGACTTACACGGTACGCATAAAGGTAGTGAAGACAGGAGTGGCTTCTATCCAGCCTAGTCTCATGCCAGGCGCAACGATCTTTGAGAATGACCCGTTGCTGACAGCATTTCCAAACTCCGACGTGCCCTCCAACTCCCGATCTACGTCTACGAGTCGTGGGGGAGGTGAGGGCAAGCCTTCCTGTGAGCCGCCTTCGTTTGCCGGCCAGCGGAGCACATCGTAGACATCGTCGGTTATGAGCAATGCGTCGTGCTTCCGGGCCAAACGAACGAGGCGTCTCCTGCTTTCCAAGCTCATAGTCTTGCCACTAGGATTCGAAAACGTCGGAATCAGATAGACGACGTGTCTGTAGATCTTGGGGTAACCTAGTTTCGGTGATTTGCCCGGAGTTGCTGTCTTGTCGGGCCAAGATTCATCCACCTCTTGAAGAGACCGGGCCAAGACGTCAAGGTCTACGCCGTCTGAGGCTTCGGGCGTGCCTCTGATACGCCCAATGAGGCCCGCGTCTCTAAAGATGGGGCAAGCGAGAAAGTAGGTGGGCTCAACCATCCAAACGGCGCGCGTGTAAACCGGGTCGGTGAATTTTTGGAGAATCGTCGCCAGGCCGTTGGAAGCGCCGTTGGTTTCACCAATACGGTTGCCGGGGATTGATCCTGCTGCTGGCGCATAAAAGTCGTTGAGCCATTTGCCGATGAGATCTCGCAGAGCAGGCCTTCCCAGCCCGGGCCCGTACCTTAGAAGCTCCTTTGCAGCATCCTCCTGACGGAAGATCGAAGCCGAGGCAGCTTCAAGGTCTTTGACTGGATGCAAACGAGGTGTTGGCCATCCTCCTTGGAGGTTAATAAAGGAGTGCGGCTCAGCAGTTGGGACTCTCATGTTGCAGGATGAGGGTGTTGCGAAATCAGAGTTCGGTAACGCTGGATTGTCCAAACCCAGATAAGTAGGAATGGTGTTTTATCGGCCGCCTGGGATTCGTTCAGAGAAATGACGAACAGCGGGGCACAATGTGCGAAAGGACCATGGTGGTAGATCGGTGTACACCGGAAGTATGGCAGGCCTCCAGTGGTCTAATCTGTAGCAAAGTCCTCTGAATAACCCCTTTTCTTAAGGAAATTGTTATACACATATTCCAGAGCTTCATTAGTAACCACTTGGAGAGTGCAATGCGCAGCTGTATCTCAGTTGAGTACCTATGTTGAGTTACTGTAATGATGCGGATCCGAGTCTCCCCGTGGGAAAATGTGGATCCTGCGGATGGAGCCCGATTCCCCCGTGCAACTGAGCCACCGCCGACTTCGGACATAAACACATCGACTTCCGCCGCCAGGCTGGCCGTGCCGTATCATTGCAACTGCTCTGCATCAGTGTAGTAGGCCTTAAGCACAGTATCCTCGCAGTTATCTCCTTCTTATCACGTCTGTATTGACTAAGCAGCCATGGCGCCAGCCTCACCGAACGACCCACAGTTTGTTGTGCTTGGTGCCGGGGTCATCGGTCTGTCCACGGCGCTCACTCTTCGGAGTGAGTATCCCACGGCGAGCATCACCATTCTGGCGGAGTACTTCCCTGGAGACTACCATATTGATTACTGCTCCCCATGGGCAGGCGCAAACTGGTGCTCATCAGCGAACGATAACGGTCTCCTCGAGTCTTTTGACCGCATCACCTTCCAGCGGTTCGAGAAGATCGCGAAGAATGTCCCCGAAGCCGGCATTCAGAGCTCGCCTCTGAGGATGATATTCGACCAAAAGATTGAAGATGCCGAAATTCTCAGCGCGGGGACTGGAAAACTGTGGTATGACGACCTGGTGGGAGGTGCAGTCGCCCTCAGAAAGGATGAATTGCCTGAAAAAGCCGTCTTCGGGCTAGACTTGCCTTCCACGTTTGTAATAAACTCACAAATATACCTCCAATGGTCTGTGTCAATGCCCTGGTTTACAAATGAGCGTTTAAACTTACGCAAAACAGGCTCTTGGAGCAGTGTAGGCAATGGAACATTGCCCTGCTGCGCCAGCGAATCAAGCATATCAAAGAGGCGCGTATCACACCAGATGTCGTAGCTGTCTTCAACTGCACCGGCCTTGGATCGTATCACCTCGGAGGAGTCGAGGATAAGTCCATGTACCCTACCCGAGGTCAGACCGTTCTGGTTGAGCAGCCAATCCACCCCCTGAAGCGGATGTACTTCCGTTCGCCTCGCCGGGTGGATAACGATACTACCTACATCTTCCAGAGACCTCTGGCCGGTGGTATCGTTTTAGGTGGCTGTCGTCAGGATGGGAACTGGGATAAGAATGTAGATCCCGAGTTGGCCAAAACCATCATGGAGAGATGCTGTGCTTTAGCGCCTGAGCTAGGACGCCCAGAAGACTTGAAGGTCATCAAGCACGGCGTCGGACTGAGGCCTGGACGAAAGGGCGGCCCGAGGATCGAAGCCGAAAATAGCGAATACGGTCTGATTGTGCACAACTACGGTGCTTCTGGTGCTGGGTACCAAGCGTCTTGGTGAGTTGCTCCTCCAGCCTTGAGATATTATTTACAAGCCTAACAGAAGTTCAGGGGCATGGCAGTACATGCTGTTCGGCTTGCTCAGGAACAGCTGGAAAGAAAGGCGCCTCCAGCGTTTAAGCTTTAATCGAATCCAGCGCAATTATGATCTTAGTGCTCATACGGATGACGAAGCCTGTAAGACATTTCGCTCTGTTAGATTCAGGGGAACATGAAGCAAAAGTCATGGTCTCAAGCTGTTAAGTCTTGGGATGTCTGAATAACTGGACCCAGAACCACGCGTCTATATAGAAACCGCCTAGATGCTATCTGGCTGGAGGAGTTGTCCTCTCACCCCGGACAAGAATGGCGATGGATGAACCCTCTCTTACCCTGAACTCCTCTTGGCCACCGACTTGAAGGATCGCAGCTATGGCATATGAATGTACAGTCAACGACATAAACTGGTTCTTATCAGTGGAAAAGATCTCGTCCAAAACCTTCTGCTTCCTTGCAACGTGACTCTCGGTATCCTCAAACTGGTCTGCTTTCCACAGCTCATCCTCTTCGGTAAAGCCAGGTTCAATAGTGTACGTCGGGTAAGCGCTTTTGATCCACGTCCGGGAACTCCGTTTGTCACATGTGTGGTCCGTCATACGCTCTCTTAAACCCTCCTTAATGACAGGCGTGAATTCCTGGCCTCTCTCTTCCACCAAGCTACCAAACGCGAGCTTGCTTGTTTCGAGGCACCGACGCAAGGGGCTGGTGTAAAAGGACTCAGGGAATGGAACACCCTCTGCCGTAGTGACTGCTTTCCAAAAGGCATTAAGGTCCCTCGCTTGGCGAATACCCGTGTCAACGAGCTCAGCATCAAGCCACGTGACGACGCCGTCGCCGTCGAGACGAGACCAATATCTCTAGTAAGAGTTATAAGACATCCATTGATTCGTCTGAGGGGGGTTATCTTGACTTACATCCCACTCAGCAGTTCCGACTTTAGCGGCTTGGACATTGTGGAATCCCAAACCGTGCCTTGTCAGGTACAAGACCTTGTAGTCGACACCGTCTGGGCTCTCTTTATTGAGCTGATTGACATGGGAAGCAAAACGCTCCCACGGCTTGCCCTCCCCGCTATCTTGGCACTGACCAGGACTTCCGACAGCCTTGTCGAGGAGGCCTAAGCCCGGCTGTGTAGTTGCCTTGCCACTAGGACTCCCATCTGCGACTGCATAGTAATCGACGAAATACTCTGGCAGGATTGTGAACTTGTGGTGAAAGACGGGATCCACTGGTGCAGCCATTTTCCGCTGCAATGGGCGTGTAACAATGCCTACTAGTATGGAGATTGAGCGTTGGGAGACCTGAGAAAGAGCAATATTGGAGTGTGTGGGGAATTATTCGAAAGCATCCTTGATGACTCATGATTTGTTGGGGTATGATTTGAGGGATATAAAAGATAGTCTTACTGAGGCTGAGCAACCACATGCTAATGCGTCCTGGTTTATCGCCGTGCTTTAGGCCTCAGTCTCACCTTTACAAGGTATTCACATTCAACATCCGCAACCAAATACAAGGCTTCATGTGCGACTTCAGAGCCGCCGAGGTCAGTGTTAGCTTTTACATGGTCTACTAGGCAGTCTGAAGTTGCAGGTGCAATTCAACGCCTCGTGCAAAACCAGGAAACCTCGTCCCATGACCAAAAACAGCAACTTTGGTTTCTTAAAATACCTCTATCTAGCTACCCCGCACCAACGCAGTAAGCACTTCATACATGGTAAACAAGATGTGAGTAATTTCATCCTACTACACAAAGCGGGACAAGTTTCTCCGACAATCTTCCGGCTGATTTTAGCTGTTGTTTTCTTGGCAGCATTACATGACGATGTAAAGTGGTGTGTTCAACTAAAAAGAAGAAAGAAAAATGATGAAGAAAAAAACAACAAGAATAAAACTCTCTGCATAGTAAGTCTCGGACGAAAGCACAATTGCAGTCGTTTTTGCGGATCCACATTTGTTTGACATGAAGCTCGTTTCATAAACTATCTGGAGATTCATCTAAACATGTGAAGATCCGAAGTTGATAGCCCAAACTAAGTAATACCTTATTTTACTGAAATACAGGTCCTTTTCTTGTTACATCTGACTCAGGCCCACCGAGGAAAGTGGCTTGGCACACTGAGGTAGCCGTTGACGTGTACAATCTCTCCCAAGCACAGGATCTGGGAAGTTCTGGTAAAACGCCAGACTTCGAAGGCATATTTTGAGGCTTTCTAGATGTTTGAGGCCCTTCGAAGGCAGCGCCACCACCTACTCTTTGATATCGTGACGGGGAAACCCATTTCAGGTCGTAGGTAAGCTTCTTCAGGTTTGGGGCATGAAGCTGGGTTGAAATGCGCCTGGAAGCTGGCCGTAATCTCCAACAAAACGATCCTTCCGTCGTGGGACAGAGAATTTCCAACCGAGATCATCGCTTCGTAAAAAAGCGTGGTGCTTGTCTAGAACCCACACATCAACCAGTTTTATCCCGAAAATTTCTGCAGGCGATATCGAATTGTTTGTACGAAGTTAAACCTGTCTGCAGATAGAAGGAACCAGAACAAAGGACATCTAATTAAAGATGGAAGTTTTAGTTAGGAAAACTTGTTTTCAGAATTGTCCTTGAATAGGGTTGCATTTCTTTCAACCGACATAATACGTGGACATCAGAGCTTTGTCACCCACTCCAAGTGAATAAAATTACATGAACAATGATACTTGTATGGCTTTCTAAGATGCTAGAACAGAAACTCAGTTCTTTCTTTCGCAGAAATCAAAAGGTTGCTGAAACGCATCGAACCCCAAGCATTGTTTATAAAATTGGTTGCTTCTAGAAGAAACTTTCTCCAGGTTTCAACCCTATATGCGCTTACTATATTATTTGTTTACTGCGTGAACCTAGAAACTATATAATCATCACATTTCAACGTTATTTTATTCGCAATACCGTGTCCCACGCTCTCCGCAACAGTCAGCCATGTGCCACCTCGCTACCGCCACATGCAATACCTGTCAAGAACTGCAGACGGTTTTGGTCCGGCATACAGCGACTACTTCGCACCCCCATGCAATTACTTCTTTGACAAACGAATTTCACTTGCCTTGCGAAAATGCAAAGCTCACGGGTAAGAAGTGCTGTTGGCTCTTCACCTGGCGATTTTCCGCAACTATTCCCGAGGTCTTTTGCAAGAAGTGCCAGATGTACCGCGGAGAGATTGACTACCAAACATGGCTGTGGAGGGATATGAATCGCCGAAACGATTTGCTCAACTGTTTAGATGTTGAGAAGTCCAGAAACAGAAACTCCTGGTGGAAAGTTTTCTTATGCTGAGAGAGCAGTTGAAAGGATGAAAAGAAGACAGAAGGCCTTCAACAGTACTTCATCGAAAGCCATAAGGGATCAGAGTGAAGCGAGTATCGGAATATTTATTCATTATCTGTGTTGCTGTGTAATGTGGGCTGGATCATGTTGTAGGTCATAATCGCCATCTGGCTATAGACGTAATGTGGCTGTCCCTCGGAAGACCAAATCTGATCAAAATGTCAAATTCCTCTTCCATTCATGAGAATCCTTCAATTAATCATTTGCATTTAGGGCTTTTTTCAAAGCCAAAAACGATAACAAACTATGAAGAAGCGCTTCGAAGCTTGACTCGGACTCTCGTGCCATCGACGGGCCTAGCAGTGATTTGCCGAGTCTATATCAAGTTTGTCAGTGGGATTTATCAGCGCACTTGATGGATTGGAATATGTTACTCACGTTGTACAGCCGCGTGTTTGACTGATGTTGACCCTTCTCGTTGATGATGGGCTTCCCATCCGTGCCGAGCGTCGCCTCTCCAAGGCCGACCTTTTCAAATTCATAATGGCCAACCACACTCGCCAAGATCACCCTAGCTTCAATGTTGGCCAGTTCCTGCCCAATGCAGTTTCTCGGTCCCCTTTCAAACGGCCTCCAAGCCGCAGCAGGAATCTCATTTCCGCTTGCATTGTTAATTTCTGCTTTTTCGTCGTCGTTCGTCGTCGTCGATGTATCTGTATTACCTAACCATCTCTCTGGCACGAAGTCATCCTTGGTGCTGCCGTAGACCTCAGGGTCGCGCTGAATGAGAGACGCGCAAGTGTAAAGAACAATTCCGTCGACGCAGTGACTGCTACCATCCGAAAATTGAAGGTGAAAGTTTGACCCCGGGGGGCATAAGCGCGCAGAGCCGGCGGGTGGGTAGAGGCGCAGAATCTCCTTGATGACCGCCGAAGTATATGTCATCTTCTGAATGATTTCGTCGCCTCTGGATAACAAGGCCTCGCGAACTGCTTCAGGACTGAGCACAGGGCCAAAGAGACTTTCCAGTTCTGCACGGAGAGTCTTCATAGCACGAGGTGTCCTAGATAGCTCGTAGATAGCCCATTGCAGGAGGATGCTGGTGGTGTCGTGTCCCGCAAACATGAAAGTCTTGAGTTGGTCCATTGTGATGTTGACAACATCCTGGGTCAAAATTTGAGTGTCTTTGAGACTCAGTGCCAGAACGCTTCGACTGGAGACATCTTTCTTCACATCATCGAATTTCCTTTTGATCGCTTCTGCCAAAAAGCCGTTGAGTTTCTGCGAGAGATTTTTACGTCGCCATTTAGTCATTGGACTTTCCCAAGTTATCGCACCGGTATTGTTCTTGTAAGTTAAGAGGAAGTCTTTGTAGTTTTTGATGAAGTCTGTCTGTTGGTCTTCGGGGAGTTGGGCTCCAAGATCGACGCCCATGGTTACAGCACCTATATATCGTAGTGAGAAATTGTTTTCCTTCAATTGTGTAGGTTGATGAGGGCTAACCAATTATATCGAAGGTGAGATTGGTACAAAGCGGCTCAAGCTCAAAGACCTCTCCAGTCTCAGCGCGCTTGTTCAGTTCGGAAATAAAGAACGGTATTTTATCGAGAATGACGGGCATTTGGCTCATTAAATGTTGAGGGGCAAAGCCAGGGTTGAAATGCTTCCTCATATCTTTCCATCGAGAGCCCTGAAAGTTATCTCAGTAAGGTATCTGAATTTAGGGAGAGTATCAAACCAAGAAGAATGACTCGAAAACTTACTGAAGCCAACACGATTGACGTGTCGCCCAAGAGTGGCAAGAGATGCTTCATGGTGTCGGACTTAGGAGTGCTGTACGGCCATAGCTTCGACTGTCTAGTTACTTGTTCGGCAATCTCATGATTACGTATAAAAAGAATAGGGTGATTAAGAGGACGGAGGTCGACGATCATAACTGGTGGATTGCCAATAGATTCGAACATGTCTCCAAAAGTGGGATCTGAAAAATCCTCGTCTCATCAGAAGATCTGTACGCACTTTGAGAGGGAATAGAGAGTTTCTACTTGCCAGTCTCCTCTTCCTCCATGCCACGCTTCAGCTGGAATTCGTGGATGGCTTTTAGATGGCCCCATATCAACGATGGTTTGAGTTGTGGTAAATTTCCGTGCTGCTTGAAACGGCGGTAGTACAGCGCAGCATACAGGTAGAACAAAATTGCCGGAAGCGCCAACAGCGCGATAGAGGAGGCGGCGCTCAGCATAATGAAATCTGGGCCCTGAGCACCAACAAAACAAGATGCAGGAGGAAGGTAGGCAGTTTGGCACGGCTCTGCAGCAAGTCAGTAGCTTTGAGATTTAAGAAAAGGCAGTGGATTTGCATCGGATGTGAAAACTTCCGTTTCATGTAGCGCCTGAACGAGGCGCCCACAGTCTCCAAGCATCGCCCACCTGACGCTATGATGGCAAGAAGTTCCAACAGGGATCATTTAGTGGGTGAACAAACTACGGATAACTCCAACAACCTTTCAGCTGTCAACGATACCCCACAATTCAGATAAATTATGGCCAAAGCGGGTAGCAATGCACGAATTCCGAGGTAAAGATCGCCTGTTATTGGACGCTTGTTTACTGATGCATAAGCGATGTCAAAAGCACTATTTCAGATGCTGTTGTACCAGGAAGTTCGTAGACCTAACGCGGATATACTTGATCCTATTAGAGTATTCTGTTGGAGAAATCTATGACATCCATGTCCTCCTTTTACCTTATCCGATGATGGTTAACCCTTCCGATAGGCTATACCCAGCATCAGGTCTCCGCAAGGTTGAAACGCTAAGAGCCCTACCCAGTCAATCATTCCACGCTCGGTTGAGGGGTTGTTAACCGAACGACACGAATACGGACATGCTAGGTAGTCTGGGATCAGCTACCCGAGCAAGACCTCGACTTGCCGAATGGAAAGCCGGTGGCAATCACTGCCCAAAACTCAGTTCGAGTTGGCTATATTACATAGTATTTATCAACTAGAACACTAACCTTACTTAGACTGACTAAGGCACGCCACCTACTAATGCACTCGGTATCTCCATGACCAATGCTTTCTTCCTCTGTCCAATAACGTTTGCATATCGTTCAGATACTCTTCAATCCCAAGTCCATACGTAGTAATTAGACCGGCCTTGACACTCTGGTATGCCCATGAGCGTGCTTGATACTCATAGCCTGCACCATGCCATTCGAGGGCTGCAATTGCGTATGCCTTACTAATGAAAGGGTCCAAACCTTCTTGCTTATACAGGCTTACAAGCAATTCGGCCATTGCTACTGGCTCGGCTGGTGCGATTTGCTCATTTTCTAAATACTTTTCCAAGAGTATAATGTCGTTGACACGACTATCAGATAAGTCAGCAAATATGCCTGTGGCCTTGCATTGATTACAGGCGCATGCAAAGCCAAGGTACTTTTTCGTATACTGCTGACGCTCTTGAAGGGTTTGTATGGTATTGAAGTAGGATATGGTAATCTCCTCATCAGCAGCAATGTCTCGGACTGCATACAGCCTATGTATAAGCAGGTCCCAATCCCATTGAACTGCAGCATTGGATCGGCAACCATGGTTAATCTTCTATAATACTTTTAGTAATCAAGCTTACCTCATATGTGTTGGGAACTCACTGATATATTGGCATGTACTGCTACCATACCAAGATCTGATTCACTCTCTAACTCAGGCCAGTCATTTGTTGGCCCACCGTAGACTCCGTAACCATTTGTATAAATCTTTTGCCAAGGGTTGCTTATATCGTGCCCTTCATAGAGCTCGTGAAAGGTTTTTCGTGTGAGTTTTGGCAACTTTTCAATAGCTAGCTCTTCAAGTGTTGTCCTTGCTTTTTCAGATGAGACATTGATGGTCCAATTATCGTCTATGAGAATGATTGGTGCCTCTTGAGTAATAAGACTACCGGCGGAGATATGGCTGTTTGCAAATATACCTCGGCCTTTGTTTCCGCTAACTTTAGTTCGAAACAATAGCTTATGAGTAGAGATAGGAAGATTTGACATAAGTGAACTGGTTTTGAAGATGTATCGGGCACGCGCTGGGGTTGTTATTATAACTATACCCTTTCCGTAGTCGAATTGAGGATCGGCAAATACACAGTATTGCTGTAGGTAGTTGTCTGACCAGATACATATGGATTGCTGATTAGATGAGATGTTGTGCTGCAAGATATAAAGATCAAAGTCAACTTGCCCTTGCTGAAGAGGGCATAGTGCTCTGTCAATATTGCCAACGACAAGCTCGTAAGCACTTCGCCTGCAAACTGGCAGATACAAGGTAGATGCATCCTTACAAAGTACTTGTCCGATGTACATCACCGCGCTAAGTACTCTGCTCCAATGCATTTCGTAACAATAGTTAAGAGGTTTGGACGTATGGCTAGATATGAAGGGTAAGGGTAGGTCACTAATGTGGATAATCGAACGGCCTGCGTGAGCGCGTTAAAGTATCATACTATTAAATACTTATTAACGCCTTGAACCAAACAAACCCCGACAGCTTATCATTTCTCCCAACCTATTATATCCCATTCTTCGCATATAGCGTGAGTTTAAGTTAATGGAGGTAGTATGACTTACTTTTTAGCCACTCTTTAAGTGGCTAGAACCCCTCAGGGAAGGTATCTATGAGCTAGCCCTACTTGATAGGTCAGGTAGGCACTTTTTAGGCATAAACCCAGAATAAGAAGTTATTTTTCTTTGCCTACGATGACTAGTTTACCTCTAGATTTTCTTACTGGAACAAGTACTGGACCCACGGCTGCCTAGGTACTGACAACAACAACAACAACAACAACAATAATAATGACATTTCTTGCCTATACAATCCATCTGACTGTTGAGTAGTATGCGTAGGAGGCAAATGGTAAATCGAAATCATGGATTCAGGAACAAATAAAGTCGTGTCTTTCGATAGCCGCCGGTATTTGAAGACTCAAACGGAGAGAAAGGGCAAAAATGGTTGTGTAGATGTTGACTCTTCAATCGCTGATCTAAGAACAAGTGTTTATGAGTAATGATGATTCTATCAACAATATCTTGCCACTGATCACATGATAATCTCTGCCCCTCAACCCCGTGCCTCCATACGGTTAGGCCTCATATGCTTTCGTCTCTCTCTGTGACGACTCCTCCCACTCATGCTATTGTTATAAGAACTCAATTATCTAACTAACTTCTTTAGTTAAAATTTAGTATGCTAACAAAACTTTTATCAAAAAAAAGTCCAATTTAATGTTACTTCCTACGCGATATTTACCGAAATATACTATCAGGCCACCGCCAGCGGCTGCTCAGCAAACACAAACACGCACATAGCTCACCTTAGATCCCTTCTGATTGGAGACTTCCACAGAGTTTCAGAGGGCTTCTGTTTAACCTGCGGAAAGTCTCTCGGTTTGACAAGACGTAAACATTATCCCTACTGAAGTGCAGCCAAACACAAAGTGAGCGACTTTTTGTAGGCATCCTTTTGTGCATTTAGCTCACTGGGATATCACCTCTGTTTTTACACGTGCTGAAGGCCGGTGTGTGGCTGAAACTGCAACCCTGTAGGCAAGGTCTGACCCTTCACATTAACAAATCAAAATGCCAGCTAACATAGCTACGTTATATAAAGTAAATTAACTATAACGGACGTAAGATCACTAAAGTATATTTCTCATGCTACACTCAATTAACCCTAACCTATCGGTTTGTTAAACACCTACCGATCTTACTTTTGTTAGTGGAGGGGTAAAGCTAATTAGGGCTTTTATGTCTCCTATATCTGTTAACCCTTTTTAACATATCTATTCAAGGTTAGGGTTCATCTGTTCTCTAAAACTTCTAGGTAGATGCGAAGTATTGGCGATCTCCGCTATTGCAGATTAATACATCGCGACGGCTATAAGTCATAGGTGTGTACAACGTAATGTTCATGTATTTGTCTTGGTGAGGAGAAAAGAACGGTTAAAAAAGTGTGACCTGTGCGGCTTGGCACCAGTGAGGTCAGTTAGTACTCAATAGGATGACAGGCCAAAGCCTGCCTAGGACCTGCGGACGCAGGTAAGCATGCCGACCTCCAGGACGTGATTAACGCAGAGATGAAACCCAGCCAGGCTAAAAAAAAAAAAAAAAAAAAAAAATTTAAAGAAAAATTAAAAAAAAAAAAGTATCACTGTAATAACAAGCTGCACATTTGTTGCTTGGCTACATAGGAATGGAATTGTGTAAGTAAAATTTACGTTATAAACCATGGCAAAAACCTATAAAGAGGACAAATCCTGCGCTCAGCGTCGGTTGATTGTATTCACTATACATCTTACAAAAGTCTTACCATACCAAATTTATTTCATGAGTAATGCGTACATTCATCATACTCTCACTGTTGCCAGTCATGGCTCTCGCTAAGCCTGGCTGGGGGCCACAAAAACCACCTACATCTCAGCCCTTCATGAGAATAATGGCTGTCCATGGTGCGCAGGTACCGGGAGATCCAAATATGTTTGGAATCGGTGAGCCACTCCCCAACCCGCCACTCCTTATGCTTCCTCCAATGGACCAGTGGGGGATGTGGGCAGGACGAGGAGGTGGACGCGGGGGGGGAGGCGGAGGCGGACGCGGAGGTGGAGGGGGAGGCGGAGCGGGAGGCGGAGCGGGAGGCGGTGCACACATGCCTGTAATGCTACAAATATATCCAGCAATGAGAGGTGGACGGGGGGAAGGCGGAAGTAGGGGGCGAGGTCCAACCTATCCTATGGGCATAAATAGGTAACCGAAGGATGGGAAACTAAGGGGTACGAAGCGCAAAGGGGCAAAGAAGGGTTTCGCGCGCAAGTGCTAGCTTGAGCAAGACAGTACTTGAAGTAGTGCATCAAAGTGATGTATAAAACTTGGGAAGGGCGGGTTAGCCGCCTGTCGTACTAGGCCTCACGTTATCTAAGTGCAATCACGGCCTGGCTGAATGCTATACAGCCCTTTCATAATGCCATATAATCCTCAATGGGTTTGTTTTCGCTATCACGCGCTCGCTAGATAATGCACAAAGGGGCTGACCGGATGCTACCCGCATCCAGGTGAAACGATCCAGTATTTTGCTCTTAACTGTCTTGCTTGTCCTGAGGAAGTCGAGAATTGATTAGAGGGCTTAGGAACCAGCCTTCTAGCGATTTCACGGTAGGTTGGAAATAGGCTGCTTTATCAGATTGGAGGGCCAGGCCCAAGTTCAGCAAGAATTGGATAGTAACTCCAACAGTGAGTAAGTCTAAACCTAGAATGGGACCGAAGAGGTGTTCTGCGAGGGACTCTGTCGAAGCCCCTCAGCGCAGCCTTTCTAGCGCGGTTTTTTTGTACATTCTTCCGTTTTGTCGTCTCATCAAGTATGACCAGAAACGGAGAATCAGGCGGGCGCAGCAAGTTAACATAGATAGCACATAGCTTACTTATGTATTTAGAACGTTGAATCAAAGTATTGTCTCGGAAACTAACGCAATTTTTGGGTCTCGCCACTGCCGTTAGGGATAGACCACGTCCCCAAAGCATGGCTATGTTGACAATAAAATCGACTCCACCTTCCCAAAACTTAACTCAAAATTCAAAATCAGGTGCTGAAGGACCGCATCAAACACCAAACTACATAAGCAGCTCAAAGGTTGTCAAAGGCAATTTGTCTTTTCAAATACTGCATATCATCTTGTGTAACGCTAAACCGTTAGCCCTGGTACATATTGACGTAAGATTCAAAATTGCCGATGAATATAGCACCAGAAGCTAGTGATCCTACGCCCTCTCCGCTCGAGGATTCAACAGACAGTGTGGTAACACTACCTAGTCTGTAGATGGTTTCACACGTCTCTCCTCCTCAGTGATTCGACTGGCCTGGCAAATAAACGGAGCGGTGGTTAATATGTGTTTTCATTTCATCCGAGATAGTATTGCTACTTATAAAATCTGGCAAACTTGGTCTTCGCCAAAGCCTTTGTTACGTAGGCTATGCTGAAATTCCATTCATTTGCTACTTTAGTTACTATTTCTAGAAAGAAAATCATAAGAAAAGGCTATGTATTGAAACTAAGCAGGGTTAGTGTCGTCACTCTTTCGTCATTAATTCTTTCTGTCTAAGTCGATCAGTAGCCTCAGAAGCAAAATGTCTAAGGAGGTCTTTTTACCCTTCTTTTCAAGCAAATGCGGTCAACTCGTTGTAAAATCTTCCAAATCTGATCCTAGCATTGCTTTTGAAAAGATTTATGTTATCGTCGTCATATCTAGCCATTGCTGTAAGGGGCGTGTCAACTAATGTATCCTAACCAATGGCTTAGTACAACTATCAGTCGACATTTTGTCAACATTGGGCAATTCAACTCTTGAACAATACGGCCTGCAAAATGCATCGTTCCAATGGATTACCGGGTGATCATTTATGGTTGAAATATATGGATACACTGTTGCTTATATTTTCATGACATCTTGCTGTCTCTGTCCTCAGAAGTTCGACCCAACCTTTTACTTGACGAAAGCAAATGAATCGAGCTTCTTACATATTGGTGCTTTGACCGACCAGCAACGTGCAGAAACACTTTCACTAAATATTATTACCAAAACAGCTTAGGCAGCTGTGGTTTTCGTCACATCTCATCAAGTCTTACAAAACCTTACCCTTTTCAGACGGACATTTGCTCTTGACAAAATGTTTAGTATATGACTATGAACTCTTACCACAGTACGACTAATAGGCTGACGGCATCACAGCAAGTCTTCCGCCATCTGTCACAAGAATATTGCCATTGGTATATGCGCCTGCCTTGCTGACCAAGTATAGGATTGCACCCACCATGTCTTCAATATCTCCAGCTCTTTCCTCGGGGATGACAGACTTAGGCCACCCGGATTCCTTGTGTGCGTCAACGGTAGCTGTTGTCATCTCACTAGGATAGAAACCAGGTGCGATGACGTTAGCTCGAATATTGAATGGAACCAGTACCGTCGACAGTTGCTTGAAAATATGGACAACTGCCGACTTGGAACCTGCGTAGGCGAAGCCCATGGGTTGGCGGTTGAACGCGCCAATACTGCTGGTTGCGATAACTTGGCTTCGCTGCTTGAAATTGCTACGCTTGTTTCCCTCGTCAAGTAGTTCTAGAAAAGCCGCCGCAGTGAAGAAAACTCCTGTGGTGTTGACAGCAAAGGTTTCAGTAAAGTCCTTGGGCTCCCAGTTCCACAGGAAGTCCCGGTACTGGGAGATTGAGGGATTTGGTGGTAAGCCTTTCAAGGCCGGGCCTCCGATGCCGCTGTTTGCGATCACAACATTGACATAACCATGCGCAGATTTAATTTCTGAAACAGCCCTCTCGAGATCAGATTTCGAAGTGACATCGCCTTGAATGGCATGGATGTTGCCATGTTTCTAGACAGCATCAGTATTGATCAAATTCGCGGGCTGAGTATGTTTTTTTAGGGGATTGAAGCCAGATGATGAAAAAGTCCGGTATGATCATGTGTCATAACCGTGAAACAGATTTGGGCCATAACTTACCGCTGTACCGGCGGCCTTCTCCAAAGCCTCTTTCCTGCGCCCGATGATGTAAACAATGGCCCCATTGGCTTCAAGTCCTTGAGCAATCATAAGACCAATGCCTGTGATAATTTTTAGCGGAGGCTTATAAAGGTTTGTATATGACGTGTACATATGTGGTTATTACGTACCTGTGCCACCACCTGTGACCACGGCAATAATGCCCTTGACGCTGAACAGGTCAGCTGCTTGAAGTGATGGAGAAGACATAGTAAAGTGCACGACTGTACAATGGGGAAATAAAAGGGAGCTCAAAAGGGATTTTGGGAAAGGAAACCAGTGGGTATGGCAGCCAAAGACCTTATTTGTGCTCGTTGGATCGATCAACGCAGCTTTTAAATAAGTGATCATCTGCGGGGTTCAGCAGGGCCCGCACAATCTATGGCGACATCCGGTTCTCAGTGCTTTTGCTCCTCAGAGGAACCGCTTACCAATGGCAGCGGTAGTTTAAGATTATACTACGTGGTATGCACCTTATCTGCAGGATAACCCCGATGTTCGGATGCCCTCGGTTTAACTGGACAATTTGCATCGGGGCTTGTTTTAGTCTCCTCAACATCAGGCAGCTAGCTGAGAGAACAGCTGAGGGCATGCGCTAAACGCAAGCTTTGGCTTGCAACCAACCTTTTTTTTTTTTTGTCATCTAAACCAGTCTATAAAATCCAAGAATCAAATTGAAAACAAAATCTCACCCGTCAGGAACTTTCCTTGTCCGTGCTATTCAGCCAAGTCCCCAAGGTTTTGCCTTGTCTCGGCACAAATCGTGCCCGAGCGCCCTTCGGAGTCGCCACAAAGGTTATCCCTTTTAATCCCTTAATCGGGTCAATCTCATCAGATGTTTTCCCATCCGCTGGTAGCATCTGGAAGTGGGCAATCAAGTGAAGAAAAGCGGTGTAGAGAGCGTTATGTGCCAGGTGAGACGCAACGCACATGCGCCCACCAATGCCAAAAGCAAACTGATGTGCATATTGGTCGGGCGCATCAGGCAGCCAACGCTCGGGAGCAAAAGCGTCAGGCTCGGTAAAGAGATTCGGATCTATCATCACATCAGGAAAATTTCTATCGATCTTTTTGATCGGTGTACTCACCTCTGTTGCAAGCCCAGGAATTCAGGAAGACCAATGTATTGGCAGGGATCGTTGCCGAGCCCCAAGCGGTATCCGAATATGTGGCTTTAGGTAATGCTAGCTTCAGTACGACAAAGTAACGCGAAATTTCCTTTGTAAGTGCATCGATATAGTCAATCTTAGTAGAAGCGTATGCATTGGACGGCAGCCGAAGAACACCTGCGTCCTTTATAGCCAAGTACGCCTTTTCTTGGATATCAGGACGATGCGCAAGCAGCAGAATAGCCCAGGCCAGAGTTGGTTGGTTTGAATCCGCTCCCTATAGTAGGTAGGTCAATTAAACAAACATTTTCAATAGTGAAGTCACAAGCTGTAGAGATTTGCTCATAAAATGAGGGAGGAGGGGGATTTCATTGAACATACAGCCATCATGCTCAAGCTAACACTGATCAGCTCCTCGCGAGTCAGGGTTGCCGACTCTGGGTCTCTTAGCACCGCCCCCTGAATACACGGCTTGTCTTCGTTTCTTGACACCTCTTCCTTCAGTCTGTTTAAAAGCACGTCATTATACTCCAATCTGCGGCGGCCGATATCAGCTGCGTGGCTCATGGGGTTTCTGTTGAGACCTAGGAATGCTGTAAGTGGCTCCCAATACCGAAGCAAGGGAATGTAGTTGGCATAGTTTCTTCCGATGTCACGGAATTTGGATATTTCTGACTCGACGTAAATGATCTCAGCCAATAAAGGATCGTCTTCGAGGGCTTTGACCTTCGACACACGGGTTCCATAGTTCAGGGTGAGACTGAGGTTAAGGGCAAACCGTCTAACAGCAGGACGAAAGTCGATTTCAACCGAGCCATCTCGACACTCAGAATATAGATCTTTGAGGAACTCCCGCGCCTCCAGGTTCAAAATTGGTGCATAGCTCTCTACACGAGGTCGGTTCAGTGCACCAGCCGCGAGCTTACGGCGACGCTTGCAGGAATCATCCCACGGGCTGGTCCCGATGCTGGTCACAGCTTTGCTGACCTTGTTGTGGAAGACGTAGAAAGTTGGCCTGGAGATCGTGGCATGTCTCTGGCCTAGAAAAAGCTGCTTCGCGGATTCTACTGAGCTCACAATCACGGCGGTGGTGTTGCCAAGCTGGATTTGGAACACTGGCCCGTAGGTTTGTGCCCACTTTCTGTATGTCTCTGCCGTTACCTCCTTGGGATGCTATCCCTCTGTTAGTGAATCTTTTTTCTTTTTTTAGAAGCAGTAGTCTTGAGAAGATACCTGAAAGAGGTTTCCAACCACCGGCCAGCCTCGGGGTCCAGGAAGCTTCCTAATTCGACTTCGATAGCGTATCAATTCATTCTGAAGAAGATAGATAACGAAGGATAAGAAGAAAGCCGTTACAGCATATTTCAGCAAAATGGACAAGCGGCTCAATGGCTCGAAGGAGACGCTTGCCGCAGTCATTCTAGACACGTTCTTGCAATAAAACTGAAATTGATGAAAGTAAAGATTGAACAGCAGGAAGTCACTTAAGAGGAAGATGTAGTCTTTAGGTTTTTACCTGCAGATATGGGACAAGAGATTCCACCGCCAGTTTCGTTGTTAACATCAACCCCGCCATGTCGCAATACCAATGTCTCGTCCAGCCGAGTAGGATCACGCTAGACCTGAGCATACACGCGAGCAAGCTTAGGAATCAAATGTCTCCGGTTGGTAAATCGCTCTTTCGATTCCTATGCATCTATCCGAACCGGATGAGTGATTGAATCTGCTGAGAATGACCCCGCAGAGTGTTCAACGTTTATGTCTATCCTCTGTATGGTAGTTAGTTCTCTCATTCATGCATTTCTTATAGACATAACCAGATTCGCTGACATTGTACTAACTCCCCCTCAACTTAAGGATCGAATCGCCGAGCACGTCATCGCTTGGCTCAATGACGAAGTTGAGAACTGCCAACAATTGATCTCATGTGTTAGTTTGGCCGTTCTATTTCCGAGGCCGAAGGCCGGACCTTGGATCTAAATTTATCGGGAATATGCCCAAGCAGACGTATCTCGAAGTTCTCTACGCCATACTTACCTTTGTTTGATCTGAACTGAGTAGTCCAAGCTCCCAAGCTCTACCATAGCAGTGTTCCGGTAAGCTTGGCACAGCGAGACATAAACGTTTAGATTTGCGTATTGAACAATATTCTCCTGTGTCTCTTTGGAACTATACATTCTTAACCGGATTATGTTTTCCTTCGCTGTCCACGTTGAACATATAAGGCTTGTCTGCGGCACCATTTGTCGCGGCTTTTTCCCGGCTGCCCCTGAGCATCCAGGAAGAGTTTTTCAGTCCCTTGTGCCACTCTCTGCCTTCATACTCCTCTTCTACTGGCTTTTCACCAGAGGCCTCGATCTCTCTGGAGCGCTGTTCCACATCCCTCCACACACGGAGGATGTTCTCTCCGGCCAGTAGCCGTATCTGCTCATCCGTTGCCCCCCTTTCCATAAGAAGTTCCATTAGATTCGGAAATTTCGACACATCCTCTAGGCCAATCGGGACGTATGGAGTTCCAGAAAAGTCACTGCCTATGCCAACGCAGTCCCAGCCACAGATCTCCGCGATGTGAAAGATGTGATCCACTACATCGTGGATGGTAGCTTGGTCTGGGTTCTTCATGTTCAGGAAGCGGTTGACGAACACTGCCATTACAATACCCCCATTCCGCTTAACAGAACGCAAGACGTCGTCAGGCGCATGGCGTAGATGAGGCTCAACGGTATAAGCCCCTGAATGTGAGAAGATGACTGGTGCACGCGCGACGCTGAGGACGTCTCTCATGGTTTGGTGCGAGACGTGAGACAAGTCCACCATCATGCCTAATCGGTTCATTTCCTTGACAGCCTGGTACCCCAACTTGAAAAGGCCACCATCTGGGCCACCTGCCGCCACGGTGGATGCTGAAGTTCCGAAGGCATTGTCACAGTTGTGCGTCAAGGTGATGTATCGTGCACCTAGATTATACATTTGCCGAATGGTTGCAATGCTGCTGCCTACTTGGTGGCCTCCTTCGATGCCAATCATGCTCGAGATGCGGCCTGTTTTGAAGGCTTTTCTCGCACAAGCAGCCGTGTCGCAGTACTGGAGATGCTGAGGATGCTCTTGGATGAACCGCCGAGTGACATCAATTTGTTCGAGAGTGTCCCTAACTACCCACTAGTTTTTCGGTTTCAGCAAGATGCTCATTCAATGCGGCCTGACTTTTTTTTTTCCAAGTTTCAACTTACAGATGGGTCCTCGAAATGTTCTTGTTTGGTATCACAATCCACGTAGACGCTCCAGAACTGACCGCCTACCATGCCTTGTCTCATACGTCGGATATCGGTATGGCCCAGCAACTTCTTCGTCAGGTCAAGCTTTCCATCGTAAATACGATTGTGCAACTCGATCCTCAGCTGCCACGGTAAATCATTGTGCCCATCAATTAAGCTTCAAGGTAGGATATCAGACAACGTTTCCCCGGGTTTTAGAGTGAAGGTAGACTGGTACTTACGGTGTAGATCTGAGGACCCTTCTGGTACGTTCTGTGTAATTGGTAGGGTCAACAGGGCCCTCGCCAGGCCACAGAAAGCTCAAGGGGCTGAGAATCAGAGCAACTCCTGCAGCAAGTAATGGGTACCGGAACCGAGACCAGAAACCGGGCGCATGCGCCTGTGAACGAACGACAAGTGAGCCCTGGCTAGAGGCTTCGTGATTGTTCCCGGACGGGATCGATTGCGACCGTCGGACTTCTTCCGGTGCGGCCGGCTGGATGTCTGCCATTTTCGTAAGTGGCTCACAAAAGGCGCGAGATTTCCTGGAAAGAACCTGGAAAACAGACAATCGAATTTTCTTGAAAATGTAACGGCAGGATACAGATAACAGTCTCTAAATCAGGCATGAAATCGGAGCTGGCCCGATGCAATCGGACGCAGACTCGCGGAGAAAAGTGGCTATCTCACTAGGGGCGGAAGACGTGCGATTGCGTGCTCTGGTCTAACGGCTTAACGAGGCAGGATGCTCTCCACACCATAAGCACAATGGCATTGCACACAGTCTTGGTCAAAGATGGTGGAACGACTTGAACTCCTTCTAAACCGCCTGATAACACCGATTACAAATGTAGAGAGACTCTTCAGTAATGTGAACAAGAGTCACCACAGGATCGTTTGTCATTGGGAGTATATTCACATGTTGACGCTGGCTGGAATAGTACGGGGAATAGTACGGGGTAGTGATTGAAAACAACACCATTGTTGAAGTTATTTGATCTTGGCTCAACTCGTTGCTGGTATCGCGTTCTGAGCGAAATAGAAGCAGAGCTGCGACGCGAAACAAGTACAACATGATGATGATAGCAAGTCACCAGGACCATCACTTACCTTTCCATGTTCTGAACAAGTCGCAAGACTCAACAAAAACAGAATAGGGCTTTGTCATCACAGAAATCACCTCCTCACAATGCAGTAAGTCATTGAAGACTGGCGTTGGTAGAAACTGTGTTCGGCATGTATTGTAGCTTGTCATCGTGGCCAAGGGTTTGCGCTGCGCTGAGCTGGGCTCGTAAAAATGCGAAAAAGGAGTGCCAAACAAACGAGCCAAACGCGGAGGCCTCGAACGTAAATGTACCCAGGCCAAGGTCTCCACAGGATCATCAGTATCATAGACAATCCAAGATAGCTGAAGAGATGTGGAACATCGTAAAGTCATTCTTCCAGAAACTCGTCCTTTACGAGATAAATTGACCAATGACCGGACCTAATGTCTCGTAATGAATGGCTAATACGGAACGATAGCTTCGTTTCCCACCGGCGTATCCGGCGTATTTGGCGTATTTCGCAGCGAATACTGCGTATCTACCATGTGTAGCTTATTTTGTCGATAAGAAGAAAGGGTAAGTAACCCCGTCGGGCAAGTGGCTAGACTGTTTTAAAGTCTCGCACGGTTCTTGTAGGCAGAGGCTGTAACCTTTGAAGAGCATGGCAATCCAAAAAGGAATCTATCCGCGATCGAGTGGGGCCCTCCAACGCCTCAGTATTTGAAAGCCGGTGTAGAGACCAATTGGACAACATCAAGCTTTTTAGACCACGCTACATTCTCCGCAGTGTTATCTGGGGTTAACATGGGGGATAGATTGACGTCGTACGGACTTGTCTTAGGATGGCGTAGTGGAGTAAGATTTGCTGGCTATCTGTTATCTGTGTTCGCACTCCTGTGTGTCTGCGGTATTCGCACGCCACCACTTTGAGACTTTGTCCATCAGCTGTCACTTATCTCTCGATATCAAGGGCAAATTTCGGTGACAGTAAAAATAGTTGTTATCATAGGGATGTGTTGGCATAGTACATGTACTAAACTGTGCCGGAGTTATCGGCACATGACCAGACTGCTGAACCGCCTGATTTCTTGTAGTCATCGATGATGCCCACGATAGCACTGTAGGTTCCCGCAATCATGAGAAAGGTTCCCAAAAGTATGACGAACAGACTCCAAACCACCATAAGTCGCCATCTTAATGTGGGGTTCTCCTTGCCCTTGCTCCAGTTGTCGTAAAGCCACATGCAACCCATCGGCTGGAAGGACATGAAAGTTCCTAGAAGAGCACCAACAAGAGAAATGAGACTGTTGAAAACCGGAATTCCGCTGGCAACTAGATACGCCACCAATGTGGTTCCAAAGGTAGATCCAATCCAGGTGACCCAGTGAATGACGCTATTGGCAGTGAGGTGCTTCGATCCCCGAAGAATGCGGACAAACACATTCTTGCTGGCCAGCTGTAAACGCATTAGTCTGTTTCTAAATTACGAGGATGGGACCCTTACGTGGGTGACCAGGGTGGAAGAGGCGAGCAACCCGGCGAGGCCGAGACCATAAGCGACCTTCTTGACCAACGGCCCAGCGGATCCGAGGGCGGGCGAAGACACGTAGGATCCGCAGTAGTAGTATACAACAACGCCAACTGCGACATAAACAGCAGTGACGACACTCTGGCAGAGCAGCAGAGCACGAGTATAGTATCGTGGATCACGCATTTCTGCGGCGATTGGGAAAAAGGCACCGGTGCCGGCGTACGAGAAGACGATGGATGATATGGAAGCAATGGCTTTGGTAAAGCTAGGGTTGTTGATGATTTTGTAGTCAGACTTGAACTCGCCCGTTTGAGGTGCAGCAGCTGGACGGTCTTGAATGCCGACGGCGATTGTCACGGTAAAGACTGTCCTGGATGTTAGTCTTTGGTATGCCTACTCAGAAACCTTGGAAACTGACCAGAAACCATAATACTCGCTACACCGACCCATGCCAGCCAGCTCATTCGGCCCAATGTCCGTATACTCGAGAGACCAAAGCTCGCAATGGCAGCGATGGCAACAAATACTGCAGTGCAGGTGCCATGGTGGGATACGGCATTAAGAGCTGTGGAAACTCCAATCATCGCTGAACTGGCAGTAAAAGTGAAGACTGAATTGTTAGTTCGCACAGTCACATCAGTCAGACACAATGAGGAGTACTTACATAGAACAAAGAAGCCCCCAAAGACTTCACGTCCAATACGGCCGAACAATAGATCTCCGACATCATCCATACCGTACACTTGCGGATGGCTAAGTTTAAATACGCCAACCATGTAGTCTGACCAAGTGGTAATACCGGCGATGGAGCATAGAATTATCACGCCTGGAACTATTCCAAGAACATGAAATATGGACGGCATGGATAAGACGCCGAGACCAATCTGAGTCTTCATCATCAGAATCGATGTCCCTAGCCATCCAACCTGCGATGTGTAAGCAGTTGCTCTTGTTCACTTCGGAGTCTCTGGGGGTCTGTGTACGTCGCGGTAGTTAGGGCCGTCCGTCGTGATGTCGCCAAAGACAGCATCGTGGGTCACCGAGTTGTCTTCGAGTACTTGGCCGACAGTGAAAGCCCCAGGGGCCATCTCGTGCGAATCAACACCATCTTTGGACGATTTCTTCATGATTTCAATGACTGGTAAATGTAAACGGGATGAAAAGAGGTGACAATGTGGGACGGCAAGGCGGAGCCCGGGGTTTCGAAGTGCCTAATATATGTTTTTAACGCCCCCTATGGCGCTGGTATTCCACACGACCTTGTGGGGGGTTTTAACTGACACATGTCCTAGCTTCCTGTACGTGTTAAAGATGCCGCACTTGTGCACGAAGTATGCCATGGTCGTCAAGTGCACATCATGGTACTCTATTGTTTTACAGTCCTACCTACTCAACAGAAGCATAACCATGTTTCAACATCAAGAGATGAATGTCAAGACTTCGAAATCCTGAGCAGAGTTACGAGTTCCCTTTGAACCATTCTTCACGATTATTTCCATGCCAAGAGACGGAGAAATCCGGGGCTCAGTAGCATTGGCACTCCGAAGTCGCTGCCCTAACCGAGAAAACCCCACTTAAAGGAAAGGTCAGCCAAGGACAAAGAGGAAGGGGTGGCAGATGTCTGCGAGACAAACATCATACAACTGCCTTCAGGGTGGTAGGATATCTTAGTTCGCTTCGTTACAACCTCTACGCCTGATACACTAGATAACACCAAGTTATACCCTCATCTAGCTCTTCCCCGCACGGCTGTAGCTTTGCGAACCATCCCGCCCGCTGTAGTCTGGGGAAGTGGGACAGCGTGCACGTCCCCTGGCAGCGCTCTGTCGCCGAAGGCTTCCTATTTCCTCGGGCTTCTCGACAAGACATTCCAAATCTAGTAATCCTTGCTCCAAATGACACTTAGCATAATTACTGCTCACGCTATCTCTTTTCGACTAACATCAATCCCAGTATTCGGATTAACTAAGATTCAATGAGGAAAATGAGTGTGCTAATGCTGAGCGTCGGCGAACCAAGTCTAAAAGAGTAAAGTCAGATTGGCATCAGGGAATATGCAGGTTTTCTTAGATTCGACGGATATTAAAAGAGCCCTGTCCTGTTTAAGCCTCGTTGAACCGCGAACTTTTCATCCGCACACAGCTTTATCGTCTTCAGGCGTGTTTTCACTGGCTTTCTACTGAGTCTGGAAGACACTGAAAGCAGCTCCAAGATTGATATTTCTCAAGGACTTATGTAAGGACTCTAGGGAGTGGCACTAATGTAGACGAATGCATGGAAGAGTTCGTGGCTCTGAATTTTCTCTTCAGGCTGTTGTATAGTTGAACACACAAAATCGTTCACAATAAGCTGTGTTTATTCGTATTCAGCATGATTGTATCGTGGGATGTTGTTGGTCAGCAACAGCGGCCTCTGTCAGCAGTGTGCAGACGTACTTTCGGTCATTTCGGCCATAGGCGACTCAGCGTCAGCGTAACGCCTTAACCCCGACTGGCCGTCACCACCGGGCCGGCCATTATGGGGCGCCAGAGCACCGCCGACCGATGATCAATGACGTCCACCGAACCACTCAGGTTAATATCTTGGTAGTCGAAGTCGGATCTCACGGTGAGTATTTATTCAGTCCAGTTGTTCCCAGCATCTGTTCGTTCACAACTTCATACAACGTAAAGTAACCTTGCAGCTACTTTCACGTACGGACTCAATAAAGTCACAACTTAACCTCGACAACATGGCACCAAAAGGTCTCGCGATACTTATCGGTGCTGGGCCGACTTCAGGTGCTGGCATTGCCCGTATTCTTGCTAGCCCTCAACATGGAAATCTCGCAGTCGCCATCCTCGCCCGGAATGGAGATAATCTCCAGAAGCTTGCCAGCGAGCTGAGGACTTCGTCAAATGGTATCATCCACCCTTTTCCGACAGACACTCAGCCCGACAACCTTCGACGTACATTCCAGCAGATTGCCGACCACCCAGACTTTAAGGATCTCAAGTTGAAGCTTTCAATCTATCACGTTAAGCACTCGAGCAGGAAACCCTTCCTAGAAGAGACTCCCGAGGCATTCAGCGACAGCATGAACACCTACACCACCGGCGCCCTGGTGTTTGCTCAAGAATCGCTGAAGCTCATGTACGCTCAGAACGGCGGCCAAACGTTACTTGCCGACACGAACGGCGTGAAGAAGGGTACAATCATTTTTACCGGTACACTCGGTGCCATGCGCACAAATCAGCAGTACGCAGCGTACGGAGCCTCTCGTGCGGCCGCAAGGATGGTTGCACAGGCAATCGCAAAGGAACACAGCAAATTCGGCGTCCATTGCGTTCATGCCATTGCCAACGGTGGAATCATTGACGCGGAGAACGAAGACACCACTACTGGCAAGAAAATGAAGGCGGAGGACGTGGGCGAATTGTATCACTGGCTTTCGCAACAGCCTAGCTCCTTGTGGACCCATGAACTGGATATGCGACCGGCCCAAGAGAGTTTCTAAGAGGATTGAAGGCGGGTTAAGTTGAGTATATCTTACGCGCCGGATTGACTAGTCATTACCTTTTATGAGCGTTCAATCGGGGCCAGGGGGTTATCAATGCGGTGCCGATTCGAGATAATGCGGTATGATCTCTGCTGTTGACAATGCTATCGACCTAGATGCGTAGCACAAAGGTAATTTTACTAGAATTTATACGTACAATTATAGTGTTCATAATGTACATTAAGCGTTAGTGATGGTTTTCATTTCCAGCGTCAAAATGCTTCGTGTGTTTGTACCATGACAGCAAGGGTTGTAACATCTATGCCCCCGCAGGTTGGATGCGATGAACACCACATCTTACCTTTTTGGAAGTTAATCACCACCAACTCAGATTCATTTAGATTTACATTTGGCTTTGGTCACAATTATTTTGATATATCTCCTGATGAAGCTCGTACGTTTGGCCATCTGATGAGCTGTACGGACTCAAGTACTTCATATGTAAGTCTTGTCAATAGCATTTCGGGAACATAGTTGAGCAGATTATACAGTTGTATTGATACACATACTCGTGTCTTAAGAGTATGATCACGCTATGCTAAACATTGATTGTCGTTGCTCATTTCTTAGCCGGGTTCCTAGGTCCATCGACTGCTCTCTCAACGGTACCCGCGATACCACCCTTGCTAGCATCAAACTGGCCGCCAATCACACCGTCCTTGGAGAAGGGGCCTCCGACCTTCTCGCCTGTCATATTTGGTCAACAATTATCCAACCCACACATCATCGAAGCGCTTACCGATCTGGCCAATGTTACCGTCCGGGTTGAATTGTCTGCCAATGGCACCCTCAGAGGAGATGACACTGGGCTTAGCAGGGTTGGTGTCCTTGTGCTGACCGGCGGTCTCAGCGGTGTTGTGGAGAGGGTTGGTGGAAGACATTTTGTTTTTTGTTGACCGAGATAAAACTTTGACTTGAGAGTTGAAGGCTGTTTGTAGATTTCTGGATAATTGATCTGGTGAGCTGCATTGAAATCTGTGTTTCTGGTTCATTCAAATACTTTCTTTATAGAGCTGTCATCGATATCAGCACGTCATCTTTGACGCATCGCATGCAAGCCGTATGACGCCTAGATCGGTTAAGAAATGATGACATCATGAAGGCACAACAACAATCGTTTCGGACTTAGGACTACCTAATGACGAGTCTACAATTCCCCAGGACTAGGAGTACGGACACTTTGATAAAGCCCGCCGCATGCAGAGATACGTCAATACTGGCTTTCTTGGAGTGTTGCGAAGAGAAGTATAGCTTCCGACCCCACATCACCTTTGTGGTGCGCGGGATTCGGGCGGTAGATACTCAACCCAATCTTTTAAATGATGAGTAACAGAGGCTTGTGTTGACATGACTGTTTTCTCTCATTCAGGTGGCCACTTTTTTATGACGACATGATATTTTATACCTTAGGTTAGAAGGTTCAACGTGTTCGGCAATTGCGCCACCGGCCAGGTTTACGACTGAAGAGCGTTTCCTTGAGCGAAGCCTTTTGCAGAAACTCAACCACGTTCAATAGCATGGTCTTTGTACAAGGCGGCCAATCTCTTTATTTCTGCCGAATGCTCCAGTTCGCCTTAGAATACATTGATTTGAAATGAAGTATCCAGGTCTGATGAGATTAATCTGGCAGATATAGAGTATTTAGCGGAGGTTCTGTTATGGAGTTTAGCATCTTCATTGACGATATCTGATTAAGTTCGAATAAAGTTCACAAAAGCATATTTTGTAGCTTGTTAAAGATAAATTGTGAAAGCCAACAGCAGATGACCTTCTCTTTGTAATTGCTAAAGATGTCCTTTGGATGCAAAGCTTATCTTGCTGTTAAACAAGATGACAATGTAAGAAACTGTCTCTCAACTTTGGGCACTAGCCCGACGTTTCGGGATGGCAGTAAACCAATACACTAGTCTTTTGGTCCTGTTTGGTTATGACTTACTTCATTTCATATGTGACTGAATCCTTGCGTGATTTAAGAAAATTTCACTGACGCCGTAGGGGATGCAGGACTGAGGCGTTCTTCGCTTTTGTTTCTTTGAGTTCCGCCATCGAGTTCATCCAAGATAGGTTGGATCATCATTCAAACTTGGAATCGACTGGAGTAGATACTAGGTAGAAAGGTTTGCTTCTCCACTGATCCATCGTTCCAAGTTCAAATATTCAGGTTCAGGCTCAATATGTTGTACTGGTGCGAGGAAGTTACTCGTAACGCCTCATCAACACCATAACACGCAAACCAGACGATAATCGCGTCACTTGGACAATTGCGCGCGATTGAAAACTATTAGTAATATCATTCACGGCGGTTAATTCCCTGCAAGAGATCCGAGCGGAAGGTGGCGTCACTTTCCGACCTCGCGATATCACATGACAAGAAACAAGGCCATGATCAGGTATCACCCACATGCCCCGTGTTGTATTCAAGTTGCACCTTTCACAATACCGCAGATCTCTGTGTTTGTTACCAATGCATGGCTTCTTCTTGGATCACTTTCAGAATTCGCCACAGAGTACCAGCAAGGATTCAACGCGTACTAGCAGAGATATACACCTGCTCTGCAGTCAGATGTAATCACATGCCGATGAATACGTTGGAACCACAATGATCCTTGGCCTGAAGGTGAAGAGGGATTCCAGTCAGGCTTTGGCTGTCTTGTTATCCAAAGTAACTTCACTGACGAAGGAGTTGCGAAAATCGAATGATAAACGCCTCAGGCATGCTATCCAAAACCATGAGAGCATACTTCTGATTTCGGGTCTCTGATTTCTGTCTGTCAAATCTTGTGACTTTGATAACGAGGGCCTCGGCAGTCTATAATCAAGTAAGTCCAACAGTCGGCCATCATATGCACTCCTTGCTTACCGTGTTGCCGAATTCTCAGCGGTACAAGTAACGGAGGTTGAACAAACCGGCCCGACATCTTCCTCCGTTTTACACAGTACCACAACTTCACACTCCTCTAACAATAGTGACCACATATCATTGCATTAGTGTCATTAGCAATACAACCCATGTTTCGAGAAGGCTCCGACCAGAGGGAATTCAGCAGCACTCGGCATTCCCGCTCGACATCTCAAAGCGGGGCGACGAGCGGCATTCTTCAATACGACAACAATCTACATCCGCAAACACTTACGTACGGACATGCCACAGCCGACCCAGTAGAACGTGCCATGAAGCCCCGCCAAATGCGGCATAGGCTGCATCAAATGCTTGTTCTTCGGGGCCCCTGTCGGCCGGGACTCTTTGCCCCGGTCGACTAATCCACGTCGTCTGCGCGAAATCTCGCCCAAAAAGGACCCCTCCCCCGGCACCTTCATAGATGAAGCTGAGTGGTAGTTGTGAGAAAGCACAGGTTGAGGGATGCATTGTGAGCTGGAAACGGCATTCTACGCCGATAGGGCTTCGGGGGGGATGGGACGTCCACATCTTCATCCCAGGGCAATTCCCGGGTGCCCCTTTTGAGAAAGAATACCCTTTTTGCTTGCTTGCTTGCGGAGAGAACTGTGTTGGCCCGCAACACGGGACAGGCATGGTAAACGTGACATGTCTGCTTGCCCCTCGGCCGAAATCTGGTCTGTACCCTCGCCGCCCTCCATTGCAGCACCTTTGTTTCTGCTTTATACTACCCAGTGATTGGCTTTGCAGACGTGTAATAGTTGATCTTTGCCATCAGCAAAGTTCACAAAATCTCATGGCTCCGCTCAAGATTCTCATCGCCGGCGGCGGCATCGCAGGTCTCTCGGCAGCCGTGGGCCTTCGCCGCGCTGGCCACGAGGTCCACGTCTACGAACGGTCCGCGCTCAACAATGAGATCGGCGCCGCGATCCATGTGTGTCCCAACGCCGCGCGGGCGCTTCTCGCATGGGGTCTCGATCCCGTTAAGGCCAAGTTCGTGCTGGCGAAATGCAGCTTCCGCGCCAAGGGTGACACGCTGGAGAAGTTTCACGTCGGCACGGAGGATTACATTGAAGAGCGTTACGGTGCGCCTTGGTACTTTGCGCATCGTGTGGATCTGCATGAGGAGTTGAAGAGGTTGGCAACGGAGCCGGAGGAACAAGGTACCGGGTATGCTGCCAACGGATCGGCTACGAATGGTTCGAATGGGCATACGAAGACGGGACTAGGGCGTCCTGCTACTGTTCACTTGCAAAGCGAGGTGACAAACTATGTAAGTGGTAGAAATGGTGCCAGTGTTGAGAATTTCAATGGCTGATGATTGATAGGACCCCGAAGCGGCTTCACTAACGTTGGCTTCCGGGGAGACCATCATCGGTGATGTTGTCATTGCCGCGGATGGTGTGCACACCATTGGTGTCGAAGCCATCCTGGGATACTCAAACCCAGCGGTGCCTCAAGGCCACTACAACTTCTGCTTCAGGTTTCTCATTCCAGCGGCCGATATTGAGGCAGACCCGGTGACAAAGTTCTGGACCGAAGACGACGATGGGCGCATGAAATTTCTGGTCGGAGACAGGAAGCGTCTTGTCTCGTATCCTTGTCGGAAGTATGCAGAAGCCTGGCATGGAATGGCGATCGTGTTATGCTAACATGAGCAGCAATGAGGTCCACAACTTTGTGGCCATCTTCCACAACGACGATATCGAATCGACGAAGAAGGAGGACTGGCACGCGTCTGTTGGTAAGGAGAAGTTGCTTGAAAGATACTCTGACTTCCACCCCAGTGTCATTGCCATCTTGGAGTGAGTTCCTCAACGGCAAACCTATGGAGATAGAGTCTGACACTCCATAGCAAAGCTACCGAGGTGAAGCAGTGGACTTTGCTCTATCGCGCTCCCATTCCTACATGGGTCAAGGGAAAGATGGCTCTGGCTGGTGACGCAGCTCATCCCATGCTACCTAGTCAGTCGGCACTGTGTATCCTGTCAAGAGCGTAACATATTGACGAGCAACCGCAGACCAGGGCCAAGGAGGAGCTCAAGGCATCGAAGACGGCGTTGCTCTCGGCATCGCACTTGCTTCCGCCGAAGCCAAAGACGTCGAGAAAAGACTACGTGTTTATGAGAACATCCGCAGAAACCGCGCCAGCGTAATGCAGATCTTCAGCAACGCGGGACAAGAAGAGCCGCAGCTGATCCGGGAGGAAGCGTCAAAGTATATTCCTGCAGACAAAGTGCCGAGTGAGTCAGCCATTGATACAATGTGTCTCACATTTACGTGGAGAGCTAACGACTTGATTCATAGAAAACCCCGAGGAATTCTTCGCGTACAACTTTGGATATGACATCATCCGGGATAGCGTCCAACAGGTTCAAAAGGTGGAGGCGTCATTCGAGCTGCCATCGTCATTCTTCCAAAAGGTGCCCGGAAGGGGCGTTTATCCGTGACAGGTCGGCGAATAAGCTCATAATCTGATCTGGAATCAAGCTCAAAGAATCAAGCTCAAAGTTTTCGAGGCTATTAGCGGTGCGTGACATGGCATTGATATCTCGAATACCAGGCGGTCAAGGCGGGAGGGTGATGTGGGAGCTAGCAAGATCCTCCTAGTCTAGGCTGTTCGGACCCATAAACATAACCAATTAAAATCAACAACACAAAAGAACTAGACTCTTGACAGTGGGCAGACCGTGAAATATGCTCTAGAAGCCGTTCTGCAGGTACCTGGAACTTTTCTTTCGGGGGCATGGTATACACGCATGGTGTTGGACTTACAGGGCACTAGCGGGGCCGGCCCAAGACAACCGGGAAGCTTGATGCCTGACCGGACTTTACTGGCCGCCCATTTTCAGGCGAAACAAAACACGGCACCGGCACACCACCACCCCCAGATATCGTATCTGGCCAGCCCACGGCATCGGAATGGTCGGTGGCCGAGGCGGTCAGTAAAAGGGAAAAAAAGAAAAAAAAAGAGCACACGAGTCTGCAGATCGCCAAGATTATCCTGCATCTTGGGGCGCGGCTATCCGGATGCGGCTCCACCCATACTCCCCCTACTCCTCCCACCACCAATCGCTTCTACCTACAGGCGGGAGCTCTAGCTGTCTCTCCAGCTGTCTTGCAGCCGATTTCTGTGTTCCTGTTTCTGCCCAGGGCACAGATGCAGCAATCTGGACCACCTCGGGCATGAATCTTTGCTGACTTAGGTAAACATACTCTCTCGCTCTCTTTTTATCTCTCCCGGATTCTAAGTGCCCCTCTCTCTCTCCCCCCCCCAAAAAAAACTCAATCCTCGAGGTCCCGTTTCGTGGACAAGACATTCTCTTATTCTCATCACACAGAATCACGGCCAAATATGCGCAGATCGTCCTTTTCAGACGACCCCATTGTACCCCCCTCGCGGGAGTACTTGGAAACCCGGGGCTACTCGACCTCCTCCTCATCTTCGTCAGCCCGGGATTCAAAATGGGATGTGAGCGATTACTCCCTCAGATCGTCAGCTAGAGGCCAAGAAGCATACTCGTCGTCAGCACCCAGACCCCGCTCGCGATCACGGTCAGCAAAGCCGTCCCGCGATGTGCCTCGCAAACGCAAATCAAGCGACGGCAAGAGTAACGGCCACAGCAAAAGCAGCAGCAAAGGCGATAGCAAGAGCAAAAGTGACAGCAAGAGCAAAAGCAAGAGTAAAAGCAAAAGCTCCAGCACCGAGTCCGGCTCGAGTTCCAGCGCTGCCGCCGTGAGCAGCAGCAGCAGCAGCAGCAGCACCACCACCGTCGCCACTACGAGCGGCAACGCATTCAACGTCTCCCCTACCGCGCTCTTCAATGGCGTCCAGTCCGCCTTCAATGTCTTCTCATCCTTGCCCAAGTTCTCTGGCTATTCCGCCGCCGCACCACCCAACGGCGCCACGTCCGTCTCTTATGAGCTCGCCCTCCCCGACACCCCGGTGACGAACCTCCTCAACCCCTCCAACTTGCATATCCCAGCATCACAAGAAGTCCTCCAGAGACGCCTCGCAAAGAACATACCCCGCCACGGCAACGCCTATGTTATCCTGCTGGTCGGCACTCTCCTGACGTCCCATTGGCTCGTCCTCGCGGCCCTTTTCGGCGTTGTCAAATCCGGCCTGTTCATTCAGTCGTACAACGGCCGGGATATCGCCCGGGACCTGGGCGTGAGGAAGTATGCCTCGAGCCAAGGAATCATGTCCGCTTTCGCCGGCGCGGCAGTTTTTGTTGCTCTCTGGGCATTTTCGTCACTGTTCAGCGTGGTCACGACGCTGGTGAAGGTCGCCACCCTCGTCCTGCTCCACGCCGCCTTTTTCGAGCTCGACGAGACGCAGAGGCCGATGAGGCCCAGAGTACCTAGCGGTCAGTCCTCGCTGTCGGCTGTGCCGACGCAGGAGCCCGCGGGGACACCTCTGACCCCACAAAACGCAATTGCATGGGCGGGACAGCAGATCCGGTCGGTGAGCGAGAGCCACCTGGGTGCTGCGCCCCCGAACGGCTGGTTTGCCGCTGCTGAAGGGTTCACTGGCGGAAGCAGAGAGGAGTACGCCACGATGCCGCGGTCACCGCAGCCTGCTGAGCCGCCGTATCCCCCTAGCCCGCGCAGAGATGAGTATAGCGGTCCCAGGGATGCTGGAGGCCCTTGGGGAGGTCATTTCGAGTCGGGACGACCTCAGAGCTTCGTGTCGGGTAGGTCGTATTGAGTCTGGAAGGACAGTATTTGAGTCACGAAGTCAAGTCTTCTCCAATTGATATCGATGCTTCACTGGAATGTTGGAGCGGTTGAATCTAAGATGGCGCTAGATAAAAATAGAAACGTCACGTCCCAAGCATGCCTTGACAACTGTCACCCATATGATTCCGGCGTAAGGAAGTTCCTGGCTAAATGGAGCACGATGATCCCTGGACGCTGTTGACAAGCTAGCAAAGCCACTCAATTTGGGAATATGCGGATTTTCTCACGATCAAACAGCAAAACTCTCTCTACAAGATCATTGAGGCTTCTTCCTCACGACCAGAGACAAGCTCCAGCCCGTAACGAAAAAGAGAGAAAAAAATCAGAGCCTGTCAGACGTCCATCGACACCCACCCCGTCCGCGCGCCCGAAGGCAAGACCGCAAACGGGGACGAGATCATCACCGCTCTCTATACAGCCAATCAACGAGGACTGGCCGCCATCCTTGCGGACAGGGCGAGAGCAACCGAGAATTCTTCACTCTAGGGCGTCGAGGATATAACTCATCAACCAGGGTGGGATCTGTGGCTCCTTTAGGGAACCAAGAGAGGGTCGAATACTATAGAAATGATTCTCTGAAGTATTGTCGACATAAGGAAAAAAAAAAGAGAAAAGAAAATCCTAAGAAGCGCGGTGGGAGGTCGCTCTTTTATAGACGCTGGCGGACGGGAAAGAGTGGGTCCGAGGCGCGGCGCCATCAGTAGAATTTTCAACCAATAAGACGCGGAGATGGTGAAAAGGAGGTGGTCGGGTACGTACTCCACGCTGCCTAACTGGCGCCGCAAACTCTTCATTTTAAGGGAAGGAGCGGATTTTGGTTCTTGCAGAGGTGCCTGGGTCTTGAAATTTTCAGGCAAACAGGCAAGAGCAGAATTTTTCATCCTACATCTACAGGTTTTGCTGGGGTGATGGTTAAGATCTGGTGCTGCTGGGCTGGCTGGGCTTGGTGGCCGTCTCAGAGATACTTTGAAGCCTGATGCCACGGCAGATATGTTGGTTGGCCAGGAATGTCAGAGCATATCTTCAGTTCAATACATTACTTGATGCATGATTAGGAAGTCTACTAACCAGCTTGACGCTTATGTGTGCCATGACTTGGGCACATCCATAATAGAACCAACAGTTCCAGTAGAGATCTGTGTCGAGAATCGCCCTCTTTTTCCAACCGTGGACTTGACTTCTGCATCCCACCAGAGCATGAAAGCCACATGGGACCAGAGGAGGTTTGCGATGTTCATTAAACTGGGTATGAGGAAATTCGCGGCGTCACATGTGGCCCGGTCTGCTCATGGGTCACCTGCAATTGAAGTTCAACTATCTAGCTCAGCTTTCTTGATGCTATCCGTTCTGCCTAGAATATTTACATCGCACGAAAGTCTCGGTGTGCGGGCAGTCCCCATATGTCTGCTCTCAACTTGCTAGAATCAGTGTTCACCAGTCCTCCCTTTGTCAACCAGCCAATTTTCTGTTGACTAAAATTTGTTGGCAAGTTTTGTTGGCATCAAGTGCGGGCTTCTTCCCACTGCACATCTTCCAATCCCAATGTGAAAAGATAAGCCTCTGGAAATTTGCTTCCTTTTGATTCGGAATGAATATACCTGCTAGCATGTTGTCTTGCCGGCTGCTTGGTGATTTTTCAGTCGAGGTTAATGAGGCGCGAGTCACTGAAAAGAGCCTACGAATCGCCGCCATTAGGTTTCGAGATTCCAGATGGAGAGACTTGGGCCTTTTCTTTGGGGATTATCTTGAGAAGTGACTTTTCGAGATCATCCGGGAAGGCCTGGTGTGGATAATCCGTCCCAGCTGTCAAAGTCCCAACTGTAAACAGAAGAGCATGAGTCTTGGAGTCACTGGTTTTTGCCAATTTTGTAATCTCTCTCCATTTCGGAAGTCCAGATTCATATTCGGAAAAGATGAGGTAAAACGGGCCTCCTTCTATTCTGTTGTTTACGAACAGATCTCCTCGGGTTAATTGGTCCACTTGCGGTGGGGTAGCGCAGAACCACAAGCCGTTAATTGAAATCCGCCATTTGACCAAGTCTAGATGCTCGCAGAGATGGTCGAACAGTTGCCCCGGCGTATGGAAATGGTCAAGAGTGGTCTCAAGAGTGACGCGGCACCCATCCTCTAGACACTGGGGCTGTTCTCCGAGATGTGGAGTTGTGCTAGAGATAGTATCCATGAATTGCTGAAGGTTGCTTTTCTTCTCAATCTTGCGCCAATAGACCAAACAAGAAGCTTGATCTTGGATGAAATAAAGCTCCGTCTTTTTGCCAGCTAAGATGGTCTCATCCTTCGGGAGTGAACAGTCGTCCACTGCCATCTTGTTGTCCATCCTAAAAGTAGTTTTTTCGTCTTGACTTGTGCCGAGTCCTTGGGGTGCTCAACTAAGAGTATATGGTGAGCGCAGTGAATTGCTGACTCAAGATCTGATATGGAAATTGAGGCGAAGAAAATCAAAGTCCAGTAGGGGTAAGGGCGGAAAGAAATACCCCAGAAGGTAAATGAAAAGAGGTTATTGCGAGGCAAGGCATGATGAAGTAGAAAGGAAGGAGCTTGCTTATTTTCTCTGGCTGTTAAATGAAATGGAAGGTAGAAGCATGAGAGTGAGAAATGTCGACGAGGTATGGCAGTTGCTGGAGAGAAAGGTAGAGTTATTGTTTGGAGAAAGAAGCCAGACCGTTCGTTTAAAAAGGAGCGTGTTGGTTGGCTGGTGAGAGGTATCAAATAGGGGATAGAGGAAAGAACGATTGTTGATCCGAATCATCAAGGGACAAGAGGGAAGGCGCGTATGGAAGGGGCGGTAGAGGTAAGCAGAGGGACTTTCAGTTGTGAAAAGCTTGGTGTGATGTTGATCTTGAACTACTCAGATAATTGCATGAGGCCTTAGTAGATAGGTCTAGTTGAGTCTTTCCATAGACCGCCGAGTAACCGAAGCAGTGAAGGGGCGAAGTTCGACGAGCAACGAGAAAGACGTTGATTGATATGAGCTGTGAGTCCTCGAGGCTGGCAAGTAAGATGATGCGAGATGGCTTGATAGTCCTAGTGTATTAACTCTTAACAAAAAACACCAAGTCAGTAAAAAGCTCTATACAACGGCAGACCGGAGAGATGGTTTATAGTACAAACCTGAAAGTATTATAGGCTTCCTCGGCGTTGAAATGTGACGCATATAAGCTTCAAACGCTCATTGTGCAAGTCTAACGGGGACGTCACGACCTTGATGACGAGAAACCACCGTCCGTGTAGCACTTTTCCTAATGAACGTAAGACAAAAAGAGTCAAAACAGAAATGGCCATGCGTCAACGACCTTACCAAGTCATCATTTCCCAAGAAATAATGAAACCAGCACCAAACATACTCTATCATGCCAATCACATAACTTAACCTACACCCAGAACTTATTCACGATACAACCCCTCCTCCAAAACCCACTCCTTCACCCTCGCCCCAAGCAACCCCCTCAACCCCTCCTCGTCCCCCTTCCCCGCGGCCTCTCTCACCCTTGTGCTACTCACAACCTCCTCGCCCTCCCTCCTCCCGCTCACCATCTCAACCCTCTCCGCCCACTCCCTCCGACCGCCAACTTCCTCCAAACCGCCATCCTTCAACTTGTTCAAATACGCAACCTGCTCCTCCTCGCCACCCCACTCATCATCCGTCCTCATCGTAATCCTCAACCTCGACCGGCCCAAAAACGGATCGAGCGCCCTCTGCATCGGCTTCACCTCCTCCTCACCTTCTCGAGCAGGAGGCACAGAGGCAGTGTAATACTTTGGATTGAAGATCCGAATGAGCGTGTCGTACCCGGCAAGATACACCTGCTCCGCGTCCCCCGGGTAAAACCCCTCGTCGGCAATAGCCTGCGACTTGTCGTGGAAATACGGCATCGTAGTGAGCCCCAAATCGACCTCGACATCCTCCCGCAACTCATCCAGCAGATCCCGCGCGAAAGCGTGCATGAGTCCCAGGCGCACAGGGAACGCGACTGGCTTCGGCGCCTTGTCCGCGTTATTAACGGCCAGCAGCAAGAGAACTCTCGCGCCTGCGCCCGCGCCGCCCGTGGCGCGGGCGGCGGAGGCCGCCATGCGCAGGTGAGCCAGCGTCGGCGGGTTAAACGACGAGTCGAGCACGACGAGCTTGGTACTACTACCCCTGGCCGCGGCCGAAGACTGCCGGGGACTCCTCGGCGCAGGGAGCCCGTCGTGTGCCGGGAGTGTGCAGACTACGCGGAACGCATCCTTGGAGGTCTGGAACGCCGTGAGGGTGCGGGAGAAGAATTCGACCAGTGCTTTGCGGGACATGGCTTCTTGGTTGGTTGTGGACGACATGACTTTTTTTCTTTTTCGGGTTTCCCACGAGGTGCTGCTTGATGTGATGAGTGAGACAAGAGCTACGGATGTCACTGCTAAGGGGGGCGGGATCCAACCCCGCTACGTGGGGGTTCAGCAAAATGTGGGGTAAGATGGATTAGTGTCTTAACAGAGGTATATTGCAAGAATGATATCAACATTTGCTCTGGTATCGTACAGACTATGTAGACTATGTAGGTATAAATGGGGTTACTGCGCCTTTTCTTTTTCTTTTTCTAAATCCTCTTCTTCTCGGGAACAAGCATCTTGGAGGTTAACAATCCAAAGAAGAAGAAGATGCCGATACCGAGGAAATTCAGCACGGCGTTGATCCAGGGCGGAACGCGCTGCTTCGCCGTCAACTCGTCCAGTATCTTGTCGATCCGCTCCGCCATCTTCTGCTGCCCGAAGCCGGTGCGCACACGCTGCACGCCGTCCCTGCCCATCTTCTCCAGCTCGGCCTTGCTCATGCGGTTAAGTACCGTGTCCATGACCTTGGTCCACTCTTCTACCTGATCGGGCTCCCGCAGCCAGCCCGTGACGCCGTCCATGACAGTCTCCTTGGGACCGCCAGTATTGGCAGCCAGGACGGGGACGCCAGCCAGCATTGCCTCGAGGGGGACGATTCCAAAGTGCTCGTTGGAGGGCGTGTAGACCAGAAGCTTCGCTGACTTGAGCAGCGAGTCCTTAAGGCTGGAGGGGATGGAGAGGAGGAATAGAACAGGGATGTGCTCCGGAGCGGAGAGCGCCGTGATGATGTTCTTGGCCGTGAATGTCTCGAGTCCGTGGTCCTTGGCCAGCTTATCCAGCTCGCGGTGATAGTAGTAGTTCTCCGCGCTGCGCAAATCATAACCTCCCGCAATCACCAGCCTCGTGCCCTTCCTCTTGTCCGCGGGGATCGCAGCGAAAGCCTTGACAGCCAGCGCAATGTCCTTCTTGCGCTCGAAGCGGTTGATGCTGAGGATGATGTTCTTGTCGGTCCACACGGCCTCCTCCTCGCCCTCCTTCTTGTCGGTCTTGGGCTCGATGTCGACACAGGGGTACACGACCTTGAATTCCTTCTTCTTCGCCAGCTTTGGCCAGGCGCTGGTGGCGACGCCCTTGGTGAAGCCAGAGTTGACGGCGATCTCGTCCGCGAAGCCCATGCTCCACTCCTCGATCCAGTCGAAGGGGATGCGGTAAGCGCGCTTCCACCACTGCTCGCGGCCGAGAGCGAGGTACATGTCTGGAAAGTGGCAGTAGAAGAGGATGGGAGCCTTGGGAATGAGGTATTGGAGGAGAGGAAGACCGGCGGAGAGCTGGTCGACGATGAAGGCATCCGGGTTGAGGGATTGGAGTTCGCGGGTGACATAGATGTGGAGGAGGAGGGTGATTTGGCGGAGGATGGCGCAGAGAATGGTCAGACGGCCAAAGATGGATTGGGGGAGCCAGTCGCCGTGGACGCGGACATCGAGGGTCCCTAAAATTGTCAGCATTTAACACATGATCATGACTCCAAATAGATGGCGCATACCATCGCGAGCTTCTTCGAAGCAATGCCCCTTGTCGCAGTGGCTCGTAAAAATGACGACCTTGTGGCCGCGGTTCTGCAGGCCAACAGCCGCATCGACAACAAGTCGTTCTGCGCCGCCAATTCCCAGGTCGGGATGGAAGAAGACCACGGTCCGCTTGTCGTCGTCTTTTTCCGCCATGGTTGGTGGGTAGTTGGGGTGTGTGAAGCTGATGTGCCTCTGCCTCTGTCCCTTCGCAAGAGGACAGAAATGCGACTTGAGACGAGCAAGCGGGACGCTTCAAACTGGGGGGTAGCTCTCAAGAGGGAAGCATTATGATTGGTTGATACCAGCTGAATCTTACGTAAGGGTCGCGACGGACTGGGGGACCACTGAGATGATAGTGGAGTTTAAGCGACAATTTAACGATTCCGGGGTACGTCAGAAGCGCTACAGAAAGCTGGGCGCACCTTTACATGTGAAAGTGCGTCGCGCGCGTGGTGAATGCGGACGAACAGCAAAAGCCAAAATGCGAGGCATCCTTCATTGGAGGGAGGACTAGCGCCTGTGCGGAGGTTCCCCCCGTCAGTTTAGAGTTGGCGTTGGCAGGCCGAGCAGCCGCCGTGGAAGGGTCACAAACAATGATTATCTATTCTCCCCTCGCAATCTATTTCCCGAGCCGAGGTCTGCATCGCTTAGACTTACGGCTGTCATCCTTCAACCCTCCCAAGACACATCACCACCCGCAACACTTGATATTCAATTCAAATAGCATAAAAGATTATATACGACAACTTGTACCAACACTTGGAGACTGTCATCTGACATCTGTCATCCGAACACTGTTTTCTTCTTACCTTTTTCCACCTCGTAAACTCTCCTAATCCCAAGAATCTCCACCACAGCTGAACCATCACCAAACCCTCACAATGTCATCAGCAGCCAAAACCCTCTTCACCCTCCCCGTCCCTAAAATGGACTCCCACCCAGGCGGCACGATAACCTGCACGACGCCAGCCCCGCAAGTCTACCTCCTAACCTGGTCGTCGCCGCCAGACAACCGCCTGACGACGCCCTTCTGCCGGGCCTTCCTCGCCGCCCTCGACATAATCGAGTTCTCCCACCCGCCAGGCGTCCTCGTCACCACCTCCGCCATCCCGAAATTCTACTCAAACGGCCTCGACCTCGAACACGCCTTCGCCACCCCGGGCTTCTTCCCTGACCCGCTCTACCGCCTCTTCAAGCGCCTGCTGACCTACCCCATGCCCACCCTCGCCCTGATCCCCGGCCACGCCTTCGCCGGCGGCTTCATGACCGCCATGCACCACGACTACCGCGTCATGAACCCGCAAAAGGGCTTCCTCTGCATGAACGAGCTCGAGTTCGGCGCCCCGCTGAAACCCCCCATGTCCTCCATCTTCCGCATCAAGTGCTCCCCCAAGATATACCAGGAGATCGTCCTCGAGGCGAAGCGCTTCCCGGGCCCCGCGGCGCTCGAGGTCGGCCTCGTGGACGCGCTCGGCGGCCTGGACGAGGCTCTCAAGTTCATCGCCGACCGCAAGCTCATCGACAAGGGCAAGTCGGGCGTGTACGCCGTGCTAAAGATGGAGATGTGGCGCGAGAGCGCTTTCGCGCTGAGCAAGGAGAACCACGAGGCCGAGGAGGAGAGGTGGAATGCGAGGGAAGACCTCGAGAAGAAGCGCGTGGAGGAGGGCAAGAAGTTTGTCGAGCAGTGGAAGGCCGGCAAGGCCAAGTTGTAAAAAAAGAAAACTGTACTCACGATTGAATGAATGATTATATATATATATATATATATATATATATCTAGGATGATGATTTGACTGCACAAAGTACGTGTGACGATGCCACGTGGGGGAGGGGGAAAGGTTTGAAAAGCATACGCTTCTAGAGATCGTGTATTTTGTTATGTATGATTAAAAAGAGACGCTATTCTGACTAGCCTTCCCAATCGGACAGAGGGGGTATCATGGAACGTCCATCAAACACCTGAAATGCAACATCGCGGCTCTTTTTCTTTTTAAAAAACCGGCCGCGAACTGCTTTTTCTCTTTTTTTTTTAAAAAACAAAAAGCTTACTCTTCTCACTGCCCATCTTCTTCGACCGGCGTCGCTTCCTCGACGCTCACTTCCGGAACCGCTTAGCCGTCTCCCTTGATACTTTCGCTGCTGCCGTTGCCATTGCCGTTGCCATTGGCCTTGCTCGCCTTCTTGGCCTCGTTAATCTCTTCTCTCTGCTTCGCAATGTCCTTCTCCGTCTGGATGGCCTTCTCCCGGCGCGACTCCACATCCTCGCGCTTGACCAGCCTTCTGAGCGCGTCCGACGCCTTGATCATGTTATCGATACTGATGGCGTGGTTGGTCATCTGCCGGTTGATGTAGGTGTAAACGCTCGCCGGTGTGTCGCACTGCAAAAGCTGAGACTCGTTGAGCTTCAGCAGCGCCAGAGCCACTTGGAACAGGAATGTGCTTCCGTCGTTCATGCAAAGCACCACATCCCAGACGCGGAATAGAGCCTCGGCGCAGAGGCAGTCGGTGAACACGCTGAGGAACCACTGGAACGTCAACGCCTCGAGCTCGATACTGAGGTCGTCCAGGTGCTGTGAGAGCTTCGGGAGCACATCCGCCACGTATTCCCGCAAGACATGCTGGTCTGCGCGAGAGGATAGTAGACTGTGGTCGTAGTAGCCCGCCGGCAGGATGTTTTCAATGATGCTGGCCAGAATCCAAAAGGCGTCCTCCGCTGATGGCATAATCAGCAGCAGGTTCGCCGCAATGAGATTCATGCCCTGGCAGTAGCCGACTTCCGGATTGCGGCGGGCATATGCCAGGAGAACCTCGTTCAGCTTCGCCACGCCTGGTCCCTTGCGGAAGAAAATGTTGTCGGTCAAAGTGCGGTTGATGTCCATCTGGATCTGGGACACCACAACCGGGTCGTCATCCTTGTCGGAGCGAGCGATGATGTCTTGATAATATCCTGGGATGCGGAGTGCTGTGGCGCCGGAGCATTCTGACCACACCTTTGCGCGCAGGTTGACTGGGATGCCGCCGAGGACGAGATTTTTGAGTTCTGTCCGCTTGGCGCGGCCGACTTTGCCCTTGATTCCGAGGCCGGTAATACCGATCAGTTCGCCATCGGCCAGCGCTGCCTCGGGCAGGTTCATGGCAGGCCGCTCAAACCGGGCTTCGGCAGCGGCGGCGGCGGCGGCGGCAGCAGCTTCACCGTCTCGTCTCCTCTCGGCTCTGACCTTGCGCAGAAACTCATTCCAGCGCGCCGCCTTCTCTCTCTGAAGCGAGTCGTGCAGCTCACCCATGTGCTGAAGGAGTAGCTTCACCGGCTCTGTGTCATCTCGAACAACCGTCCCCGAAGCCGCATCGGTCTCCACAGGGGGCGTTGTCTCGCTGTCGATAACCGAAGTCGTGGTGCTTGCAATAGGCACGAATCCTCGCTCATCGGCTGCGATAAGACCAGGAGACTTCATGCCGAGCTCGCCTCCCTCGAGCACTTCCAGAGACGGAGCACTGAGTGCGGGTGTGTGAGAAAGAAGCTCCGTCGGGAATGTCGCCAGCTTGAGATAATCTTGCCATTTCTTAGGCTTCCCTTCGCCCGTACGTTCTTCTGTAGAAGAAGGGCTGTCTGGTCGCTCTTCACTACCTGCGGGACTCGGCACCTCCTCCTCTTCAATCATCGGCGGAGACAAGTCGGAGCGTCCATTCGACAGCATCTCGGTCCGTCCCCCTTGTTTAATATGACGGGCAATTTGCGTTGCTTCACGCTGTCTCTTTTTCCTTCGCTGGTCGTATATAAAGCCAAAACGGTCGGTAAGATATTCGCTACCGACATAATTGTTATAAATGTGTGTTAATGTTGGTGGTTGGGTCTCGGGTGGGAGAATGGCGTCCATCTCGACTGGACCGTAACTCTCCTGCCGGTTTGACGCAGCAGTCGGCGGGCTGTTCATCATCGTGTCCCACCTCTCCTGGGGCTGCGTTCGGGCGGCGTTTGTGCTCGGAGGGGCATTATTGGTTGGGCCCGTTCGACGCATCGCCATGAGCGCCTTGGGGCCGCCCTGTGTCGAGACAGCCCGGCTCGATTGTGAGGTTTTGGCGCTAGAGGCAGAGGACGCTCGCGCGGTTGATGGCGGCTGGGTGGCACTATTCGACCTTCCGCGGTTGGGACCTCCCTCGCGCGTGTTGAGAGCACCTCCAGCTACCAGTCTCATGAGACTTGCAGCAACCGAGGTTGATGCTTTGCGAGAGCCAGGCGGGCCGGACTGGATGCTAGATGCGCGGCTCGGGGTTCTCGGCGGGGCACTATCCGACGTAACGCTATCCGGGGGCGGGCTGAAGAGGTCATCCTGCAGTCCCGGCCGTCTGTCGCCGTATGACTGAGTCCTGACAACAGTGCCCGGCTTCGTGTCATCGCCGTTGACGCTGTTGGGACCGCTATTCTTTCTGCTCGTCCCGCCCCAGAGATAATCCTTCCAGCCTCTAGTCGTCCCCCTACCGTCAGGGTTAGTCGGGGTGGAGAGGTTGTTGGCGCGGATTGTCGCATCGCTGACATCGGTCTGTCCAAAGACGTTGTAAATGACGGTATCTTGCATTGCGTCGCTCATGAGCTCAGAGAGGCCGCTCTCGTTCCGACGGTTGCCGGGGCGGGAGGTCTTGACCTCACTCTCGATAGCGCGCAATCTCGTCTCGAGCTCCAAATTGGAGAGCCCGCATTCCAGAATGATCTTGCGAAGGGCCCTCTCCCTTTCATCGGCTTTCCTCCTCAGCTGGGCGATCTGGGCATCGCGCTGGGCTAGGTCGGTGGCAACCTGCCTCACAAGGGCGACAGCGCCATGCCTCGCAATCAGGCGCCCGATGTGACCGTCGTCTGCGTGGTGCAGGGCACCGGGTATCTTGTGGGTGGACAACGGCGAATCCTCAAACAGGGCATCACGTGCGGCCTGTTCAGCGGCGGAGGTGGTGCCGGTGAGGTTGCCGAGCAGGGAAAAGGCACTGGATCTGGTGTCGGATATCTTCCGGACAGTCGCCGGCGGCTCGATTTCTGGTTCCGGGGTCGCAGGATCGGGTGGGAAGGAGTGCTCTCCCCTTGGCGAGTCGGGAGAAAAGGAGGGGAAGCTCGTCAGTGACTTGTTGTCGGAGGCAGCAATAGAGCTGGCGGAGCTCGAGGGTTGGGAGTTCAGCTTGGATCGTTTGCCTCGTACGGTAGAAGAGCGAGCGCTCTTTAGAGAGGTTGCGCTCTGCTGCGAGATGGAACGCTCAAGGGTGAGAGAAGGCTCGGAGTCCATCGTTGGCGGGCGATGACACCAAACGTCATGGTTTCCAGCAAGCACAGCAGTGTGTCGGTTGTTAGCTGTACTGCGCAGCCGACGCGAGACGCAGGTGAGGATCAGGGACTGTCACGAGGCTCGACTTGAGGGTTATGCCATGCGGTAGGGCAAAAAGGCTGTAAAAAGATGCAGTGTTTGGGTAAAGTCTTTGGTAGAAAGAAGGGGAAAAGGCGAGGAATGTGACTGAAGTTGAGGTTAGAAATGATGGTCACAGCCAGAAACGGATGGATTGCGCACAAAATGGCAGGTGGGCGGGACGTACATGGACTAACTACAGCACGATGACGGTTTATGCAGTCAGGTTGTCGGTACGTCTCTGGGCGACAGGGGGGAGGGGGGTGTGAGTCTTGGTCGGACGGTCCAGATGCGTGCCCGATATGGTGAGGGGGAGAAGGAGAGCCTTTCTGGAGTACGTAGTACTGCTAATAGATTCTCTGGGGTGCCGTGTGGCCCATGTTTGTTGCTTGTATATTATGTAGTGTGTGTTGTGCTGTGCAGAGCGCGTTGTGCTGGCAGTCCAGGAGCACACTACCTTCTATAGTATGTGCATAACTACCTTAGGTAGTAAGGTGGCATTCCATATAATACAGCTAAGGCTGTTGTAGTGCAAGGTACCTACAGGTACGGACACGCTAGGTGACGGAGATGGGGTACAGTTAGCTGGTAGCTTCCATTGAGATTCCATCGGCGCTCAGGTAGGTGTACTACTACCTATTTAGACAGAAATTGCCAGCAATCTTGTGGCTTGCAATCGTCACGAGGTACGTACCCAAGCCCGCCGCTACGGCCCTACCTGTCCACCTGTCTACACTGGGCGGGCTACTTGACTACCCAGTACTTTGTGGTACGTACTCGTAGGTAGACGTGGTGCCCACACTGCAAAGAGCAGCAGGCCTCTGTTACCCAGGTGCCTCAGCTGCAGCCCACTGCAACCCACCCACTGCCCCTGGCACCCGGTCCAGCCCATGTTGACGATGATGATGAAGATGGATTCCACAAGGGGACCCTCTCGCTCATCAATGCTCTACATGCTAAGCATAAACAAAAGTCGCATCCGCGCCATGGAGAGGCGACAGGCTGTGTGCATAGAGGTTCCGGAGAATAGGTAAGGTACGTCCATGTGGCTAATGAGGCACGCCGATGGCTGAGCTGGATGCATTGCCCTCTAGTTCCTTGTCATCTGGGCTATTAAGCCCGTTCACCACCATCCATCTAGCCATCACTACTGTGTGTGTACACGTCAAGGAAAAATAAATAAATAAAAAATTGAGGGTCCGCGGGTGCCACATCAGCAGTTGGAAAAAGCTTCGGCTGGACTACCCTACACATAGTAGTACGGATATACCAACCATTGATGTGCTATGCGGTAGGACACGGAACTTGCACAAGGGACATGCCTTTTTCCAATGCGGCATGTAAACCTTGAGGATGCATATCAAGGGCTCTGGAAATAACGTGCCAACCCGACCACACCCCTCGTTTTCCCTATCACTCTCTACACTTACTGCCTGCGTTCTCTCTCTCTCTCGCTTTCCAAGGCGCCATATTAGTTAGCCCTGCCATACTTGGTCTTCCAGGGATCTCCCTGACTTCACTCAAACCCCCTGTTCCCCATCTCCATCCCACCACGGCCGCAAAAGCCCTAGAAGACGTGTCGAATTCGCCTTCATTTGCCCATCACTGGTGTGAATGTGTGTGTGTTGTCGCTCCTCCTAATAACATAGCTTTTCTATTAAAGCCCTACCCAGAAGCATCGCTTATGCCTCTCTCGTTTCTTCCCTACCTTGGCTGCCTCCGTGACACAAGCAGTGCCCCTCCTCCTGGACCCGCTGAACCGTGAATGATCAAAACACTAAAGTCGCCTCTCTCTCTCTCTCTCGCCTTCATCCCAACTCTATCATGCTGCCCACGAGACCTTGTCAACGGGGTGGGCAGAAATTAAAATGTCAAAAAATTAAAAACAGCTCTCTTTCCAAAATTACAAGATTAGATGGACATGTCAGGCGCCAGGCACGCACAATCTTGGCCAGATTGGGCTCCGAGCCTAGTCCGGGATCCTCATCTCGGCGTCCTCACACTCTAATATTACTTCAGGGGGGGTTGCCTTTTATTTTAAGCAGAGAAAACCGCCCGCCGTCGCTTTTTTCCCGGTTGACCGGTGTGATCTACGTAGTATGGCGTGTGTGTATGTGTGTGAGTGTTTTTGGATGATGCTGATCAAATCCGGCTGGGTGATAATTTCCCTTGAAACTAAAAGAATTTTTCAAAGGGGGGAAAGGAATATGTGCGATTCAGGACACAATACACAACAGCATCGTATGTGACGCCCGGACCAGCGACATCAAATCCCCCCCCCCTTCCCTTCTCTTCTCACCCCCTTCTCGTATCCTAGTCGGGTCCTAGAAGAGGGTGACACAGCACGAGCCCCGGATCAATGGCGACTGGGGGGGTTCTAGATCGTCCCCGGGGCCGCCAGTTCGGCAATGCACGGCCGGCTACCTCGGTGCGGAGTGGGTCTTGTCTACCACCATACACTATCGCAAGTCTACCGGAGCCAACTATCCTTTGGTGCTCATCGCCGATCTTCAACGCGGCGAAGCAAGGAACACTTTAATCTGAACAGCAGCGCCCACAATCACCCACCATGACGCATCGCCTCAAATTCAATCTCGGTTTTTCTTTTCTTCTTCAATGCATGTGCAGATGCAAGCTTCTGTATTCTCTGGAACTCTTCCTGAATCAATGCTTTCTACTGTCCGTACTCGTACAATACTTCCGTGTCGTCATTAAGCCCTGCTCCCTTTTGCAATAATTATCCCAGACGCCATCCCTGTTGCCATGGAAATTACAAGTATAAACAAAAACACCCCCCTTTGGCTGGGCTGAGGGAAAAAAAAAACGCCGAATTTTCTTGCCGTCATCATGTTATTTTTGTACAAGTCCTGTACCCTCAAGCGAAGCTGTCCTCCGCGTTCCAACGACTGCTAGCCGGGCTCTGGACAGCCGGAGACGTCGCTGGAGCCGCGTCTGGGGCCGTAATTTTGATGATGGGCGAAGCTCTCACCGAAGCCTTGGCCGCTGACCTAGCTGAAGATTTGGCAGGACTCTTGGCCGGAGTCTTCGTTGGAGATTTAGGTAAACTCCTAGACGGTGTCTTCCCTGGAGACTTTGCTGGGGCCGAAGATGGAACGCTGGCGTTGTCGCTGGCATTAGGCAGAAGACCTTCCTCCACCAACGTCTGAAATGCCGGGTCGCGAGCAAGCATGAGCTGCCGCTTGACGGGCAGCCCGTCGAGAAGTTTCAATTTCTTGCAGCAACCCACGAAAATAACCTGGTACAGCCGCCGCCGGAGACGTGTTGCCTCGTCTAGTCGTTTGGCAAATAAGTCGTCCCTCTGAGGATCGGCCTCCGGGAGAGTGAAAGGATCAGGGGAACCGTCCTGATCCGCTGAAATCATAACCTGCACTGGCGGATAGAAGCCCTGAGTGATTGGATTGTCCCGCAAATCCAATTGCGTCAGGTGCGGGAAGTCGGTCAGGAGTTCTGTAACTGTCGTCGAATCCGCCAAACGGTTACCGGCTACAAGAAGCTTCTTGAGCCGTGGAATGAATCGAATAGGTGAAAGGTCTGCGATGGCGTTGAAGTTGAGGTTCAGCGATCGCAGGTTTGGCATCAATTGCCCGAGTCCCTCTGACAGACGGTGAAGCCCACAGTTGGCTAACTCGAGGAGTTGCAGATTAAGGAAGTCCACCTTGGGTTCGAAGGCCCCAATGTAGTTTCCAGAAAGGAACAGCTTCCGAATCTCGTATGCCGAAGAAAGGAAGGAGAGGTCCAAGTGGTCCTCGCCACGTTGTTCTCTCAGAGACAGGCTGTCGAGATGGCGAGCCTTGGTGAAACCGGTGATATTGGTAATGCGGTTTCTGTCGGCGTGGAGCAGACGCACAGCCGGCAGACGGCTGATATCAAGTTCCACAATATCATTGTCGCTCAGATCCAGGTACCGCAGACCGTCAAGGCCCTGAGCATCTTCGGCAGTGAATGTCTCGAGATTGTTGCGCTGGAGTCGAAGAACCTCAAGAGATGAGAGCTGCCCAACGTTCAAGATTTCTTCGATTTTGTTGCCGGCAAGATCCAGCTCGGTAAGTCGATGCAGCTTCGTACCGTCGAAGTCGGCCACCTCGATGAGGTTATTGCGCGCTCGCAGAGTAAGCAGTCCATCGTGCATGTTCAAGCCGTCAAGAGACGTCAGCTTGTTGTTATCGGCCTTCAAGCTTCGAAGGTGAACGAGGTTCTTCAGTGCCGACAAGCTTGTGATATCATTGTTGGAGATGTCAACGTATTGCAGGTTGGTAAGGCGTTCCCACGACGTCAACTCATTCAGCATGTTGTGAGTGATCTTGAGCTGCCTGACCGAAGTAGGCACTCCGTCAAGGTGTCCAAGGGAGTTGTTAGATGCATCGAGGCTCGTCAAGCGACCACAGAACTCGTCCAACATGTGGAGGCTTGACAGCCGCTTTTCACTTATGTCGAGTTGCGTAAAGTCCTCCCAGTAAGGCTCAAAAGGCTCGATTTCGGTCAGGCGGTCGACAAGATCGCGAACTGTCATGGACATGACCTTCTTGGAGCCATCGCCAGTAATAAGTCGCTGGTCGTCTACCATGTAACTGACCTCAAAACCAAAGGACTTTTCGTGGTTGTTAAGCGTAAAATCCGACATTGGGCTGAGGGACAGGTTGCCGACGTGGTGGCTGATGAAGGCACCCGCATCTGGAAAGAGGCCGCCCATTCTGGTCTTGCCAGGCGTCTTGATGATGAAACTGACACTCTTTTCCTGGTTGTCGTGGGAGACATGGCTTAGAGCGCTGTTCTCGCCAATGATGCTGACTTGCAGCTCCTCAGCGTTGTCAACCACACCATCTTCGTCCCGCTCATCGATACGGGACACAGGGCGAGGCACGAAAGACTGGCCACGAAGGGAGAATTGTCTAGAAGGCCCGCGTGCGGGTGCCGTTCGTGGGCGTTGCTGCAGGAGATTCCGTCGTGCCGCTTTGGTCAGGCTTTGGTATTTGCTACGCTTTGATTCCTCGAGAATGAAATGAGAATCAATGATGCTGCCCTCGTCATCTTCAAGGCTGTCGATATCTTCTGCGGCAACATCTTGAATGATGGAGGCGATTGGCGAGGAGAAGGAAATCGTCATCCGCCTGCGGGACGGCGAGGAATCCGTAACGCGGTCTTCATCCAGCTGAATCTCATGCTCGATATCCCCATCTGATGCCCTTCTCCCAAGCTTTGTAAATTCTTTCCTAGCTTGCTTTGCTATGTCCTTTGGCAGGGCTGCGTCAGGTGACAGAGTTACAAAGCCCTTGCCTGATACACTTCTCGGCGTACCTATGGATCCTGATGGCGATCGTGTCCAATCCTCTTCCTTTGCCTCAGCCTCCTTTTGAGCCGTCATGAGTCGTAAGTTTTGCATTTCTTTGGTCATGTCCACTGAAAGATCGGGGATGCTAGCGAAAGGATCATCTTCACTGTCTTCGGACGGAAGAATATGGGAGTGGGTGTGATGAGAACTTCTAGGCCTTATGCTCCCGCCCCTGCGCTTGATCCAAATATTTTGCTGGCGGTCCAGATACATACTGCCCACTTGATCAGGAATCAGATGAGACACGCTCTGAGGAGCGATTGTTTTCCTTGACTCAGAGTTGTGGGAAGATCCCGTGTGGATGGTGCGGTTGGTAGATGCACCAGATGAATGGGTGGGAAACTCATCCGCGTCAAGCGAATCGCCCCGCTGCTTGTTGGGGTTCGCGCTGATGCGAATATTGGGAGGATCGCTAATGGTCTCATCACCACCCAGATACTGGAGCTCTTCGGTGTTGGCCCGGTTACGGCTCCTCTCCTCAAGCTGCCGCTCGACTTCTTGAGCTGCGCGGATCGCGTCTTGTGCCTGGTCCATAGATCTGAGCGACGACGAAATGACGTCCCCCATATCGCTGAGTTCTTGGTATTTCTTCAGGTAGTCGAGAATTTCCGGGTTCTCTTGTCGCTGTGGCGCCCTCTGCACCGGCTTGCCTTCACGACTCGGTGGCCGTGAGAGTCGTTCTCTTGTCGACTCCTCATACGAGTCTTCGTCAAAAACTGGGCTTGGCTCACCGAACTCTTCATCAGATTCCTCCACGCTCGTGAGACCACTGGGGGCCTTGACTCCATTGCGAATCATGGCCATGATCTTACCAGCTTCGTCCAAGAAGTCCTGAGTTCTGATAGATGGCTTCCGATCCGTGTCGATGGTTGCACTACGTTCATTGCCGCTCCCAGTGAGATGAGAAGCACGGGTGGCAGACCGTCGCTGCGCCTGATCTTCGAGCACATAGTCGTCATACGAGTAGTCGTGTTGCTGTAGGGACGACCTTGAGCTCGGCGTCGGCGTGCGCGGTCGAAGGATGTGGCGCGATGCCAGGACGCTGGGATGGGCTTTCTGCTGCAAGCTACCTGGGCGGGCATCCTTGCGCTTTTTCCCCATCATGCTCTGCATCAAGTTGTGAGATTCTTGAACAGGTTCCAAAGCGTTGTAACGTTCCTCTCGTCCGTATGCAATATCGGACTTGTGCAGTGTTCTCCTTCGCTTCGGAGTTGGGTCTTTTGACGGTGATGTTCGCGGCCTCTTCCCTTCGGAGCCGGTATCACGTCTCTGAGGAGTGCCAAGCAAAAGAGAGTCGTCGATTGGGAAATGCACATTGGCCCTCTGCACACTCCCGTCACTGGCCGATGAGAAGGTTCTCGTGTGTTTTGAAGACGATGCTGTTGTGGTAGCCGATTTCGCTCGCTTCCTGGGAACAAACATTGATGCTTCTTCGTCTTGACTTGGTGAACCAGCCAAATTTGTAAATCGTAAAACGGATTCTTCAAAACCAGAAACTCCCTCAAATTCACCTTCGCCGTCATAAAAAAGTGATTCCTCCTCGGCGCGCCGAATGGGAATTTCCTGGTTGAACTGATAGCCCTCCAAATCTCCTTCGCCAAACTGGCTCACAGATCGTGAGCTCGTGGCAGTCTGCTGTGTTGGGACTGAGAGATAGCCCACAGGAGCAGTATGGGGCCGTTGTTTTTCTGTCAGGCGGGAAACATCGCCAGATAGTGCACCGCTCAATGACTGACGGGACGAGCCAGACATCTGATCCTCAAACTGGCTAATACGGCGAAGAAGAGTCTGGTTCGTAAATGTATCGTACGGACCAAATAGCTTCAACGGGCTCGATGTGCTGTTGGTTTTTGTTGCATCTCGCTTCTCTGGGCTGGGATGAGGTACTCGAGGCGCGGGAGGACTCCGTGATCCGTATCGCATCGATCCGTAGCCTGGTGAGTAAGCTCTAACGCTGGGAAATTGCTTGGGAGTGCTAGCCTGCAGAGACTCTTCGGGAAGCATTTCAGAGGTATCAACACCCATGCCAGGGCTCAGGCCTCGGTGCCTAAAGGAGCCATCGCCAGATCTGCCACCACGCTGCAGGTTAAGGAAGCCTCCCTGGCGTGCGTAATCATCGGTCGTATCGATTTTGTTGTTTTCAGCCTCGTCTATCGTAGCGTCAGCATCGAATTGAAGCTCTCCTTGGGAATTAAGAAGCATCTGGTCAATGCGAAGCTTTTCGAGGCGATTACGTAGTTGATCGAGGGGAAGTTCCGCAGGAGCGAAACCTTCTTCTTCGGCCTTAGAGCGCATGAGGGTAAGGACGATGGGGCTAAAATCCTCATTCCGAATAACACTGTGCCCACTAGTCTTGCGCGATGCATCGTTCGGGGGCGCGAGACCAGAAAATGATGTTTCTGCCGTAGGGAAACTTTCCTTCACACTCGGCTCCTGGGGGTTACTGTCACGATGTATGCTATAGTCGCTAAGTTTGCTCTGATCGGCGGATTCCTCTGTTGTTTTGTAGGTAACTTTAGGTGGTCGGATCCTGGGGCTCGGGCTCGGGCTTGGGTCCATCTGGCTTCTTCCGTCAGAATCGTCCTCGTCGTCGACTGCGTCCACATCTGCACGGCGGAAGAACGGAGGACTGGAAGGGAATGTCGTGTCATGCCGCGGGCTCTCCTCCGCCAGGCTGGTATCCATGGGTGTAGGGGGCTTGAACATGTTTTCAAGGCCTGCGGCAGCAGAGCAAAAAAGATCTCTTTGTTCGCCGTATGCGACATCTCCATACACCAGCCTCCGCTTCCATTCTGGGGTGTTACCGGTTCCTCTCAATGGCGAGGACCTCAACGATCTTTGTTCCACTGTGTTGTGGATGACGGAGCCGTTCGTCGATGCTGAAAATGCGCGGCTGGGTTGCCTCGAAGGCTCGGTAGCATTAAATTCTCTGGATACTTTGATGGAGGGCCTTCGCTGGGAGGAGAGTGGAATGTTGACATCGTTCGTGCTTCTTTCGCTCAGTACTCCGACGCTTTTTTCGCTGGCTCCGGCACTCGACGGTCGTATCCTACTGACAGGGAGTGGTATGCGACTCCCGGCTCCCTTGCCGTTGGGGGTCTTGTTATGTTCGCTCGGTTTTAAAGGTGGAAGCTGGGCAGACGGGGAAGCCTCAGACCCAGCTTGGGAGGGCCAATCCTCCGAAAGAGAATCAAGCCAAGCAGGAGCCATGGTCCTCTGGCTCATGCGATCGGGGGGAAAGGGGCGTTGGCGGTTATAAACAGTCCATCGGTGGGCTAGATCGTCGTAGATGGCGTCGCGATTTGCGGGGTCTGTTGATGCGGCGATTGCTATTTGTTATTTTTTTTTCTCTTTCTGCGGGCAATTGCAATACAGGCGTCGCCAAAGTGAAAATGCACGTCGAAAAAATGCAGAATGACAAGCTGAACAGAATGGCAGAAAGATAGGTGGCAAAAGCGCACTTGCTGCCTCCGCTTTGTGTGGTGAAGTACTGTCGTGATGTGGTAGTAAAAGGTATTGTTCGTGGGGAACGCGGTACGAGCGATCGCGTTTCGTTTGGGGCGGCGTTATGTCAATCCCAACCGTTGTTTCCCAGAATAAACATTGGATAGTTAGCGTGCCTAGTACCACAATGTTATGCTACATGGCATGTGCGCGCTGGTTGCTGTGTCAACACCTGCCACGCCAAATTCCCCGATCATCCGATGGCGCTATTGCTGTATCGGGCTGTGGGGGGCACCCTCCTTTAAGTGAATAAATTATGTAATCCACCTTTTAGACTTTTGTCATACATCATAACCAGGATTATGAAAGAAACAAAAAACCACTTAAACGCGGCATCACGTGCAGGCGCGCTTCAGCGCGTCGCTGGGTGAACGTGCAGGCCCGCTCGACCCATCTCCTCTTTGTCCGCTTTTGGGGCCAATGTTTGTTAGTGCACTGCTGGAAACCTCACTTTTCAACGACCGACCGTCTACGATCCGAGACCGCCTGGCACCGATGCCACGGAATATCGTACTCAACCGCTAACCTTTTGCTTCAGCCTCTATCAAAACCAATGAATAACACGTACATTGCTCGACGATGACACTCGCCAAAGGTTGGCGAAACCAGCCTATGGCCAACATGCCACCATACAACTCAACTTACGACGACACTGAAGTCCTCTACGCGGGCTCTGACGATGAGCACTACGATAATCCGGGCGAAAGAATTCGCCGAATCGAAAATGCTGCACAGAGATTTTTAGATGGGCACATTCCAGTGCTTCTGACGTCGGTACTTAAGGGACCGTTTGAAGGGCCTCAGGCAAACGGCTGGGTCAATCCATGGCGCTCCAAGAGGCATACGATTTCGACCGGCCTAGCTGCAGCAGGAGCAACTATTAATTCTGCTATTGCTCCCACTGAGGTTTCGGAAGCCGACAGTACAACATCTTGCCATTTGCCAAGTCCACGAAGTTTGGACCAAGTAGGTGTCACACCGCACCCTCACATGAATGACGAGGATGTGGAAAGGGTTCAAGCATGGAGAAGCGCAACAGAATCAGCAAGCCAACTGGATGACGAGCCTACCTGGTCACTGAGCACCGATTTGTCGCAGCCACGATCTCAATCCTACAAGAAGCGCTCCGCGGCAGATTCGGGTTGGCTAAAACGGCAGGATAACAAGCGCCGTAAGGCCGAAGCCTTGGACGACGTCGAAGGAGCGTCCATGTTGGTGCAGCCTAATACGCAAGCTCCCCGCCGCCGACAGTCTTCTTCGCAGGCTGGGCAAGAATCGCGGGAGAGGACGGTGGATGACAGTATGCAAAGCCTCCCTAGTACCACGAACTGCCAACGCTCTTCTCGAAGAGTCTCCCAGAGAGCTTCCGATTGTTCGTTACAGCATCAGCCGCCTCATACTCCCAGTAAAGCTACCGTTCCTCCTGAGGACGGAGCCATTGCTGCAGTGCTAAGCACACCAATACAAACACCTCAATCTGTTCGGAAATTGAGGGCCACACCGAAAACGAATGCGCACAACGAGACAAGCTTATTACAGGATGATGTCGACACTAGTTCGGAAGAAGCTCAGGACAGTTCAGATATCAAAGTGGAGTTTGAAACCCAGGAAGATGATAGCTTTCTGTTTCGCGCAAGGCCCAAGAGCCGTGGTCTTGAAGCTGCTGCCGCCGCTCTTTACGAAGATGGACAGCGTTCTACTATCAGTAGCGACCCTTCTGAGACGGAGACAGAGTCCGAGGATGAGGCTTTTGACCTCGATGGGGATACCTTTATGGCCAACGACACCAAAGGTACTTCGCCAGAGTCTAATGCGGAAGACGAGGGCCAAGCAGAGGAAGCCTCGGACTACATTGCAAAACAAAGACTGGAGGGCAAGGGCTTGATGCTACAAATAGCAGCGGACCTTACCCATATTTCCAAACCCAACTCGCTAGCATCTGAGTTTGTAAATGTGGCGGACAGGCAAAAGATTTTGCAGGAGCAACATCGTCGGGGAGAAACTGGGGTCGAATCAGAAGAGACATCAGCCAGCCAAGAAATTACAATTGTCGCTCAGCCTCCATCACAGGAGGAACAAGATGAGAAGCAAACGCACTTTGCTTCCCCACCAACTGCTTTGCAGAATAAACAAACCGCCACCATCATTAGTGTGCGCCAACAAGATGAGCCGCCTAGTAGCGCAGCGCAGAGAGTCTCCCAGCAGAGCCCTTGGTCAAGGCCAGATCTCACCATAAACAGCCCCTGCCCGGCCGGACAAGCAATAGAGAGGCAAGATCAGAGTTTCAACACCGAGACACCTATAGTTCAGCGGGTTCGTAATACCGAGACTCCTGCTCACAAGAACGATTCTCGGTCAACACCAATTACGATATTGCAGTCGTCTAGTGCTACGAGTTCTTTCAACGACACTGTGAAGGCAAGGCATCATAAAATGGAACTGAACACGTTACTGAACAGCCCATTGGAAGGTTTGGTCCATATTTATGAAAGTCCTGCAGTACCGGCCTCTCAGCAAAGTCCATGGAAAACTGACACACCAATCCTGGCGCCAGAAGGACAATCACAAGTGAACCGTAAACCTCACGACGAAAGCTTTGTGGACCCCGACTGCCAGAGTCCCTGGACCATGAGTCCCGAAAAGATGCGCCAGGCTGCGCAAGCAGCTTTGAGAACCAAATTTTTCAATATCCAGAGGCCAGTTTCACCATCTCCGCTTGTTTCATCAACACCACAGCCAAGTCTCTCTACAGTACATGTGGTACCCGAGGTGACGCCAACGCCTGCTGTTCAAACCCCGATACCCTCCTCGTCGGAGCCAGTCTTTGAGATCAAACGCTTTGCAAACTTCATGTCACCCTCACCCGAGAAACGCAGGCGTAGGCCTTTGAAGGTTGGGCTCAGTGCAGGCCGCCTCCCCAGCACTCAAAATTTGCTAGCAGCCACCATCGACAACCCATGGGATGGCACGTCGAAGTCAGCTAGACGTGTGACATGGGATCCGGAGGTCAAGGGTGGCGAGGAACCTGACAGCAGCGACCCGGTCACACCTACAGTAGCCAGAACAGCCTCCCCCCCGCCAGAGGTTGCTGTCGCGGAGCTCCCGACCGGTGACGACGACCAATTCCAGAGGCACTACCAAGCCGTCTCACGCAGGACCAAGATCATTCACAGGCTTCTTCCCTCCGCCTCCCAACAAGTTCTCCAGAGTCCGGAGCCAATGGCCATGGCCGAGGCCTTTGTCAGTGCGGATTCCTTCAAAACCAAGGCACCAACGGCGCCAGAAGCGGTTACGGCTGTGGTCGACGCTCCCTTGGCGGTAAGCGTTGATTCTCAGGAAGCTGTGGATGATGTGGACGATATTCTCTGTAACCTAAACGAGTTCATTCAGATGGTCGATGTCGAAGCTGACATTGCACGGACCAAGGAGGAAGAGAGAAAAGTCCAAGAGAAGAAGGAACAGGAGAGAAACAAAGATGCAACGAGTGGCGGGCGCATTGGGGGTCTCTCCCTTGATGGATTCATGGATGCTGGGGTATGGGACTAATGAGGTCGAAGGGGGCAAGGAGATGAGGAACATCATTGATGTTGAAGTTTGGGGAGAAGACTAACGACATGACGAACATTATTCCACCACATTGTTTTATTTTCAGCGAGGTGTTCAGGGTCACGACGCATACCACGAGTGCGAGGCGTTTCATAAGCGAATCATGCCTACAGCTAGATGCTTGATAAACGCTTCTAGGAGACTTGGTGTCTCGAATGTATGGCTTAACAGTCGTGTAAATTTAAGAAGCGAGTATGCGTTTTAAAAAAATTTCATCTTGGCTAAGACCAATTGTCATATATATCGTGATGTGGTTTCCCAGAAATGATGATATTGTAGGCTTTGGCGTGTCATCTGAAGAGTATCAGACGTCCTCGGGGTGCCTTGCGAACTGTTTGATCTTTGTCACCGAGGAAATCATGTTGGCTAAATTGCTGTATCAACCTAACTTTGATAAGACCGTTCATTTACTTCACTATATTGATCAGTTTCAGGCTCAACTAAGATATGCCTCTTTTTTTTTTTTTTTATATGTGGTCCTTATTGTTCTGTCTCCAATCAGTTGCAATTTGAATTAAATTCACTAGATGCGAGAGGCTGTTTTCTGGTTGATTTGACACGCCGGCTATCGTTCGGCATGAACATTTACTGATGATTGCAAAGAACAAAAAAAGAAAAACACAGATTACACATGGGCATTGCTACATGCACCGGAATTTCTGGCTTGCCTGAAAGATGGTAATGTTTGGTTATAGACTATCCATACTTGCGAATATTTACCGTTTCGTACTGAAGCAATAGACTTCTGAATATCTCAACCATGTCTCATGCTCACGATGAGGGACATCACGTATGAGCTTCAACCAGCAAATAGTCCGAGGCAGAGAAACACTAGGGTAAAAAGTTGCAGTATCAGGAGATGGATCAGCCATTCGAAGAAAGAGTTGGAATACTCTACTAATGAATTTGACACTCATGATTAGGTACAAATCAACAACATATCTAGAACTTCTGTAATTTTTCTTTATGCCATTTGCAAAGCGAAATACTCACTCCAGTAGTAGCATACTCCCAGGATGCCTTAGAAATACCCAACTAAGCCACATCTTTTTTTTCGTACGTCATTCAAATGTGAAGGCGGCGGATGATGGGACGGTTATCATCTCTATAAACAGAAGAAACAGTTACAGTTAATCACACAAAAAAACCCAGCAATACCGCAAGTAATGCCTCCGACAGAATTTCAGAGCCGGAAAGGCTGGACAATGACTCAAAACTACAGCCAGTGCGAACATCTCTCTCTCTCTCTCTCTCTTTCTCTCTCTCTCTCGGAACGACCGGACAGACCTAGAAAAGACTTCATTATCAGATCATCCCGGGCGAATGGGGGCTAGCAAATGCTCCACGTATACTGAAGATGCGTAGCCATGACAACATACGAGTCCAAATCTTATTCTCCGCAGGTGACGGCGTTCCCAGACGATCTTTGTTTGGGTTTTTTTTTTCAGGATGAAGGATATGCGGAAGTATAGGGATGACTAGCGAACACGTTGCTCGCGAGGCTTCAACAACTGAAGAGATTGAAACCTCCTTGGAACCCTGGATAGTCCAAGAGATGTACTGTTTTGGAGCAGCCTATATCCCCATGGACATTACTAAATTACTGCTGAGCTCGGATATCCAGGAAACTACTAATTAAGGAACGTGTTTAATGCTATAATCCAACGGGGTGACTGTTATACGTACGTTATCATACCGGTGCCTCCCAGACGAGTAAGTTGGCTCAAGGATAATTAGACATCAGGCGAGGTGATCACCAAGCCCAGGTTCAGTGAAAATTTATTCAATTCTAATGTGTAATGGTCCAGTAGCGTTTTCTTTCAGTCCCCCGAGCCACCAAGTCGAATCAGCCGGGAAACGAGATGAGCTACGTTGCGCCATGGTAGATTACCACCTGGTCATTCCTGAAAGGAGAAATACTCGGCCACCCTAGCAAAAGACCGAATGAGGTACTGACGGGAAGAGAGCCCTGGAAAAAGGAATACTGACCTCAGGCAAACTCCCTATTCCCTCTTCTGGACAAATCAATGGCCTGGGCCTTCTCAACAGATATACTTCGGAATCCGACAAACCGTCCACCAAGGACCATGCGTTTGATTGTATAGCAACAACCCATCATGCTTGTTCTTGGCACAACTGAAAACGTGGTGACCTGGGCGCAACCCGACTGGCGCGTCTCCTCAGCTTTGCGCTCGCACAGTTTTACACACGTGGCACGACAATGAACCCAGATGCCTGATTTTGGAGCCATAATTGCTTTTATCTCGATCGCCGTCCAGAGACTGAAGCGGGTGAGGTAACAGAATAACCTGGACCACCGGTAACTAATCTGATTAAAAGCGCAACGGGGAGTCGACGTAGAAGGCATGGACTCAGTGTCAAGGAAGTATTGTGTAAGATATCAGACATGGGCAAGAACATAACACAACTTGTTGAGTTTCCGTCACCGACCTAGCCCACTTTGAGTTCAGGGATATCAAGCCCGGTGAGCCGGTTCCTGGAACGAACATCCACAATAGTAAACAAGGCAGCGGTGTGGGCTCCAGCACAAGAACACATGGCGGATCCGAGGCTTCTCTTTGGATAGACAAACAAGGCCAATGCAGCCCTGCGTGGCCCCCGAGTCGAGTGATGGTTCGGTGTGGAACGGGCAAGGGGAAAAGGGGTAAGTTGAGTGTTCGGTTGCCGGCACATGTGGTCGTATAATTGGAATGGAGAGCTCAACGGCATGGCGATCTCATCACCGAGAGCATGGACTCGGCAAACATTCAATTAGCTGTTTTGCGGTGAGAACAAGGTGTGTCCCCGGGTTTCAGAACGATCGCCAGGGGCTTTTACTTCGGGGATCAGTGGCAGTGATGAAATGACTCCGCCACACAAACAGTCCGGGGAAGATGACACAGTTTCCGGCAGAGCCTCAGTACTGCGTATTGCTAGGATAGCTCGTTTCCGCGAATTGATACTCGTCTGATGTGATACATTCACTCGTACGAAGACATGGTATGAATGACGGACCGGGAGGCAGCCCAAGGGTCCAGCACATCAATGTGATAGCCTTGACTCACCCCTTGCCGAAAACTCAGAGCTACGATTAGACGAAAGAAGGAAAAATAGAAGAAGAAAAAAAAAGCAAACACAGAGACTTGAAATGATAAGGGACCCAAGACAGGAGATTGAGGCGGGGGCAGGCCTCAGTATCCCTCCTAAAGCTGGGTCCTATGCCGGGCAGGGGCAAGACTCCAGAAGCCCGCCGTATCGTACAGCATCGAGGGAGGTCTCGAGCCAAGTTCAGTAGATGACAGATCGAATTAGGGCACACTGTCGTTGATGTGTTTGTTGTATGCAGGCAGATCTTAATACCAGTCCACTTGCACGGAGCACGAAGATTCGCGCGGGTCCCAGCGAGCAAGCACGCTGCATGCCATGCACACGCATGCAAGGCAGTGTCAGTGCCCTCGGCAGAAATAGTGCAGAAAAAGCAAGAGCCATGAGGTGGCGCTGGAGTCGAGTAAGTTGTGCTTGTCTTGGGTAGATGATAAGATCGAGGAAGATGTCGTCGTGTGGGCGTTGCATATGGGTGTCGTCAGTTGGCTGGCCGTTCCGAGGCGGTCTGACGAGCACGTTGTTGGATGATTGGCGGGGGCGGACCCGTTGTGATTCTGAGTTGAACAAGGGGCCTGGCGCAAGCTTGTTAATCTTGGGGCTTGCAAGAAACGGACAGACGGGAAATGGAAGCTCTTGAGCCCTGCAAAGATTACCACTGGAATAGCCAAAATTTGAGACGTGTCAGAAAAGAGGATTGCTTATAGCTTAGGCCGTGGATAGACGCTCCGTCCCGCGTTGACTGCCTTTGGCGGGGAAACTATCCCCCTGACAGACGAAGCACAGGGAGGGAGGGTGTTCATCCAAGACGAGCGACTGGGGGCTCGGGTTTGGGAACCTTGCTGCTGATATGACCTAGGGTTGAAGAGATTGAAGAGGTGGCCACTAGCTCCGACGGGGCTGCTTGAGGCCTCATTTTCAGCGTTAACGGGTCTGGTAGACGAGATTACGGGCAATGGAGCCACAAGCTGCCGTGGAACAATCGCAACAGTTGCAGGGAAGACGGTTTAAGCGTTTCGTTATCACAACGACACCTGGATGGCTAGCGAGACCACGGCGTGGTGATAAAGCGGCCATGCGAGCTTGCTGCTGTCTGTCTGTTTGCCTGTCAAACCCAAGGGTCTGGCTTCTGTCTACTCGTGACAATTGGCGTCGCATAGCCGGTCGCTGGCGCCCTCGCTTGTCTGACTGCTTGATTTCCATGGCCGAAGAGGGCACCATCTTTCACGCGGGAGGACGAATGAATGTGTGACTTGGCAAGTGGGTGTGTTGCACCGGCCGGCACGCTTTCTCGGAGGATGGATGCATCGTTGGCATATCTGGGAGCACAACCGCTAGCCAGTAGTCGTAGGGTTGGCCCGCTCCGGCGAGCTGCGACGGCATATTTCTTGGAGAGACATCAGGGGGGTCCGGCGAGAAGGACGGTCAAGGACACGCTTGATGGGCCACCATTCCGAGCGCATCTCTCCCGGCGAGACAGACGAATGATGAGCGGCGTGCGTCAATAACCGAGCAGTCGGTCAATCAGTCGTGTGCGCCGCTCACATCGATGCCGTTGCGCCAGCTGGTAAATCGCCATTAAATTCTTTCCTCTGATACATTACATTCCAATGGCGAGACATGGGGGACTTTCGTTTTTCGGTGGGAGCCTGTTAAATCGAAAGAACGGACAACGTGCTCCCAGAAGAGTTTCGGGATCAACGGCGAGATACTTTTGTCGTGTCGATGAGGAGGCACTGCTGGAATGGTGCATCTGGTTGTGTCCGTCTGGAATGCACATGTATACTAGTACGAGTACTCTTTTATTTTCTGTGGTCTCAGCTGCCGGTGCTAAAGCCGGGGAAGGCGACACCGACTTATCCGCGGTAGCGCAATGACGATGCTTACATCATGGCGGAAAGTCTAGTTGGTCGAGGCGTCGTAGTAGCAGCGGAGGCCAAGGAATCCGAAGTGCGGCGTCCGGCAGCACAATGGCCGGGGCCAAGCTAAGGAGTGATGATGATTTGGGGTTGTCAATTAGGTAATATCGTCTCTTGTGACTAATGGACTGCACACACACTCAGCACATGAAGAGCGACACAACAGGCAAGATGCAGGCAGGGAGAGGTCAGCCGGATAAGATTCCCAATGGCTGAAGAGGCAATGGAGTTTTGGGTCGTTTTCGGCTCCAACCGTTTGGGCCAAAGACGTGCAAGGAAACAGGAGGGATCCCAAGTTCCATTCGAGATCCGAGCCAAGCACCCAAGGCGCAAGCTGGGAATGAATTCCAAGCTAGCGATGCCCTGACACTGGCGAATGAGTCCAGGGCAACTGGGGCGATTAGGAGGCTCCGGGAGCCAAGTTAGCAGTCCCGTGGTCAACGTTGGACCGTACAAGCGGGGTTTGGACGAAAGGGCTGCCGGGTTGATACTGGGAGCGACTGGGGTTTGCGCAGGGGCGCCCGCAGCTATGGGAACGCGAAAAACGGGGAAGGCCCATGTTTCGACGTGAGATGCCCAGAGGGCGCAGACATGGAACAAGGTATCTTGGAATGACGAGTCCGAACGTGCTTGCGCTTGTTCGTCTGGGTGGCTGGGCCATGCCTGGACGAAAGCGTTGAGGCAACAGGTCGCACAAAAATATTATGTAACTTTGAACACTGTCGCGGGCTGATGTCAATGATTGCGTTTTGTGTCTTGATGAATGCACGAATAAAAGTTGCGATGAAGGTTAATTTGTGACGAAGTTGATGTGGTGATGGTGGTGGTGGTGGTAGTGTTTTCAGTAAGATACGAATGGTTATTGACGCTGCCGGACGACGCACTAATTGCTCAGACCAAAAGGGATAGAAGAAAAAGGAAAGAAAAAAAAAAGGGGGAAAAAAGTTCTATATTAGTAATTAAGTGCTTATACCTGTAAAGCAAAATGGATTCGTAAAGATGTATGTGTTGAATGTCGTCGCGTTGTTGTTTCCCTTTCTGCCTGTTGTTTCTTTGGTAGTGGTTTCCTCCCCCCAGATACCACTACTTTCCACACGTGGGATGGGCCCAATAGGCAGGTAGGAGGGTACTGTACTCTTGTGCTATGATGATACAAGCCCTTTCGGCAAGTACCTGCACTCTTCACAACCGAGGAAAGATACCTCTAGTCCTTCCGTTACCCTCGGTACGTCCTCCACCGGCCACTGACCCCTCACTAGCAGGTACCTGCCTACCCGTTGGTTCCCTATCAGCTATCAGCACGGCAAGCCCCCTGTATATCCCTGCCTTTCATTACGTCCACACCTCCACCCGCCCACAGCAGTACTCCCTTCTATGGCTTCAGCAGTGGTCCACCGCCATTACAAGATTCCACCCGTTTTCGACAAATGGGAAAGAATAATTGAACGAGGAAAAATGAAGAGAAAGGAAGAAGAAAAGTACCTTCTCTGTGTTTTAACCACCGAAAGAATATTTTTCTACGTATTCTTTCCTTCTCTCTCTTACTCTCAAGAGGTTCCCCCTTGCGGCTACGTCCGATTAGATACCATATACATTAGTACATTACACTATCGTCTACTGAATTTGCCCCATCGCACACACATTTTGGGGGGGCGAGAGACTCAGCGATCGCTATTAACAAAGCATCACTGAGAGATCCAGCACCTTCTCTCGTCATCATTAAGCCCTTCCAGTACCGCTTTTTCTTACTTACCATGTAGTGTGCTATTACCACCTTAACTTCCTCCATAGGGCAACCCACCGTAGATTCACATCGCATCGCACTGCATTTGCTGCAGCCCATCCATCCCATCGCATTCTTCTTTTTCTTCCATCCACACCTCCTCTAATCTATCTATCTCTTCCCCCCCCTTCCCACCCCCAGTTTCGTACCACACACCTCCCGCGGGCACAAACATTTCGCAACCGAGCCTAACCTAAACTCAGGCCCCCCGTCTCCGTCCACACGCCTATCGTATCGCCGTAAGGACACACAGCACAGCATATTTGCCCTGCACTTTGGGGCCGCCCACTTTCTCTCTTTCCTCTCCGTCCATTCTGGGTCGTGACGTTCCTTTTCCTCATTCTCGCACCTTACCTCACCTCCCACACTCTTCCCCCCCTCCGCACCGCCGCGCCGCTCTCTATCCCCCTACAATCCCTCTTTCCCGCCCCAAATCAACCGGCGACCAATCCTCCATCACGAATCGAGTACTGCCAGATGTTTCCCTCATGTCCAGCCCGCCTCGCAACCCCGAAAATGCCGCACCCGCGACCCTGGTGAGCCCCGCGCATTCGTCGTCCACTCCCAGTGCCGCTCTTGATCTCGGTGCCATCGACAGCTCGACATCCAGCGCCAGTCCTGGTCCCGCTCAACCTGTCCCTGCTCCCGCCGCCGCTGCTGCTGATCCTGGAGCTCCCGCTACTGATATTGCTGCGGCCCAACACGCACAGCAGGACCAGCAGCAGCAGCAGCAACAACAACAACAATCTCAGTCGCCTCCAGTCCCAGCTCAGGCGTCTCAAGACACCCCCCCAGCCCACGCTGCAGCTCCACCCCCTGCCACGTCCGCTGTCACCCAGAAGCACCAGCAGGATGTCTCGAGCCATGTCGACCCGAATATTAAAAAGCCCCGGCCCCCTATCGCCCTCCCGAGGCAGTCCGGTCCGTCCTTGCTAACCCAAGCTCTTGCCTCAGCCCGTGGCATCCCTTCCAGAACACACTCCCACAACGACCAATCCTCTTCCCAAGTCTCGACTCGCTCGCTGCCCTCTCCCACCGCCGACTCCGTACCAACCAATCCTCTCTCTGCTGCTGGCCTGGATCCCGTCGCCGTCGACCCTCGCCATGTTCCCTCTCACGTCGGCCACGGCGCTTCTGTAGGCCCTCGAAGTGCTCCGCAACCTGGCTTTGTCGTTCCTCCCGCTCCCATCAATACCACATCTATCCCGTCCGCACCCCCCGCCGACGCCGCCACCGCCGACATGGAGATTATGACATCTCCCACCTACGATATGGCCAGCTTCCAGGGGATAAGAGCCATGTTGCTGGATCATCGAGACTTCCTCAGGACCACTCGATCACGGGGTCGAGGGACATCGCTGGAGAGGGTGGAGAGGGAGCCCAAGGTACAGGAAGGGGTGCGAAAGAATCGGGCGCACTCGCACTCCACTAGCCCCGATGGATCACTCACCACATCAGTAGCGCAGCTGGATCAAAGGTTACAAGAGAATATTGATACGGATGTACGACCAAAGAAACTAGAGCATCGGTTCTCCCTTGGGCCAGAAAAGATATGGTCCATTGGATCGAGCGAGGCCATTGACGGCCAGGAGGATGGGCAAGTAGAGAAGTCGGTCCACGAAGCCATGATTGGTGCTGAACCCAATGCCCGCAGTCGCAAGGCGAGCTACAGCCTGCGGTTCTTCCGCGAAGGTCTACCAAAGGAGGACAAGACACGCAGGAAGGATGCGCGTCACACACACATGCGAGAAAAGATATCGCCGAGTCAAGAGGGTCAATCAGGCCTCTCAGCTGACATCGCCATAGAGGATTTCGCTGCCAAGTCGGTCAGCACGAACCCTACGCCCTCGCCCAGAATATTGGATAAGAAGGACTGGTTGCCAAAGCAATTGGAGAGGGTCAAAACGTTCCCCCTCCAGTCACCGCAAGCAGGCAATACCCCCATTCTGACCGACTCACCTACTCAAGACTACTTTGGGCTGAGGAAGGTCAATGGCGATATCTTCCACAAGGTAGACTCAGATGGCACTGTACAGATTGGTTTGAAGGAGGACAGCTCTGACGGCCAGGCGTCGCCTACTACCGTTGAGGAGGGCCGCCAGGTCGAAGCGCGCCGCCCCTCCGATAGCAGCGAACATGGAGAAAGCCACGAGGAGGGAGACGAGTCTAGCGAAGAAAAGATTTCCTCCGCTGTTTTTGTACCACATCCTGGTCTTGAAGAGGCTGCTGAACGCGAGAGAGATGTGTCCAAGCCACGGCAGACCCCGGGCAATCGTACCGCTTCCAGAGCTGAGGATTTTCACCCATGGCTTGTGAAGGCTGATGAGCCGGAACCTGAGGAAGAACCATCGCCTGATCAACCTCCCGACACTCCATCCCATAGGCCAAAGCCCAAGCGACTGCCAATTGCGCCCAACGTGGCGCTTCGCGAGGTGCAGCCTGGTAAGATTGAGGATTTTGCCGTCGACGATGAGCCGGAACCCCCAACGCCCAAACCAGTGACCACGTACTTTGAGGACCATGCTCATCATCACCAGACGGACGAAAAAGAGCCTCTCGAGGCAATTGAGCTGATCCCTTACAAGCACCAGGTCGGCGGTCACACGACGCTTTGGCGCTTTTCCAAGAGAGCTGTGTGCAAGCAGCTTAATAACAGGGAGAATGAGTTCTATGAAAAGGTTGAACAGCACCATCGTGATTTGCTGACCTTTCTACCTCGGTAAGAAAGCCTCATTATCTGATGGCAAAACTGTCAGTTCGAGCGTTTCTAGTGATGGCTGCTAACAACTGTTTTAGATACATTGGTGTACTCAATGTTACCTTCCACAAGCAACCTAGACGCAAATCTACTCATAAACGGGAAGACGCCGGCTTGTTGGAGCGTAAGCATACTGGCGAGAACGGCGCTGTAGCTTCAACTGAGCAAAGTAAATCCAACAGCTCCAACGGTGCAGCCCTGGGCAACCCGAACAGCACATCTCAAGGCAACACGGAACACCGCAGAATCATCAGCCAGTCGCTCGCATCCGGCCCTGTGCCGATTCCGACCGTCACTTTCGACGATAATTGGCACATTCTACCCCGCAACCTATTCCAGCCAACGCCTCCTCCAGCTGGCATACCACTTCGAGGCCGCAGTACATCATCCTCGGGACTACCTGACAATTCCGATCACGGCAAAATGACATCGCCAACAAGGCCCAGTCTGGATGACCGTCATGCCAACAGCTGGGGTGCTACGACGGTCAATAAGCGTCTGCGTAACGAAGTCTTCAATGATGCTTTCCTAAAGCAGCCAATCCCCATCCACAAGCATCGCAGGCCTCACCAGAAGTCAATGGCATTCCGAAAACAGCAGGCACTGAGGCCTGCCAACTCCGTCCCCGACCTGATTCGGAGACAAGAGACGGCAGCTCCAGAGGCTCACGCCCCCCACAACTCCAGCCCCCTCAGGCCCAGCAGCGCTTCGCCTCCAGGCGCAAGCATGCCAATTGAGCGGCCCGGTCAAGAGGAACCTACCGAGGCCGATGACAGCGACGTCAAGGACGTGACCGGCACAAGCGCACCAGAGCCGGAGACGCTGGCAGACAAGATCATTGCGCAGAAGAAGAAGCGAAGATACTCCGGCACGGGTCTCCGCCGAAAGCCACGCACTGTTACGGAATCTAGAGGAAACCTAAAGTACTGGGAGGAAGCGGACGATGCTGGTTACAGGGGAGAGGACGAGGGACAGTCTGGGTCCGTTACGACCTCGCAAGTGAACTCCCCAATGATCGAGCCGCCAACACCGAATGGTAAAATCTCAAACGGAGGGCCTGCCAAAGAACTGAGTCTTCCCATGGCGGCTACGGACGTAACCCAACCTGAAGTTCCGAGGGAGGAGCATTCGACGTATCCGTCAACTGCGCCATCAGAGGTACCGAGCCCGACACAGGAGTTCCGCAAAATCCCACGGCCGGTAAACCCTAAAGAAGCACAGACCCAGCGAAACTCTCGTGTAGAATACTTCCTCCTGTTGGAAGACCTCACTGCAGGCATGAAACGGCCCTGCATTATGGATCTCAAGATGGGAACCAGGCAGTACGGCGTCGATGCGACACCCAAAAAGCAGAAGTCGCAGCAAGGGAAATGCGCCAGAACAACCTCGCGCGAGCTCGGCGTGCGTGTTTGTGGACTCCAGGTCTGGGATGTCAAGAGCCAGAGTTATGTCTTCAAGGACAAGTACTTCGGGCGCGACCTAAAGGCTGGACAAGAGTTCCAGGACGCACTGACCCGGTTTCTCTATGACGGCGTTGACTATTCCAGCATTCTGCGGCATATTCCAACTATTTTGCACAAGCTCGACAAGCTTGAATCTATTGTTCGGAAGCTGGACGGATATCGCTTCTATGCGGCCAGCCTCCTCATGTTCTACGACGGTGACACATCAGAGGGTAATGAATACGATACAGTCGTTGACGAATCAACGACCGACTTTGCAACCGACACGGAGGAGACGTCGGCTCTGCGTGAGAAGAGGAAGCGAAAGAACAAGCGTGAGATCGACTTCAAGATCGCCGACTTTGCCAACAGCCTGACAAAGGGTGACCTGGCAGAGGGGAAGCCATGTCCGCCTCAGCACCCGAATGAGCCGGATCGCGGATTCCTGAGGGGTCTTCGTACGTTGAGGAAGTATTTCCTCAAGATTCAGAGAGATATCCGGGCCGACATGGGTCTGGATCCAATGGGACGGAGTAACAGGATGGATGTTGACATTGACATCGACCTCGAGCACATCTCGGATGATGAGGGTCCTGTCAGTGAGTGAATAAATGATGCATGTCTTGTTTCATGTTGATAATTATGGAATTTTGTCTGGACGGACGGTTCATGGTTGGCGCGGACGGATGGTACGGCGGAGTCAGGAACGGCATTTCGACAACATACCCGGCATAGGTTTTGGCGTCACATTACAGACTTTAAGGCAACTTAGAATCTCGGCTTCTATTTTTTTCTCCATGCCTCTTATTCCCTCTCTATCTCCATTCCTTCTTCTTCTTGAGGCTCGAGTGGAGTTTGCCGCCGCGGGCATGTGCTGCTCCATGTCATGACTTGTACGCCCTCCACTTTCTCTTTTGAATCTGGCCATTAGCATTGGTTGCACAGAGTACCATCTGGTGGGAAATGGCGAAGACTGCCATCAAACGGCCATTAAAAGCGGAACAATTTCGGGTCGAGGTTGGAAGTGCGGGGGTTTCACATTGTACTTTGTTTGGGAATTTATTAGATGTTAGACAAAAAAAAAAAAACCGAGTTGCCTTAGACTAATGTCACTGTGCTTTGCTTCTCTTCGTCATCCCTTGCTGTGATGCACACATTGTTGGCCGTGACGCCTACGTCCTTTTTTGAGAACCGTCGGGACCCGAGCGAGCCGCATACCGGCATGTCTTAGGTAAGATCAGTGCGAGATACGGGTAAATCGGCCAGGATATGGATAGTTCCATATTAACTCGAGACTGAGCGCCCTACGCCGAGGGGACTTTTCCCCCTTCACAAGCCAAACAGCTAGCTGAAGCATACCGATCTCGAAACCAGAAAGAGAGAAAAGGAGAAGAAGAAAAAGAAAAAAATAAAAATAAAAAATCATGGGCTCCGTCTTCTCTGTGCTCCGCTCCGCGGCGAAAGGCATCTCGGCCGTCGCGAAACTCCTATATGACCTGAACAAACAATACCAGGCCCTTCTTCTCCGCGTCAACGCCCCGCCGGGACTACCGTATGATAAACCCAGCAACCCGTACTGGCTCGACGAGCCGCCTTTCCCGGAGTTGGTGGACGCGAGGTCGGAGGAATTGCCGGGGTCGGCGGACGTCGTTATCATCGGGTCCGGAATCACTGGCGTCGCGGTAGCGCGGAGCCTTTACGCCGGGGCCGTTGTGGGGCAGCAGCAGCAGCAGCAGCAGGGTGATCGTGGTGATGACCCCTCCCCCCTGCCGCCGAGGGTCGTGGTGCTGGAAGCCAGACAGCTTTGTGCGGGGGCGACGGGGCGGAACGGGGGCCACGTCAAGGCCTCGCCGCATGAATTGTTCCCCCGCCTTGCGGCGATCGTCGGGAAGGAGAAGGCTGCCGCGTTGACGCGGTTCACGTTGCGCACTGCTGATGCTGTTTTGGAGGTAGGGGCTGGTAAGCAGGTGTCGGAGTGTAGGAGGGTCGAGACGGTGGATTTCATGTTGGATACGGCGGCGGTCGAGGCTACGTTGAAGGAAGTCGAGGAGTTGAAGAAGTGGATTCCAGAGGTCGAGATCGAGGTTGTTGGGAGGGAGGACGCGGCGCGGAGGTTCGGGGTTGATGGGGACCATGTGTTTGGCGCGGTGGTGTATCAGGCTGGCGCGCTGTGGCCGTATCGGCTTGTTGCGTCGTGTTGGAGGGAGCTGCTGGACGAGGTTGGGGACAGGTTGAGTATTGAGACGGGGACGGCGGTGGAGGAGATTCAGCTCGGCGGGACGCAGAGGAGGCCGTACGTGTTGAAGACGGCGAGGGGTAACATCAGGGCTCGGCATGTGGTTCATGCTACTAATGCCCATGCCGCGCAGTTCTTGCCCGGGTTGAGGGGGAAGATGACGGGCATCAAGGCGCACATGACCTCGCAGCGCGCTGCAGACGGGTTCCGATGGGGTGATGGGAATAGGTCGTGGGGGTTTATATATGGTGACGGCGGGGAGTTTGATTATGTCACGCAGAGGCCGAACGGAGATGTCATGTTGGGAGGAGGGTTCGGGAGGAGTTTGAAGCAGGGGGTTGATATGGTTGGCGTTTACGAGGACGGGAGCACCGAGGCGTTGACTGTTGCGCATGTTGCGGGGGTGATGAGAAGTGTGTTCGGAAACGAGTGGACGGGAAGCGTAACGCGGGCTTGGAGCGGGATTATTTGTTTCACGGGGGATATGGCGCCTTTTGTTGGCAGGGTTCCTGAGGGGATCTCTGGGAGAAAGAGAGGAAAGACGAGTTTGAAGGTGAAGGTAAAGGAGGTGGATGATGATGATGATGACGGATGGCGGGGCGCGGTGGCGGGAGAATGGGTTAGTGCTGGGTATTGTGGTGACGGTATGGTTTGGGCCTGGTTGTGTGGGACAGCTCTCGGGGTGATGATTTCGGGGAGGGAAGGGGATGTTCTGGAGAAGGGGGTTGGGTTTCCTGGGGGCAAGCTGGAGGAATGGTTCCCTAAGGATTTGATTGTGACAGAGGACAGGGTGAAGAAGGCGGATTTGAGTAATTTGCTGGATATGTTTTTGGAGTCCGGCGTTGACTTTACTGGCGGAGATTGGGACTGATGAGGGCTTCAACATTGAGATGTAAGCGGTTAACAGTTCATCAGTGTTATATAGGTTGAATTGTTTGAGGGCATTAAGTGAGATGTGAAAACTCGACAGCCAGAGACGAATGTCAACTTCCACTGTAGTAATGCTACCTTGTCTTCTTTTAATATGAAACTGGCCATTCGCCTACCTATATGATAGCTAAAATCTATCTAAAAGCGCTTTACAGCTTCTCTATTGTCTGCTTCATTTCAGAGTCAGAGTCAATTACGGATATAATCCAACAAATCATGACAGTCCCTGCCTCTAATACATAAAACCAATAAACATCGACATAGCATCAGACTCGTTTACTGCATCCGAAATTAGAAACAAATTACTGATTTGTTAAGAATTAAAAAGCAAAAAAATAAACCTGACTTTCTGATGACCAGATAATTATCACATTATAAGCTTGAATTTGGATTCTACGCTATCATGTCGTTTAAAATAAGTTTCTGATGGTGGGTTCGAGGTACACCATCTTAGTAACTTGCAGGTAAAAGAAGGGGAATTTGGCTGTATCAATTGACTAGATCCTTACTCAAACATTTGCAACTGGGTTATTCTTTATTTTCGTTTAAAATTGATGAGAAAAAAGCTCAAAGAATTGCATGTCATTGTCATTATCACCCTTTGCAAGAGATATCGTACATTCAATGTAGTGTAAATACAATGCGTGAAACTATGAGAACCATGCACTCCCACTTTCGTTTACCAAAACGCCAACATTCCTAGACAACTCTAAAAACAACGTCTTTGCAACAACAAATCGGAGACCAATCCCACAGCCTTCCCCATAACCCAATGGACAAAGCAGCCTGTCAAAATTCAGATACGCGAGTGGTTCCTGTCGGCTGTCGTCCCTCCAAATTCCCCTAACCCACGAAGAAGAAAGGATCGTCGATACCCGCTGCAAGCATCCTAGACAACCATGGGGGTCCCCCCAAAGGCTACAGTGCAGGGGCCCTCCCCCCACCCGTTTTACTTACGTACGTCCTTCAGTAGCACCAACCAAACAAACATCGTGGAGCTACTCCTGTCTGGCCTCTGGCCTGTAGTTACACCTGCACCCTGCTGCGGGGTAGCTACTATGACGTCCCAAGTAAGCCCAGTAAGCTTTACCCAGACGAACCCACGACCCCCTCCTCTGATCCATCAGCTGGCGACCAGCCCATTTCCCGCTGCCTCCGGCCTTTGAATCACCTCATTCCCGATTCCCTCCCTCTCCATCTCCAGTTCTTTTGCGGGCCTCTTTTACATCGCATTTCAAATCCCGCGGGAAACCGCCGGAACCCTTTCCCCTCTTATCGTGCTGAAATAAAATTTCACACCATTTCTCACACTTAATCAATTGCATCTTCACCTCCATCATCCAGACTAACAAATAATCCCCATAAAGGGTCCAAAAAAGGAACCCTAGTCGCAGATCTATATTAGCCCGGCTTCTAGCTTGAGAACCACCACGAGTCCGCCACGATGCCGCCAATCCGTCTTGCAACAGCCTCCCCATCTACCTCCCCCACAACCTCCCAAACTCTTTCTCAAATATCCAGCCTAGCCCGCCGCGCCTCTTCCCATGGTGCCGACCTACTGCTCCTCCCCGAGGCTTTCATCGGAGGCTACCCCCGAGGCGCCTCCTTCGGCTCCAAGATCGGTTCCCGAGCTCCTGAGGGCCGTGACGAGTTCCTGGAATACTTCAACAAGGCCATCGACTTGGGCGACACCGTCGGCGATGCTGGTGCCGGTGGTGGTGACCGCTGGGTGAAGAGGGACCTGCCGGCGCAGTTTGCCGCCGAAGAGGGAAAGCCTTACACCCGCGGCGACGGGTCGAGAGAAGAGCTTGAGAAGATTGCCTCCGAGACGGGAATGTTCATCGTCGTCGGCTGCATTGAGCGTGCTGGTGGGAGCTTGTACTGTTCGGTGGTGTATGTGTGCCCAAAGTTGGGCATGATTGGGAAGCGACGCAAGGTGATGCCTGTGAGTTTCTTTTCATCTCCTGCACATTGTTTCCGCTGAACGATCAAACAGACTGCAACCGAACGCCTGATCTGGGCCCAGGGTTCTCCTGCCACCCTCCGCGCCGTCTCGACCGTTATTAAGGGCGTGCGTATCAACCTCGCCGCTGCAATCTGCTGGGAGAACTACATGCCCCTCCTGCGCCAAGCCCTTTATGCGCAGAACATCAACCTGTACCTCGCCCCCACGGCCGACGGCAGAGACACATGGCTGCCCCTAATGCGCACTGCCGCCTGTGAAGGACGCTGCTTCGTCGTATCGTCCAACATGGCCGTGCGTCCGCCAGGCGCCGCCTCCAATGGTCAAGAGAATGGCGAGGAGAGGGACGCGGATGTGTACTCACCCCGCGCGAGACGGAACTCGTGCCTGACGGAGGAAGGTTTCGAGATTGCGTTGCCTGAAGGCGGCAAGGATGGCAACAGCAGCAACAACAACAATGCCTCTGGCGAGACTACAAACCCCAGCCCTCGCCGTCGGAGAAAGTCCGTCATCATCGAGGACGGAAACGAGATCGTGCTCTGCTGCGACGACGACGAGCCCGCCAACGGCGCCAGGACAAACGGTGCTGCCAAGACGACGGCAGCCAAGACCAACGGTCTCAAGTCGGCCGACTGGATCTCCCGCGGCGGATCTTGCATCGTCGGCCCCTTTGGCGACGTCCTTGCCGGCCCGCAGTGGGAGGACGACGAGAGCCTTATCTACTCCGACGTCGACTTCCAGGACTGCATCCGCGGCCGTCTGGATATCGACACTGCCGGTAGCTACTCGCGTAACGACTCGTTCAAGTTCTCCGTCGAGGGCCTGGACCTGGACCCCTTGCCGTATTGAATGAATGAATGACGACGACTGGGGTTCAAACGGCATGTGCAGCAGCAGACAGGCGCAAAAGTGAACCTGTCCCAAGTGTGCCAATTCTTGTAATCAGTGCCAGAAGAAAAAAAAAGAAAAAAAAAAGTACAAAATTTGAATGTGACTTCGTAATGCATGTGTTCATTTGATGCTTTGCTCTACGGGGCTGGACTGGCTACGTATGAGAGCCGTCCCCCGTGATGGTGATATATCCATGACAAGAAAAAAAAAAGGAACCTCCCTTTCCCAAATCCCATTGTTCCATTTCCTTCAATCCTCTCCCAAGTAATGCCAGCCCCCTCCCAAAAAAATCAAACCCTCCCGCCAAGCCCGTATTTCGTAACTGCAAGAATTGTTTTCGTGTAAAAAGAAAAGAGGATGGAATTATGCGTGCGGTTTACCGCTCGTCAACGTCCTTGGCCCGACTCGTCCCTTCTCCTCGATCATCCTCATCACCCAATTCAGACGCTTCTCTTGGACTGGTCAGCGGGCTGGTCACGCCACCGATGCTCCCGCTGATGCTGTCCGATCGCCCGTGGCCTAGCAGCCCGCTCCGCACGCTCGCTCCGTCGCCCGTGGCGCTTTGTTTCGCGTAAAAGCTGTTGCGTTCTCCGGGCATGGCGGGTGCTATGCCGGTGGCTGAGTATATGCTGGTGCGTTCGGCATTCGCGATTCGTGATGTGCTGTGGTGGAGGCCTGGTGTTGGTGGCATGCCCGCACCCTGGTCGATGTTGGCGCTTAAGACGCTCAAAGGGAGACTTTCTCGGCTGCCGCCCCAAAGCGACGACGGCGCCAAGGCACGAACAGAGGCGTCGGTATCGAAAGAGCGGCGGCGGCGACGTTTCGACGACGAAGCCAGGGTGATGATGGATGCATTGTCGGTCAGGAGGTTGTTGGCTGTCGCAGTTGTGTAGGTCGTGGGGTGACCGGGGCCGGACGAGGAAGGCGCCAGATGCGCGGGGATGGCTGAGGCAGGCGAAGCTGTTGGGAACGGTTGGTTGAAATGTATTGAGTGGGTGTGTCCTTGGTGTGCGCTATGGTTACCGTTGTTGGTTGGATTTGTGGGCACATGGGTGCCGCCGTTGGGTGGCATGGATTGTATTGTGGTCAAGGTCGTTGTAAGCGACCGCACCGACGGCGCTGGCGACGAGAATGTGCTATCCCCCCCTCTGCGAGACTCTACGCCTCCAATCGTCCTACTCGTGCCCGCGACGGAGGGGGCGTTGTGTGATGTCGACACTGTAGGGGCCATGGACCTTGCGCCGGTGGTCGGCGGGGCGCGACCATCCTCGGACGATATCCGGGACTCTCTCTCGATCGAAGTTGCGCTGCCACTAAGGGCTGTGGAAAACGAGTAGGAACTGGTCTCGACGTCGACATCGGCGTGGCTGGCGGAGGCTACGCGGCCTGACTGGGGGTATGGGTTATTGTTCTTGGAGGCACGCTTCTTGGCTTGAAATTTAGCCTGCTGGCGTTTGGAACTGGGGAGACGAACGCCGCCGCCGTCGCTGGAGGAGGAGCTCTTGAAGTTGGTGAGCTTCTTCACCCAGGTGGAAAAAGGACGACGCCGACCCGTACGATCGGAACGATCTAGCATGCTGTTAGTCTAGGGATTTGAAGCGATTGGTAAGAGGGTGCAGGTGCGAAATCCTCCCAGGCATTTACGTGGTGGGCAGATTGTGATGGCGGCGGCGGCGAGAAAAGAATTCAAGGCAAAGGAAAAGGGTGCCTAATTACCGTGGGGTGGTAGCACAGCCTCCGTCGTAGCCATTCGGTAGGCTTGGAAGGTTTGTGCGAATGTCGAGCGGTGGCCCTGGTAGAAGAGGTTGGGAAGATGGCGACTAGCGACCGCTCGTATCGGGAGTCAGCGCGGGAGAGGAGAGAAGATGGGGTTGAGTTGGAGTGGTATGGACGAGTTTCGGGTCGAGAAAAGGAGACGACTGATCGAAGGAGCGAGGAAGACAAAAGAAAGACAATTACGATGGTCGACAAAAAAGGGGAGGGGCCTTGTTCGAAAGATGAAGGCCACAAGGGTGTTGGAATGGAAGGAATATATGCCGAGTTTGTAGTAGCGGGAGAAGAAACGAAGAATGGAAATGGGAATAGAAAATGGGATGGGAAATGCAGAGGCCCAAAAGCTAAAGGCAAGGCAAAAAAGGCGAACGGTTTGATTGACTGGAAGGCGCTGAATGCCGCTGTGGAGCAACAGGACCCAGAGCGAATTGGGACGACGGGGATGTGGAGTTGGGAGTGGAGGCGCTGGGGGTCTGCGGCCACGACAGCCCCGGTTCAGAGTGTTCAGTGGTGCTGCCCACTCATGATTTACAGTGGTGTTGCTGCCCATCCTGCCATGCAAGTACCACATCACAGTAGAACTCAGGGTGGTAGCCTGGCATGTCACCCAAGACCACCCGTAGCTACTTACGAATACCGCATTGTACGTTATCACCACAGCAGTGACATAGTACACCCCGTATTGGAGCACCCAAAGCAAAGGATTCGCAGCAACCCAAGACATGTTAGCCCTGCCGAAGAGCTGGAAGCGCCCAACTGATGTCTGAAACCGGTGTGCGCACCCATATGGTCGGGTGGTCCACCTCTTCAACCCCAAGGAATGAATGTCTTTTTTTTTTTTTAGTTGTGTGGCCTAGTCACAACCCAAGAGAGCCTAAAAAAAGCAAAGAATGAATGAACAAGATCGGAACCTGAAGGTGCCCAAGCGGATAGCCCACACGCGGATACGGGCGGAGGACAGGGCTAGCATTGACGAAATTGAACCAGGCAGCGGATACTCGTAGTGGACGATGTGGAGGAAAGGGACGGGGATCACTGCAAGGTCCCCCAGAACGTGGGACCCCTAATCGCCAACACTCTGGTGTCAGCACCAACAGCCACTGGTTACTGGCTACTGTACGTGTACCTGCAAGACTTTTTACAGTGAGGTTGCATTATGTCATCATCATCCAGGCTCGGTACCCTCAAGGGAGGAGAACGCATCCAAAGTGTGATGTCACAATATCAAAAACAATGTGTATGCCCTCCTGATCTAGTCTCGAACCGTATTCATTCGTGCCATTGCAGCGACTGTATCAGATTCCTACGACTGCAATTCTGTCTGCATATTTGTACAACAAAGACTTGGGAATACAAGGAGCTGCCAGAGACACGCATTCCTGTGTCTACGTACTCAACCCACCATCTCGATAAAGACTTAGCCGTCACATGTAAGACAGCATCCAGACTGCCAGCCACATTGCTCAACATTACAAACCGGCAGGCTGAGAGCAAACTAACTGGGATTCATAAGGCCGTGTTGATTGCCCATGGCTTACGACTCGTTTACACCCAACCAGTCTGATCATCTGTCCATGAGCTGGTTTATAACCTTCAGGCTCGCATCGTGGTAATTTGCACTGGGCCTCCCACCAACGAAACTCCTTGACCTGTTTCCTCCGTCCCAGCCCTCCCAAAATGGCAAGCTGCAACACCTTCGGTGAGACGACCCAATGGTCAAAGCTCTAAGCTCCAATTCTTAGACACCTCAGAGATCTCATTCCTGATTGGGAACTCTCAAACTCGTATGGTGCCTTTTTGTGTGACTGGAAAAAGTTAGAGTCGCCTGCCGCTTGCCTCTCCCAGACGCCAGGCCCTTAAATTGACGTTGCCTGGGGCTAGCCGGACGGTGATTGGTTAGGGTCCACCCCGCCTCACCTGCGCTCGGGGATCGGGCAGTCAACCTCCGCTCTTATCGTTATCGCCTTCAGGTGACGTTCGTACTAGCTAACAATAATCACCGCCCACAGCAACTACCAGCCGTGATCTTGGAAAGTTCCCCTTTCGACACGACAAACTACAGACAGCACATGCGGATTGAATCATTTTGTGGCTCCGTCTAATGTGATTCGGCATGGCGCTTCAAATCCCCAAGCGCCATCATGTCCATTAAGCCACTGTCAGAGGATGTGATCCGCCGAATCAGGTCCTCTGCAATCATCACCTCCCTCAACGGTGTCGTATGTGGTCTCATCAAAAACTCATTTGATGCAGGTGCTACCAAGATCAACATCACCATTGACTACTCTCGAGGTAGCTGTACCGTCGAAGATGATGGCCTGGGAATTCCCCCCTCCGAATTCCGAGAGACTGGTGGACTTGGCAAACTGTACCGTAAGTGCAACCGCAGAGATGCTCCAAGTCGGTCTCGGTTCGTATCCACTGATCTTTTTCAGACACTTCAAGACATGGCTCTGAGAATGAAATCCATGGCCGTAATGGCAACTTCATAGCCTCACTCGCCGCTCTGTCTCTGCTTTCCGTCACCTCTCATCACCACCTGCACAACTCCCAGAACTCCCTGACCATTCACAACTCAAAAGTCTTGGCCCGCAACATCCCTGCCCTACCAGAGCAGCGCCTGTTCACTTTTACCCATGGAACTCGCGTCATTGTTAGAGACTTGTTTGGGTCCATGGCTGTCAGGGTCAAGCAAAGAGTCGCTGCGTCGGAGAAGGCTGCCGTCGACAAGGAATGGAGTCGTTTAATGTATGATGTTACCGCTCATTTGGTGTCTTGGCCTTCCCCGGTTGCTCTCTTTGTCCGAGACACTGTCCGCAAGAATGAGACACGGTTCAGGCCCAACGTGGCGCCCAAAACGATGGGACAGACCGATTTGTCTTGCCTCTCCTCCGTTATTCTGGCCCAGTCGGGTCTTGTTGATGTTTCCAACCACGTCTCTTGGATCCCAGTCGGGGCTACAAGAGGCAATTTGACCATTGATGGGTGTATATCATTGGACCCAGTAGCGACTCGCCGGGCACAGTTCATTAGCTTGGGTATTCACCCCTTGGCCAATGAACACGGGTCCAACGTACTGTACAGCGAGGTTAATCGCGTCTTCGTCAGGTCCGGCTTCGCAGTTGACGAGGACGTGAGATTTTCTCGAGAGCTGGATTCCATGGCTTTCGGTTTGCGGGATTCGACAAAGAGGTATGCTAAGCCGAAGCGCGGGCTTGATAGATGGCCAATGTTCTACTTTCGAATCAGTACTTCATCCACATCATGGCCTACTACTCCAACTTCTTCATTCGAGGACCTTTTAGTGGACCGGAACGGTACACTTTCAGAAATCATAGACTTGCTCAAATTAGTATGCTATGAATTTTTGAAGAAGCATCATTTCCGTCCGCACCAGGTTACAACTTCTCTGAAAGATCACGGAAAGGGGATGAAAGACAACACGAGAGCCGAGTCGACAATTAAAAATGGAAGATCTAAAACCAACTCGCTGACATCCAGCCGCTCAAGCTCTGCCACGCCTAGCTCGAGACCTGAATCCCCTTTTGACCTCTGGCAGCGAGTCAAGGCCAACCAAGTCTCTGGAGGCGCCAAATCGTCTGTACTCACTCATAGGGGGAAATGCTCAGCCATAACTGAGAATTCCCCCGAGTACTCTACACAGCCTAGCCTCCGCCTTCTCGATGATGCAGGTAACGTTTTGCGGAGACCTTTTGACGACCTTGCTACGCCGCCGCCCCCGGACATATCCTCAAACGGGAGGGAGTTAGTGCAACCAGCAATCACCTCCGATAAATTCGACAAGAAAAATTCCCCGAATCCTGATGCCCCAGAGTCTCAACAGTCTCGCAAAAGGACACTGTCATCTACAGGGCTTCTCGACTCTGATCATGCCAGCACTTCCGTTGAGTCTGGAGTTGCGTCCGCTTTTCAGCGATTCAAAGAGAATAACGTCCAGCCGGCGAAGGAGCCCAGCGACTGGCTGAAAGGCGTGCTTGAGAACTGGGAGAACCCGGGGTTTGAACCAGTTCAGCCTTTAATACCTCAAGTGCAGGAGGCATATTTCGGTAGTCACGATCGAGAAGTGAACACGGGCCTGAAAGTTGATAGTACTGGGTGCTCGCATGGCACGGATGCATTCAACACTAGGCTGTCTGGACGTATTTCCAAGGCTGCACTAGCGAACGCAGAAGTCATATCTCAGGTTGACCAAAAGTTCATTCTCGTGAAGCTCGGACGGGACAAGGGATCCGAGGCTGATAGACCTGGCATTCAAAATAACTCCGTGCTGGTACTCGTTGATCAACACGCTGCTGATGAGAGGTGCAGACTTGAATCACACATGCAGGACTATTTTGAAAAGGCGGAAGGAGTCAACAAGGTCGTTGCACGAACGCAGCTGCTCGAGAAGCCTCTATCATTCGAGTTTTCAGGCAAAGAATGCACTCTATTGCGTAGACATTCTCATCATTTTCGACACTGGGGTATCTTTTACAAAATGGAGGAAGCCAAATTGGATAATTGGTATCACAAAAGCAAACAATCTCCAAGGATCGAGGTTGTCAGCCTGCCCCCCAGTATTCTGGAGAGATGCAGAACGGAGCCGAAGCTCCTTGTTGAGATTTTGCGCAATGAAATATGGAAACGCGAGGAAGAAGATGGACCGGTTAATCGGGAATTTACTATGACCAGCGACACTTCTGAGCGCCGCGTTGACTGGGTGTCCAACTTTCACGGATGTCCCCAGGGGGTTCTCGATTTACTTAACTCAAGGTCCTGTCGCAGTAAGTCATTCTTATCGACTTGTTCTTGTATTGCTGCTAACCTTCGTAGGTGCTATCATGTTCAATGACGTATTGTCTAATGACGAGTGCAAAGGTCTTGTCCAAAAGCTGAGCCGATGCGCCTTCCCATTTCAATGCGCCCACGGAAGACCGTCAATGGTGCCCTTGGTTGATATTCAAAGCTTAAATGTTAATCAGGATGTGGAACAACGGAGTTTTGGCCGCCATCTTATGGCTTCAGGATTATTGAAGTAGTACAGGAAGGATTGCTGCACAACTGGCGTTCCTGTTATTAGCAACTGGTTTGATGATACCCAACTTTAGATACACACACACAAAAACGATTTCGCTACCTTATACTTTTCGTTTTTAACTACCAAATTTTGAAGAATTATTATCAACCTGATCTTTGTTACTTTCTGTACATTCCACACCGTATCCTGACGTTTTCAGTAACCAGACCATTGCCATTGATCTCAATCAACATGTGGCTAAGGCAGTGCTGCGCCACATATGGCTCAGCCATACATGCCTCAGACCCACATACGTCGGACCGCAGCCGTAGCACCAGTGACCGCAGTAGCTCCAAAGCTCCCCACAGCGGCGTCATTGGAGCGCGAGGCACCGACATCAACCGACAACCAGTCGCCCTCAACGAAGCTACTATTCCCGTTTCCCCCACGGCTTGTCGACGTCGGGAGATGTAGCCATGGCCTTTCAGGTAAGTTCGCGATCTGTACCGTCATCACATCTAGCCTTCAAACCAGACTGACCGACCTGCCACAGTGGAAGGCATTCGACTTCTTCGACGTCAGCCAGGTCCGACTCGCCGACGAGGAGACCCGCCTCTTCTTCGAGAGCAATGAGATATCCAGCGTCTGCTCTGGATCTGATAGCCTATTTCTCGGTAGCTACGACGGATACGTGCGGATCGTGGGATCGAGCTGGAAGATCGTCAAGAGCTTCCAGGCTCACGATGTCGGAACAATCACCCACATGCGCCAGATCGAGGGGACCAGTTTGTTGGTGACGGTCGCTGTAGGTGGACACATTATTCATCACTGGCATTGAGAAGTATGGCTGACGCATCTGCAGGAGGACCTGAGCAGCGAACCGGTACTGAAGATCTGGGCCTTGGACAAGCTGGTCAAGAAGACCAACATGCCCACTTGCCTGAGCAGCTTGCAGATCAGTAACAACAAGAAGCAGTTTCCAGTAAGAGTCTCCGGCGGTATTGATTTACCCGCAATTTCTGACCCCTTTGTTTTGCAGATATCGGCCCTAGATGTCCTCGACAACCTGACGCAGGTAGCGGTAGGCTTCGCCAATGGCGCGGTAACCTTGATTCGAGGCGATCTCATCAACGATCTGGGAGCTAGACAGCGGACCGTACACGAATCGGAAGAGCCGGTGACGGGTGTTGAGTTGATGACCGACCCCCAGGGCCTGACGACGCTCTTCATCTCCACAACGGCGCGTATCCTGAAGCTGAACATCTCCCGCAGGGGCCACAGCACCCCACCCAAGACGGTCGAGGATTTGGGCTGCAACGTCGACTGCATGACGGTAGACAAAAAGACTGGAGACGTCGTTGTGGCTAGGGAAGACGCAATCTATACATACACGTTGGAGGGAAGGGGAGCGCCGCGTGCCTACGAATCGCCGAAGCGACTGGTATCGATCTACGACGACTACGTTGCATTGATCTGTCCTCCGGCTTCTTCCGCCGCCGATAAGCCGTCCGATACAATGCGGCGTCGGTTTGGCGGAGGGGCAGCGGATGCCCTTTTCAACGCATCGACTTTTGTTCTTCTCGAGCCGGATCTGAGGGTCATCGGGCACACGCAGTCTCTGATTTCACCATTCAAGGCTATCTTCCAAATCTGGGGCGATCTTTTTATTTTGACTCAAGATGGCAAGGTGAACCGATATCATGAGAAGTCTTTGCAGCAACGCCTGGAGATGTTGTTTCAGCGCAACATGTTTCCACTAGCGATTGAGCTGGCGCAGAAGTCGGGGATGGACGCAACACAACAGAGTGGCATTTTCCGAAGATTCGGTGACCACTTGTACCAAAAGGCCGACTATGATGGCGCCATGGTTCAGTATATCAAGGCAATCGACACTACGGAGCCATCGCAGGTTATCAGAAAGGTAGGTGTCCAACAATTACTGACTGTTATCTTCAAGGCTAACGTAATCAGTTCCTTGACACCCAAAGGATACACAATCTCATTCAATACCTCGAGCAACTCCATGAACATCGCAAAGCAACAGCAGATCACACAACACTACTGCTCAACTGCTATGCCAAACTGAAAGACATTGACAAGCTAGAGGCTTTTATCAAGTCCCCCGGTGACTTGAAGTTTGATCTTGAGACCGCCATTTCAATGTGCAGACAAGGTGGTTACTATGAGCAAGCTGCGTACCTTGCCAAGAAGCACGGCGAAATCGACTTGGTCGTAGATATTCTAATAGAAGACTCCAAGAAGTACGATGAGGCGTTGGACTTTATCTGGCATCAAGATCCAGAAGTGGTGAGTAGCTATGGCATCTACGTCTGAGCAAGATCTGACCCCCTTTTAGGCGTACCCGTGTCTGAAAAAGTACGCCAGAGTTCTGATAGAGAATTGCCCGAAAGATGCGACAAAAGTATTCATCGACTATTACACTGGCAAATACCGCCCCAGAATACACATCGTTCCAATTGAAGACAACGAGGAGGGCGTTGCTGCCGGCGGTGTTGTCGCTGGCGCGGCTAATGCAGTCCAGAACCTGTCCAACTTCCTTCCCTTGCCATACATGAATACCTCATCTATTGCCAGCCCCTCAACACCAGGGAACGGCACAAGAGCGATCAATGGCGATGGGGCTATCATACTGAACCCCGATGACATCCCGGCCCCTAAATACACACCACCGAAACCTAGGACGGCGTTCTCTTCGTTCATTGACCACCCTGACGAGTTTATTGTCTTCTTGGAGGCATGCCTGGAAGAGCCGGCTTTGAATGAGAGCGACAGGACAGATCTTTACACTACGTTGTTTGAGATGTACCTGCACAAGTCTAACGAGAAGAAGGGAGAGCAGCACAGAGAGGAGTGGGAGAACAAGGCCAAGAAGCTCATTGAGGGTTCAGATATCCCAATGGAGAGCTCGAACGTGTTGCTTCTCTCACACTTGTCCGACTTCAAGGACGGTACTACTCTCGTGAAGGAGCAGTCTGGTCTCCTGTTTGACATTTTCCGCTCATATACATCGGCCAAAGACACTCGCGGAGCGATCAAAGCCCTCCGCAAGTATGGTCCCGAAGAACCGCAACTATACCCGGCTGCCCTGGCCTATCTCACCTCCGACCCGCGCATCCTCGACGAAGCCAGCCCGGATGAACTCGCCGCGGTACTGGGCAAGATTGACAAGGACGGCCTCATGGCTCCTCTGCAAGTCATCCAGACCCTCGTCGGCCAAAACGGCTCCACGGGCGGCGTTGCGACAATGGGCATGATCAAGCCCTATCTCCACGACACTATCGATCGCGAGCGGAAGGAGATCGCCGCCAACCGCCGGCGCATCTCGGCCTTCCGTAGTGAGACGGAACAGAAGCGCGCCGAGCTCGCGGATCTCGGCGCCAAACCGGCAGTGTTCCAGTCCACCCGCTGCGCAGCCTGTACGGCGCCCCTCGACTTGCCCGCTGTGCACTTTTTGTGCAAGCACAGCTTCCACCAGCGGTGTCTCAGGACCGAAGGTGAATGCCCTCAGTGCGCGACCGACAACGCCACCATCCGCGCTCTGCGCAAGACGCAGATCGAGACGGCTGGCAAGCACGAGCTCTTCAAGGCCGAACTGGAGCGGAGCGAGGACCGCTTCGGTACTGTCGCCGAGTGGTTCGGCAGAGGCGTCATGGGGGCGCCTAATGCCGATACGGCGTCATAGGTTTACCCCGCCCGCATGTTTGTATATGTCGAGGAATTGACGGCGTGGGGAAGGGGGGGAGTAGTTGATGATACTAGAGGAGGCGGATGTAAAGGGTAAATGCTGGCCATGTTTTTCCTGGCGTTTGACGAGAGGAGGGAAAGTTTGCATCGCGTTAAAACAACCGCATAAGTCGGCCCTTCACCTTCACGTGGAGGAGGACGTAATCCTCACGTAGGACAAATACCAGTTCCTGTATTATTTGTCTTTTTTCGTACATCCGTCCGTCCGTCCTTCTGTTGGAATTATCATGATCATGAATGCCTTTCCCCCCCCCCCCCCCCCCCCCCCCCCCCCCCCCCACCCCCCTGGGTCCCACCTGCGCGCTGCATTATGTGACGTGGTCCGCAGTAGTTTGACAGGCGATGACAGGCGATGACAGGCGATGACCAACTAGCGTAGGAAAACAAGATATTTATAAAAAAATAAATAAAAATAAATAAAAAACCACCAAAGTCGCACATCCACTAACCTGTCAAAAGTATAATCGAACTCACAAATGCATGGATGAATTGTTGACATGTCACGGGATATAGTGCACAATTTTCTTTTCAACAGGTTGATCACGTTTCAAGACGAAAGAAATGATAGTTCCACTCTATTCATTGACAAGGCCAATATGTGAAGATTTGCCCATGTCGTCTCGGGAGTTTGTAACATTTAGCTAAGGGGGGGAAGAGTAGTTTGGTGTAGTAATGTGTTTGATTACATGCAAATTTGTCTCCCGCGGAGGAGATGATGATTGATGATTGATGATGATGATGATGAGAAAGTATAAGAAATAAAAGCGTCATTTCCGCTCAAGCCCGTGGGAGACAACTAGAGAGATATCATCCGCTATTAACAACACAAGAGGCCCCCCCCCCCCCCCCCCACCTTCCCGAATACCTTCGCTCTCAAAATGCTTTCATGCTATCAAAAAAGGGGGGAAAAAAGGAAGAAGAAAGGATGACAGACTTTCTGGGGGGGTAATTGATGAATAATGAGGAAAAACACCAATGATTGAACCAAAAGACCGCACCATTACGCTCCCTTTCCATGAGGAAACAAAAGGAATATGGGGTGTATGTTGAAGAGGCTGAAACGATGAAGAAAAAAGATAAAAAGTCTATTGGCGAGACGACCGTCCCTCTCGCTTTGCTCCCTTGTGCACCTCCGAAAATCATCGCCTTGCCTCCTGTCCCCCCCCCTTCCGGCCCAAAATGCTTTGTCCCCCCTTCCTCAGCGGTTTCCTCACCAGCTGCCAAAAGTTCACCCCGTCGTCTTTCCGTCGCTTCTTTTCGTTTTCGCGTATAATCGTCACAGTCTGCTCTGATGAATGCCTCCGCCAGTCCGTACAGCGCCGAGAAAAGAAGATAGAGAAAGGGGTATGCGAAAAGACCTCGAAGCGGTCCAACGAATCTCTCCATCGTGTCAAGTCTCGACTGGGTAGCAATCCCTCTCTATATGGAAATGGAATCCGCCAACTCTCTTGTTGGGGGCCGGGGCAATGCTGCCAAAGAAAAAAGCGCAATCTGGTTGCATGCTGTTCTTGGAGTATGCTGAAATAGGAAACGGGATGAATATCGAAGCAGCTAAAGTGCAGCTAGAAAATCCAAAAAAAGAAAAGAAAAAAGAGTCCGCTGTCCATATGTGAATTCCCTGTCAAGAAGACATTTCGCAGTGTACAGTTAAAAATGTGTGGTTTGGAGTTGAGTAGTAGTATGTTCGTTGAATCATGGACAGACGTGACCAGATCAGTCGGCGTATGTGATGACCTCTTCGCCGTGAACAACAACCTTCTTGGCTGTCTCGGTACTAGCTATGCTTATATTGGTGTCACGACGTCTTGCACCGTAAGGAATTCGCTCAGTCGTCGTGTTGATAGGCTTCTTCTTCTTACTCTTCGCCATCAAAAGTCCCTCATCGCTGTCGCTGTCATCGTCATCATCGTCTTGCGGTCGCAGTTCAGGGGTGCGTTGCGGAGGAGCCAGACTCCTGTTAACGGGACTTGGTGTCATGCGCAATACGTCGATTCCGGCATTGTGTTGCCCGTACGCGCTGGTCTGCTCGAATTGCTCCAGAGGGAAACCGGCGATGGGTTCTTTGACAAAAGCGGGAGGTGTGAGCGAATCGGTCGTCTCAAGGTAACCTGGCCTAGTGTTGACAACACCAGGTTCAACTAGAGGCTCGGCGTCCAAGTCTGCGGAAACAGAGCTAGAGCCACTTAGGAGTGCAGGCAACGACGGGTCGGATTGAAAAGCGAGCATTTCCTCTTTGGATGGGTGGTTCGTTGACGAAATGGGGCTCGTTGCGTCGCTGAGGCTCGTGAGCGGAGAAGCCAAGCCCGCAGCTGATGTTGAGCGCGACGACTGGCGAGTCTCCATCGTGCCCTCACGCGAGGGAGGTGGAGGTGTTCCCGAGAAGAGTTCATCGTCAGGAGAAACCGGGCAGGGGACGTCTGACGGGTCAACCTCTGACTTAGCATCATTGATGACCTGTTGGGCAAGTTGATGTTGATATTCCCCAATGTGTTTCCGATGCTGCTCGTCTTGAGCACGCGCAAATGATTCAGGGGTAGACGTGTTGTACTTCCGAGGAGGTGGGGTCCTGGCTTCTGGCACGTCACGAATATTTTCGACCCTGTGAGCAGTCTGAGGCCGTTCTTCAATATCGGCGTTTGCTCGTTGGTTTTCGTAAATGTTGGAGTCCGATTGCGGCTGGCCATGTTGGTAACCAGTGACGGTCCGTGAGGAGAAGAATAACGGCGAGGCTAGGCCGTTGCCGCCCTGCTTGGCTCTGCCAAGATCCACCGAACGAACTGGACGAGGACGGCTGGGTATTCGGTGGAGTGTGCCAGGAGCGACGGCGGTACTCACTCCAACTTGTGGAGGAGCACGCTTGTCTGTGTTTGCAAAAAGCCCACGATCTACGGAGCGAGACCGCAAAGCCTCCTCTGTCAGGGCCTCGATGCCTCGAGCCTTCCGGAACTCTTTCATAGGATCATCTGATGTGCCGTCGGTATATGGGGTGGGTGGTAGTGTCTTTACTTCGGGTAGCCCGGCCGTCAAGGTGAGGAAGTTGTTGCCGTTCGAGGGACTTTGTGAGTATCGCTGGTATGGTCTGTAAGTTGACGCTGTGCCTGCCATAGTCGACTGGTCCGAGGGCGAGGCCGTTCCGCTATTTGTCCTAGAGTCGCTGCCATGGCCGAAGTTGTGGTGGAGAGCGTGCAGCAGAGCAGCTCCTTGTCCAGCTACAGGCTGTGCGATAGCCGTTGCTAGAGGGTCGTAAGGCGGCTCATAAGGAGTTCCTGTCTGGCTGTGGACCAGGGGATGCTCAGTACCGATGGCAAAGTCCTTCACGTTGGAAAAATAATCGTCGCTTTTGAGGCTCTTTCGGCGTGCTTCCCGTGAATGAGGGGTTGGCGGAACGTTGTACATGCTGTCCCCTGCTGAACTGGCGGCACTGCTGGTGGCTCTCCTGCGAGACCGGCTATCGCTCCGATCTCCTAAAGGGTGCATGAGTTTCCCAACAGTTTTCTTGATGGTAGATCGTGCCCGCTCTAAGAAGGCGATTGGTACAACAGCATGTGCCGTCTCCTTGTCGTTGACCTGGACTCGTCTTCCCTGAGAGGGGCGTGCAGGATCGGTGTCGTCGATCCAAGCAATGGGGTTCGCAATACCCTGTACAACCCATGGATGTCTTTTGATATCTCTCAGACGAATTCGCTTTTCGGGGTTCTTGGTGAACATTTGTCGGAGGAGATCGTACAGGAGGTTGTCGATATCTTCGTAGGCCAGCTCATTGTCGTCCCTGTATGGCGGTACGTTGTGTCGCTTGAATAAAGACTCGGAATTGGGGGGAGTGGAAGGATCAACTGGCTTGAGACGCTTTCTTGGAATAAAGACTTCCTCCGTTGCGATCTTCCTGAACATTTGCCATTCGTCCTCGGCTTGGAACGGAATTCTGGCATAGATAAGGCAGTACAGTGTCACGCCTAGGGACCAGATATCGATCATCTCAGAAATCCTAGGCTGCTCCATACGGTCCAAGTCGGTGTAGCAGAGCTCAGGGGCGAAGAAGGCTGGCGTGCCCACTGTTTTGGCTAGTTCGAGATCGTCATCGAAATCTTGAGCTTCGGATTCCGAGACCGTCTCGTCATCGGGCTCGCCGTCTCTGATGGGGCGGCCAAAGTAAGAAACACCAAAATCGGAAATCTTTACACGATGGTCTTTTGTCCACAAAAGATTGGCAGGCTTGATATCCCTGTGAACGACGCCTTGGTAGTGTAGGTATTCCAGGCCCAAGACAGTGTCTCGGAATGTCGATCTCGCTTGTTCGAGTGTGAAGCAAGGAACGTAGGAAAAATCTTCAGCAAAGGGGTCGTGCATCCGAGAATTCCAGTCGACTGAGGACATGTGAGAGATGATGGAGTCGGCCATACTTGGCGAGCGTCCCCGCAATGCAGCCTCCTCAATGTAAGGGCCGTACATAGTACCATCGAGGGCGGTAGCTGAACCCGGGTTGCTGGACCGCAGAGGGCCTGGAGTTTCCATATCATCATCCAGGATAGCCTCCTGGTCAAATGAGACGTTGTTCTTCATGGAATTGACTGATTGGGTGCGTGAGGGGGCTCTTGAAGTAGCCCGGGAAGCCTGCAGAGAGTTTGGAAGGGAGCCATCAGCGCCAACTCGTTCGAGGGCGCCCAGGTCATCCTTGGAATGAATTCGAGACTGCGAACCGTAGCTGGCGTCGTCGGAAATGCCGTGCTCGATGCTCCAGAAGTCGTGAGCTCCCATATTGGCTCGTGTCATCTTCGCTCGCTTCAGTTCCTTCAGCGCGAACCGCCTTTCCATGAGCAAGTCATATTGCTCTTCCTCGGGAGTGGCCGGTTCGCCGCGGGCTTCTCGTTCGATGCGGCGGCGCTCGTAGAGGCAAATATGTGGCAGGCCCTTCTTTCTCCAGACAACCTCACCCAGCTCGACGTGTTCGAGAATCAGGTAAATCTTCTTAAGCTCCGGATCGTCGATAATTTCGAGCAGTGAAACAACGTTGGGGTGTCTCATCTTTTTGAGAATGGCGATCTCTCTCATCGTCTTCTCCTGTGGAGACATGGCCATGACCTTGCCGAGTCGACGCTTCTTGGAGTATCGCGGAATGATCTTGATGGCGACATTTTCGCCAGTTTCGAGGTTTCGCGCGAGCTTGACCTTGCCATGCATGCCCCTGCCAATTTCCTCGATGACTTCATACTGGTTAATGAGTTTGCGGCCGGTTATGCTATCGGAGTCGATCAGAGCTTTGTGCGTTCTGTGGTTTCACAAAGTTAGCTTATCCGATAAGTCATCCCCGGTCGCGGGGTTCTAGGACAATTACCCCCGCCACGGGTTACAGGTTAAACAGAGGAGATGGCGAGGCGTTCCGCCTTCCAGCCAACGCCATCGGTTTTAGTGTCGCACCTGGGCGCACTTGAGAATTGGGCAAGAAAGGGAAACTTACTCTCTGACTTTGTGGTGTTGAAGAGGATGTAAATATGGACTGCCCGTCTCGGCGCTCGGGGTGTTGGAATCGGAGGAGGCGTGGGTTGGGAAGTTCGGCTTCGAGCGGGGGTTTGTCGGGCTGAAGAGACCGGGCGAGGTCAGGGGAGTGCTAGAGGAGGACCTCAGTGGCAGCATGCTGGAGACGGGTGAAATGAGGGCGTGTAGGTGAGGATGTTGATGGCTCCTCGAGTGAGGAGGAGGAGGTGGTGGAGGATGTTGCGGTTCCATGGTATGCGAAGAAGCGCTGGAGTTGGACTGGTCGGAGAAGTCTCAATCGGCGATTCGACATAATGAGGGACGTGGGAGGACGTAGAACGAGGCTCGCACGGCGGCCGAAGAAGAGAAACGCAACGACGTGCGGGCTTCAGTTTGTCATCATTGTTCGAATGGATCGATCGCAGGTGGTGGCTAAGGGGAGGCGAATCGGGCTGTTGTAAAAAGAGGCGCGCAATAGACGTTGAAGTCGGCGAGTTGAAGAGAAAGGCTGAATAGAACTCCAGATGTGGTGGCCAGAAGTAATGCGCTGCTTTGTGAAGTAGGAGGCGATACAGTCGTCGTCGGTGGTGGAATATCTTTCTTTGAAGGAAGGGGAAATCCTAAAAAGAGAAACAGGACCAGGCAGAACGTAGAGTGAGGTAGGTATGCGAGGTAAGGCGAAGTGAAGTCAAAAAGGATGGCAGACGGATGGGGACGTAAGAGGTTGAAGGGTTGACTGGTGAGGTACTTCCCGGGGGGAGCGGGACTAAAAGACGAGGGGGAGACAAGACGAGGGTCCTCAGTCCTTTTTTTTTTTTTCCCTGGTCCTGGCTTCTGGCGTTGGCCGTGTGTGTGTGTGTGTGTGTGTGTGTGTGTGTGTGTGAGGGTGGGTTTGTACAAGGCAGAGAGGCAAGGCAAAGCCAGGCAAATCTTGGAATAGACAATAGTGCACTGTATTGGTACGTAGCAATTTGGGTGCGTGTGAGTGATGAGTGTAGAGCACAGCAGAACAGCGAGCAATACGGGAGGGAAAGAAAGACTGGTGTCGATGAGGGTCCGGGGTCGGGGGTTGGGGGTTGGGGGGTTTGGCAGAAAGTGTGAGTGTTCCTGCTTGCTGGTGGATGATGGAGGGTGGTAACAGTAGTAGTCAGTGGTAATAGTGGTGGTGGTGGTGGTGGTGCGTATGGATTGGGAATACTGAGTGTTGATGTGCCCCCTGCTCAGTCTTCTTTTTTTTTCTTTTTTTTTTTTCTATTTCGAGTGAGAAAAAAAAAAAAAAAGATGGTGGTGGGCTAAGAGAAAGTGGGCATTCACACACATTCATCACTGATCAGTGACCTTTCCTAGGTTTCCTTGGTGGGTTGATGGTGGCCGTAGTGGAGGCTCGAAGGAAGCAAGACAAGATACTGGACGAGGATGATGGATGCACCATAAATGGAGCCAGACGGAGACAGAGACATAGATAGAGGAGGGGGGGGAGGGACCGGGTAGAGGGGAGGGAGGGGGGAATCAATCGACAGGCGCGATGCCCGCAGTGGAGCCCCCCCAAGCCAGTACTTTGTACTTGCGGCTGTTACTTTCGCTCTCTCTCTTTTTCCTTTCAGGCTCAACCGTCATAACAGGGAGTTGGGGGAAAGGTACGTACTTCTCAAGTCAGGACAAAAAGGAAAGAAGAGAAAAAGAAGAGGGTCGGGGAGGGGCGGCTCCAGTGGGTCAGAGCCCATACTATGGTACGCAAGTCCAGCATCCGTAAACTACCTGTGTCTGTGCCTGCCCGAAGCCCCAGCTCCTTGCCTGATTGGCTTTGATTTGATGAAAGAACAGGTCTTAGGCCGATATGGAGTCGGATAGTTATCCACACAGGGTATATCCATAGATAAGCGGCATATCACATACGATAAGAAGAATCCACACATGTCTCCTCGCGATTGATTGCCCACGGAACTATGACCCACACGGTATGGATCTTTGCAACTTCCGCTGCCCCTTGGAAAAGTTGCCTTCTCCGTGGTGTTGAGGCAAGCACCAGAGGAATAGCGAGTGCCAGAGAGCAGGAGGCATTCGATAGGTGCAGAGTACGTACACCTTGACTGTCCTCTTTTTTTCTTCTTCCCTTTCCTGATGATACCCACCATAGCAACCTCAAAGCTGCAGACGCCATGCATCAAGAGTGGTCTTCATCTTCCGCTCCGGCAATGTTGAGTCAAGTCGATCTCGCGCAATTAATTTCATTCTGCAAAGTCTCTTTTGTCGCCTCTTCCTATCACTCTCATCCAGGCTCCCAGGTACGGACTACCCGTATCTTGTGAGAGGCATTTTACCTGAGGTCAGCCTACTAACCACTCTCATTTCGCATGGCATGAGGGCATAAGCAGCCCGCCAGAAATTGACAGTTAATCAGCTCAACTGGGACATGGACATGCGATGCAGCGCCTAGAGTGAAGGAAAGGGTGTGGCGGCCACCAATGTCATGCCTACCGAGTCGTCCAAGCCAGTGGTCTGCAATTTTTACCACTACTACTCCTTACTGCTATTACTATACCGCCTATGTATGGAGTACACACACTTCATCAATCTGAAGGCGACGCTTTCGATTTCCTTCTCGTCCCTCCGATCCTCCGTCACCCATTCCTCTTTCACGTCAAGCACATGCTCGTCTGCTCCTTGGACCCAGCTTCAAAGTTTCGATCTCATGTCCATGTCCCAAGCCCACACATCAGCTAATTACTTTGCATTGCGGATCCCGCCTCGCACGGAGACAGATTCCAAGGAGACAATACACGCCCGATAACTCAACAGGTAGCGAGTCTATCCGTACGCTGCCAAGCCACAGGAAGCGCAGAACAGTGGGCTGGTGGAGCGAGTTCTACATCTTGTCTTTTATGGCGGCGCAGGGGTTTGCCAGGCCGCAAGCAGGGGTGGTCGCTGTTTGGCCAGTGCTGCTATGGACCTGGCACGCCTGGCAAGGAACCGTCGACGTTGCGGGCGAGGGCGAGGGCGAAGGCGAGGGCGAGGGCGCCGGCCAAGAGGAGAGACTTCCGACCAGGTACCTTGCCTTATCGCGCCATGATCTGCACATCCCCATTGGCCTGATGGAGCCTCTCACCTCTCTTCGTTACATATGCCAGCCACCAAGCACGTACCTTTCTCCGTCGCTCCTTGGAGCTACCATTCAATCCAGCACTAGTGTACGCTGTCCCTTTACGTACACAAGCTATCGACCAATAGCAAAACACCTACTTTGCGGACCCTTGGCTCCGACCAGAGACAACAGAAACACCTCCTAAATGGAGACTCCAAGACAATGACGTTGAGACATGGGCTCTTTTTGAATCTCAGTGACAACGACGAAGAACAGAACAGCTCATGCTCGACCTGCGCCTCGCCGCGTGTCGTGCCGTATCGTACCGTGTCGTCTGCTTCGAGCCTGTCGTGATGCATCGCATCAGACACACACACACACACACACACACACTAAAGACCCCTTCACTGGGATCTTTTAGGGGCGGCGCACAACACACACAACACGCAACGCACACGCACACGCCCAAGGGTATGATGCCAACAGAGAACGAATGGGATGGCCAATATTCAACATTTTTCCACACTGCCGATGCAAACACGTCAGGCAGACGGCCCAACACCATAGAATTCTCAGCTGAAGTCGTCAGGCCTGTCAGGCAACATGGCATGTCTAAGGGTGGTGGCAACACATGTTCAAACTCAGTATTCCTCATTTTCACTTCCTGCCACTGCTGGAGATTGCAATTTGTCTAGTCGTCTCTCGGCTCGTATGTTGAAGTAGGCGTCAGCATTGGCCTGCAGTCATAAACCCATGCTGATGAGCAAGTCTCGCACTCAAGGTACCTGCAACGTGTTTCCACCTTCTGTCGATCCCCGCATCGATTTTAGCAGCATGCAGACTCTAGCCGCTTTACTCGCTTTGCTGTGAACCCTGTGGCAAGTGATGGCGGCCATGACAAACCATCCTCCGAAAGCAAGGACATACGTAGCAATGACGAGGAACACGGAAGCCACTAATCCTCAACGCGGACGACACGGTTCACAACCATGGCCGAGCTACCATACCGTAATGTGTGTGGCCAAAAGACCTTGGGGATCCAGACCCAGACGGGATGTCTTGACCTCTTCCATTGGTTAGTAGATTGATTACTTTGTCTCTTCACATCCAACGCCAACACCTCACGACGCACAAAGAACATGCACATGGAAGAGGCTCATCCCGTCCTTGACACCAAATGAGACCGAGAGGCGGAAAGGAAGTGTGATGGGCCAGCCTAGCGCCTCAGACAGAACTTGAAGGACGAACAGACCCCAAATCCTCCAACCCCAACAGCAGCTACTGGCAGCTAAGGCGTTGCCTTCTAACACATGCAGGAAGTTTGTCCTCTAGATTCCATTCGTCCGCTCCTATGCCTCAAGCCACTATCTACAGATGCTCTTTGCTGATGTTGTTTGACCAACTGCAACTGCAACTTCGAGATGCACATCACGACCACAGATATACACATGCAATCGCCCGCTCTCTCAACCTGCTCGGCTGTACAGTCATTGGGCGGTGCAGACAGCCTTCTGCAACGGCTATTGGCCGCCTGCCCTTGTAGCTGCATATGTCTGTCTCTCTATTCTTCCTTTTTTGGCTCAACTTCGACGCCACGGTCGAGGCCCTAATGCATCAACCCCAGCATCTTTGAATTGGGTTGGGAAAAAAGAAAACAATCGCAATCAGAGAAGCAGACCAAGACTGTGCCTCTCGCATGCCTCTGCATTTCTCCGCTCGTCTTTTTTTTTTGGTTCCCCAATCTCACATGCGGTCCGGTATCCTGTGTCTTGCCCCTACGGCAAGGTACCTTGTCTGGAGTTTTCAACTGCCCTAAGGATTCTGACGCCCGTTCAGACAAGCCAAGCAGTCAGGATATGTAGAGGCGTGATACAGACTGCAGAAAACGATACGGTGCCACCCAACAACAAAAACTTGCAGCGATGCAGCGATGCAGCGTTTCATTTGATCACTGATTACACTCGGCTCAATTCCATGAACCATCCGTTGGCAGCACGGCCTTGGCTTGGCGCTGGCCTGACCAGATACCATGGTATGCCGACATCGTCCAATGGCCTGATGCCGTGCAAGTGCTGCTACATAACGCCCCCTTCGCCATGTTTCATTCAAGCCTCTCTGAGAAAAGCCTCACGAAAAACATCGGAACAAGTCCCGGCGTGTCGCTTACAGACCGGCTCCAGGAGCCGGTTTCCTCCCTCAACCCAAGCGACAACTTTACATCCCCCTCCTCACCATCGTCTTTCGATCGGACGCTCGTGGCATTGATCTTTGTTGACCGCTGCTGCGGCTCTCGCACTAAATGGGAGGGTAAGGTGGATCTTCCGCGGATTAAATTACGGCAGCGATGATCATATCCTCGAGGTACACAGACTGAGGATAGACTTTTGATGCAGACCAGATGGGCCGACCACTCAGAAGCGACTGCGCAATCAACCCACTGACGGCGGCGTTCGTAGCAAAGAGGCGATTCATGGCCGACCCTGGTTGCCCTTGTTGATACACGACGTAGCACGCCGGTCGTACCCCTAGTATCCCCGTTCTGTGCCTGACGTTTCTCGCCCTCGTATGGCAATCAATTTGATGAGAGATGTGGCCGCATTCTTTTGCCTGTGGTGTGGAGTTGGACTGCATGTCCTGTTTGCCCCCGTTATCAACAAACCGGCCATTCCATTCAACAACTGAAGTCATCATCATGGCTCCGCCGCCCGCTAAAGCTGCTGTGGCCAACGATGATCATGGTCAGACTGCCACGGTTTTCATGGTTTTAATGAATTAAACTTCCTGAGATCCCCTCTCTTTCGTAGTCCCAGTCCTCGGGCGCCCCTGATAGCCGCCAGATCAGAGATGATCGTCCTTTCACCGGGCCACCCCCAACCGCCCCCATCCATGTAGCCGGCCACGCTGCTGGGACACCAAATCATGATCCTCTCATCCTTGGACGGAACGGCAGACGAGGTGGAGTTTGACTGGAGCCGCCATCAACGTCGATGGCCTCTAGTGGGAACACGGCACGAGAGATGCTGCAGGTTTTCTTGCTTGGCCTGTTCCTATGTGGTTCCGACTGTCCTTTTGAAGCCCAAAAGGCTCCACTCTCGTTGCAGCTTGCATCGGCCGGGGTTTTGGAAACACGGACTACGAGCACTAGCAACGCAACGTGGAGCCTACTTTTGGGACTTTACCAATGCTAATTGTATGCTTAGCAGAGGTCCTGGGCAAACAGGAACGGATGGGCATCTCCAACTCCCAAGACTTGTCAGGTCTGTTCATGGTCTGCCCTGCTCAAGGTTGCTTTTTGACTCGGGGGCTCTACGTAATATTTCATCTACCCGCGTGTCCCGCAGCGAAGCCTGTCTCCATGGCGATCTGTCTCTTTGAACTGTCGCCAGGCCATGCCGTTCGATACGTCTCGCCAGGACATGTTCCCATTAGACACGGGCGTCGTCGTTATGCAATGCAAGACTGATATGTCATTCACACCTCAAGAAAAAAGAAACTAGCCGGCCTGTCATCCACTGGTGGCTACTTTTTCAGTGCGTCCGGATCACTACATTACAGCGAGTTGCACAGTGATGGAAGGTGCAGGTACCGTAAGCCTGGAAAGCCGACAGCATTAGCTCCACCAACAACGACGGTCAAGTTGGCCGTTTATTGGGCAATGCAGCCGGCAGGCAAGCCAACGAAAGCCGCAGAGAGAGCTCTGCGAGAGAAGAGGCCCTCGGACTTGGGAACAGCATATTCCGTTGAAGTGCCCGAATTGGACTAGCAACCGTCATTGGCCGATTATGCTAACCTCGGGAAGGACGGTAACGTGGAAACGACATGCCGTCGGCCGCTCTCCAGCAGCTATGACCGGCCAGACTAGAAGCAGTGGGTTGGCACCTTGTCACACCCATCTTCACGTCAAGATGGAAGGCGTTCCGGATCAAAGGCTTCCATCACCCAGTCCGATGCCCACCACTGTCAATGTTGGGAACTGATAGTGGCCAGTGCAGTCCCAGCCCGTGGACGGAAGGGCCACGGCGGCTGGCCGAAGCCGCCGTCCTCCCAGGGCGCTGGTGCACATGAATATGAGCATGGGGACGGTAGGGTGAGGCCCATGGCGAACAGATCCTGTTTCTCCGGGGCTTTTTCTTCCTCTAGTGCCGCTAGGGTCGGAGTTCTCTCCCTTGTGAGTATCGGCGATCGCTGTCTGCCCCAGCCATGATGGAAACGCAGTCTACCGCCCAGGCCCACCCACAACACCCGTTTCTTTTCGTTTCTGGTCGTCTGTTCAGTATTGACTTTGTATGAGATCAGGTACGTATATCTGGCATGTGCCTCATCATTACTGTGTACCTCGCTTCCCAGTTCCCGTGTCCCCGTCGACTCAAGTCATTCAAGAGTCAGATTGACCACGGACCAACGCTTAATGCCATCTCCATGAGGCACGGAGATCTCGTCTTGTGCTGAGATCTGCACAATTCCCCGATGAGAGGTTATCGTCACATTATCTAACGCATTCAAGCATCCTTCCCACAGCTAGTATTTGCGACTCAGTATGCTGCGACGCACACTAAACACACTTGCCTGGGCTGATTCACAAACTGCACCCGGGAGCCTTCAGCGCCTTTGCACAATCAAGCATTATTTCCCCCGCTAGAACCCACTGTTGAGCCGGTGGCCATGGGTAGCCTCGAATAGCCGGATGCACGACTAACTCAAGATGGTCGGTGCCGGCATCAAACAGACAGACTGGGTGGGATGGATCGTGGACCACCAGTGAGAGTCAATAGGGGGGGGACGAAAGTCCAGAGCGTTCCGGGCCACGATGTCCTCGTCTCGTCTCGCAGAAAGAAGAACGGGACGGTTAATTTTTCACTGCTAATTTCCCTCCCACTCACTGCTGCCGCTTCCAAAGGAGATTCCGGATACCTCCGCTCTGTGTCGGTTGGCCTGGTGTCTAACCTGCAAAAGACGGGCTCGTGCCCTTTGAGCTGCTACCGCGAAAAAGGGACCCTGCATTGAAGGGACGATTGACGACGTGGCAGCAAAGCAAAACAGACCGGGGTGGCCACAGAACGAGACAAGTCAGAATAAAAATCTCACGATGGCTTCGCTTTTACATTCCACTCCTAGGTAACGTCTTAGGCACGGGGTCTTGTCTGCCCCCAAATGGCCCGGTCCAGACTACCAAAGCCAGCCTCGGATTGCGGAGAAGAGCGCAGGGTCTGCTGTCGCTGTCGGCGCTGCCGCACAAATCCCCCCAATCGCCGACTTTGTGTGAGCCTGGACGGGGTCCAGCTTTGCTGTCAATCCCGGACCACTGCTGCTTGCGGCGTAGCGTACGATAAAGAGCAACCCTTAAAGCGAGGGTA